TTTCACCTCTCTTTCTTGAGGATGTTATGGCTGTTTTGTCCTTGGCATTGGCTTCATGCCGGCCTATTTTCCATTAATAGTGTACTTGAAGATCTCTGCCTCTTTTTTGGAGACAGTCTGGTAGGGCTGGGGCTGTATGTACTGCTGGTCAGGCTAAACCTTCATTAGAGCCAGATTCAGAATCACGTGCACCTCTCATTGTCAGTTCCTCTTCTGCTCATTGGCGTTGGTCTCGCATCTCGCAAAATGACATCGTTGTTTGTGGTTTGTACCAGCCCTTTCCCTGTTTGCCCTTTTGCTGGGGTGGTGAGAGATGACTTGCTGTTTCCTGGTCCCACAATTTGCTTTTCAGGTCATTTCTCGAGGCCTTTCGTGAAGTTGGTCTGGGCTTTTGAGACCTTTGCCTCTAACGGGTCATTGTGGAGTGGGTGGCTTCTGGTGTGGTCGAAACAACTGGGTCTCTTCATTGGGTGTCTCATCTCTTCCTGATCCCTAAGATGAGATTCAGCATATCTCTGCTTCATCCTCGATCTTTTGGGAAAGAACGTGTTCATCCCCTGCCCCAGTTTTCCTTCATGTTGGAGGCTGGATCATGGATGGTTTCTCTGGACTTGAAGGTTGGTTCCAGAAACTCTTTCTGTTTTGTCTCGCATAAAGACATCGTTGTTTATGGCTTGTACCAGCCCTGCTTCTTTCAAATTTGTGTCTTCTTGCCTTACTGGCTGCGCTACGAGATTCCAGAGCCTTCCTGCGTAGCAGACTGTTACGGCCAGCTTAAGCCAGTAACCAGGTTCTTTCTGTTAATGTGCCTTATAGCCTCTATGATCCTGCCCCATGTCAATGGTAAGTTCTGAAGAATTGGCAGTAGCAAATAACAGTTCAAGGAATAGAAGGGAGGATAAACAATATGCAATTACACCTTCACCAATATATTATCTATAGAAATATAACTATATAATATAATATATATAATAGCGTGGGGGATGGTGTGGATGGTGTGGGGGATGATGTGGGTGGTGGTGTGGGGTGTGTGGGGGATGGTGTGGGTGGTGGTGTGGGGTGTGTGGGTGGTGGTGTGGGGAGTGTGGGTGGTGGGGGCGAATGGTGTTAGTGGTGTGGGGGAGGATGGTGTGGGTGGTTTGGGGGATGGTGTGGGTGGTGTGGGGGATGGTGTGGGTGGTGTGGGGGATGGTGTGGGTGGTGTGGGGGATGGTGTGGAGGATGGTGTGGGTGGTGTGGGGGATGGTATGGGTGGTGTGGGGGATGGTGTGGGTGGTGTGGAGGATGGTGTGGGGGGTGGTGTGGGGGATGGTATGGGTGGTGTGGGGGATGGTATGGGTGGTGTGGGGGTGGTGTGGAGGATGGTGTGGGTGGTGTGGAGGATGGTGTGGGTGGTGTGGGGATGGTATGGATGGTGTGGGGGATGGTATGGGTGGTGTGGGGATGGTATGGGTGGTGTGGAGGATGGTATGGGTAGTGTGGAGGATGGTGTGGGTGGTGTGGAGGATGGTGTGGGTGGTGTGGAGGATGGTGTGGGGGATGGTGTGAGTGGGGTGGGGGAATGGTGTGAGTGGGGTGGGGGATGGTGATTCTCGCATCTCAGATTATTATTGACACCAAAAGAGCATGAAAGATATTATAATGAAGCACCACCCAACAAAGAAACAAACTAATGTGTCCTGGCATATGTTTAAAAAAAAAAAAAATAAGAAGGTTGTTGGGGCCGGACGGATGGAACGAATTCCTGGTGAGGCTTCACTGGTTGAAGGCTCTTGGCTTCACTGGTGAGGCTTCACTGGTTGAAGGCTCTTGGCTTCACTGGTGAGGCTTCACTGGTTGAAGGCTCTTGGCTTCACTGGTGAGGCTTCACTGGTTGAAGGCTCTTGGCTTCACTGGTGAGGCTTCACTGGTTGAAGGCTCTTGGCTTCACTGGTGAGGCTTCACTGGTTGAAGGCTCTTGGCTTCACTGGTGAGGCTTCACTGGTTGAAGGCTCTTGGCTTCACTGGTGAGGCTTCACTGGTTGAAGGCTCTTGGCTTCACTGGTGAGGCTTCACTGGTTGAAGGCTCTTGGCTTCACTGGTGAGGCTTCACTGGTTGAAGGCTCTTGGCTTCACTGGTGAGGCTTCACTGGTTGAAGGCTCTTGGCTTCACTGGTTGAAGGCTCTTGGCTTCACTGGTTGAAGGCTCTTGGCTTCACTGGTTGAAGGCTCTTGGCTTCACTGGTTGAAGGCTCTTGGCTTCACTGGTTGAAGGCTCTTGGCTTCACTGGTTGAAGGCTCTTGGCTTCACTGGTTGAAGGCTCTTGGCTTCACTGGTTGAAGGCTCTTGGCTTCACTGGTTGAAGGCTCTTGGCTTCACTGGTTGAAGGCTCTTGGCTTCACTGGTTGAAGGCTCTTGGCTTCACTGGTTGAAGGCTCTTGGCTTCACTGGTTGAAGGCTCTTGGCTTCACTGGTTGAAGGCTCTTGGCTTCACTGGTGAGGCTTCACTGGTTGAAGGCTCTTGGCTTCACTGGTGAGGCTTCACTGGTTGAAGGCTCTTGGCTTCACTGGCGAGGCTTCACTGGTTGAAGGCTCTTGGCTTCACTGGTTGAAGGCTCTTGGCTTCACTGGTGAGGCTTCACTGGTTGAAGGCTCTTGGCTTCACTGGTGAGGCTTCACTGGTTGAAGGCTCTTGGCTTCACTGGTGAGGCTTCACTGGTTGAAGGCTCTTGGCTTCACTGGTTGAAGGCTCTTGGCTTCACTGGTGAGGCTTCACTGGTTGAAGGGCCTTTGGTTGCTTTTCTTACCAAACAAGAATGCAGTTTAGCTTGCCTCGTGTGTTCAGGCGCCTCTTGTGATCAGCTCCTTGGTTCACCTCAAGTACTGATACATGTTTCCAACTTGAGGATTAGCACAGTTGGATGACAAATTAATTAGCATATCAAGAGAAGACATGAATAAACTGTATTTTCTTCTGTGTGGTGTTGGTTACTTATTGCCATTTCCATCCTCCTCCTCGTCCTCTTCGTCGACCTCGTCGGTAACACTGAAGAATCTGTTTGTCGCTCAGCACGCCGTATCCGAGGTCATCAGCATTTCTCACTAGCTATTCAAGCACATCTTGTCTTTCTAAATTTGTGCCTTTGTGCCTGTAAATTTGTTTCTGAACATGCCATGGATTTCATCTGTAAATCCTCCAAAATTCATATCATATTCCTTGTCATTGTTGACCATAGCTGTGAGAATTTTCTTCAGGTATTCTTCATTGTAGATTCCTTTACTTCACTTTACAGTTTTGCACATTATAAATTGCTGATACATAGGCTGGATGAGAGAGATGTATTACTGTTATACATAAATGTTATCTTGCCATACACATGATCTTGCCACACACATGGTCTTGCCATACACGTTATCTTGCCCTACATGTGAAGTTAAAGTCTCAATACATGAGTGGGCATGTGCATTATCAAGCAGCAGCAAAGCCCAAATTTCACTTGGCCTGACTTTGTGTTTCTTAACTTAAGAGTCACGAACATCCTTGCAAAACACATCATGAAACCAAGAAAGATCATGTATGTACACCATGCATTCTTTGAGCTATAATATTGCACAGGCAGATTGTTGAAACAGTGTTGCAATGCACCTTGTTTCTTGGATTTGCCAACAATTGCACACATGGTTGTGAGAGAGCCATCAGCATTGGCACACACCATGGCCAACAGCCTATCCTTGTTAACCTTACGCCCCTGACACACTGCCCTCACTCCTAGAGCTTTTTTCAGGCAAACTCCTCCAATGCAGTCCAGTTTCATCACCGTTATAGATTTTATACGAATATAAATTATAAGACAAAATGTATGTTTAACTGATCCAATACTGCTCGTATCTGCACTAAATTTTTCACCGACAATTTCCTCTTCAAAATAGTGTGCCTCTCTTTAAACCTTGCAATCCATCCTGTAGTATTCCAAAGCTGTCTGCAAACCTGTTTGCAGCATTTCTTATTTCTGCACGGTGAATTGTGACACCCGCTGTGCGGTGCTGTGCCGACCACTTGTACACAGCCTCACCTAACTGTGCATAGTGTGCAGGCTTCAAGGTTTTTCTATTAGACCTTCTGCTAGTGCTTGCACCTTCACTCTCAATGGTTGTTATGTATTTCACGAGTTCATTTTTTGTTTCTTTTTATCACAGACACTACTCGTGCCTATACAGTACCAAATTCCTTGGCAATACTTACAGCTGACCGGCCATTTTCACATAATTCTATGACCCGAAGCTTATTTTTATTGGTTAGTGTAGTGTAACCTTCTTCCTCTTAACACCTCCAAAACAATTACTGCTGCTAACACACACAGTCCTGGCAAAAAAATGATCAACGTTACTATCAAACCAAAAAGTTATTAAAGAAAATGTTTGACTACTGACTCTGTGGTATAATTTCTTATTTGGCCAAATTTGGGCTAGTCCAGCTTCCATGGACATTTTGGCTGGATGGGGAGATAACTTTATCCGTCCACGATTTTTGCCAGATTAGGAATTGGGACGTTTTCCAAATAGGTTTGATTAGTGGGTGTACAATAAGTAGTTGGGAATCATCTTGGCGAGATAGCTTTATGGAGCCACTGGGGTAGGGGGGACACACAAAAAGGCATTTCATTACATTCAACACTATTATGAGGTTCAACACTAGTTCTATTGCACTTTTGTCTTCTTAGCTCTAATCTATATGCTCTTGTTCTCAATGTTGCCCATTTAAATAGAAAGTCATATACGTGTAAATTGTAAATTTTTGTCATACTTTTTAGATAGTAACCATATCACTTCTTTTTCTATTATTTACTGGTTTAAACATATCACTTCCAGCTGGTTCTCATAGATCTTGCTGTCTATGTCTTGAGTCATTTAGTAATAGGTCTATGAATATTTTCTATTTTATTTCTTGAGATGCTGTATAGACAATACAATTGCTGGCTATTCTAATTTTGGCCTTACATATGATATTTTTGTTTTCCAGGAGTTTGAGCACCCTATCTTTGATGACTCGGTGGGAAATGAAAGTCTTCCTTCCACAAAGACTTGTTCTGCTGCTAATTCAGGAAGGATGTCTTCTAGACCACAGAGAGCTTCAAGACGTCTTGTCACACGTACTACACGTAACGAATGCTATGAATATGAGGTATGCCAAATTTAGCATTACATATTTGCTCTGAATGCTATGTAGTATATGCAATTGAGACAGGAAAAATATATACTTTTTATTTTTATTTCCAAATAACATACTATACAGGTATATAGTGCTCCTATGCAGGCGATGAGTCACAATAACGTGGCTGAAGTATGTTGACCAGACCACACACTAGAAGGTGAAGGGACGACGACATTTCGGTTAGTCCTGGACCATTCTCAAGTCGATTGTGCTCCTATATTGTTCCAGACTATCCGGATATGACATAATGGATTTTGGAAAATTGCCACTTTTTTGTCTAGCAAATTCTGGGGACTATTCTCATTGCAAATGCTGAAAACTTCAGCATATTCAGACATACAAATATATATAGAGTTTTTCTGTGGATAAATTATAATGACAAAATATGAAACAAAATTTGTTCACTTGCCTGTTTGTAACATTGTCTGGTGTTGACAACCAAGAGGCAGAGAAGTGTGTTAATAGTACAGTACTGTCATACTATCTGTTCAATTAAAACTGACCTTCAAGTCATCTATGCCCATGATTAGTGACATTTTATTCACCTACAGACTAACTGTGCACCATGAATAGCCAGCCCCAGACTACACTGCTCTGTAAATCATAGTAAACTCCAGAATCCTAACCCTCGTGCTTAGAAGATTTCAATGCATGTCACTTCTCGTAACATAACTGCTCGCCATTTTACTCATTCCAAGAGCTGCTTCCTCTAATTTATTATGCAAAGAGACTGTGCCGGCACCAGTGCCAAACTTGTCTGCTATTCTTTTGCCTTCCCAGTCACAATCGTGTTTTATTACTTAATCTTGCTTAGGAAGTTTCTCTGATCCAGAAACATCTACTCATAGTTCTCTTGCTGAACAGTTTGAGCCCACAAATAATGTTAAACTAGAAAAAAAGTCAGTGAGAAAGCTTGAGAATTAGAGGTCACATTGCTCTTGTACATTATACAAGGAAAAACACATGCTAAGTACCCATGCCCACACAGCAGGTCAGTACCCATGCCCACACAGCAGGTCAGTACCCATGCCCACACAGCAGGTCAGTACCCATGCCCACACAGCAGGTCAGTACCCATGCCCACACAGCTGGTCAGTACCCATGCCCACACAGCAGGTCAGTACCCATGCCCACACAGCTGGTCAGTACCCATGCCCACACAGCAGGTCAGTACCCATGCCCACACAGCTGGTCAGTACCCATGCCCACACAGCAGGTCAGTACCCATGCCCACACAGCTGGTCAGTACCCATGCCCACACAGCAGGTCAGTACCCATGCCCACACAGCAGGTCAGTACCCATGCCCACACAGCAGGTCAGTACCCATGCCCACACAGCTGGTCAGTACCCATGCCCACACAGCAGGTCAGTACCCATGCCCACACAGCAGGTCAGTACCCATGCCCACACAGCTGGTCAGTACCCATGCCCACACAGCAGGTCAGTACCCATGCCCACACAGCTGGTCAGTACCCATGCCCACACAGCAGGTCAGTACCCATGCCCACACAGCTGGTCAGTACCCATGCCCACACAGCAGGTCAGTACCCATGCCCACACAGCAGGTCAGTACCCATGCCCACACAGCAGGTCAGTACCCATGCCCACACAGCAGGTCAGTACCCATGCCCACACAGCAGGTCAGTACCCATGCCCACACAGCAGGTCAGTACCCATGCCCACACAGCAGGTCAGTACCCATGCCCACACAGCAGGTCAGTACCCATGCCCACACAGCAGGTCAGTACCCATGCCCACACAGCAGGTCAGTACCCATGCCCACACAGCAGGTCAGTACCCATGCCCACACAGCAGGTCAGTACCCATGCCCACACAGCAGGTCAGTACCCATGCCCACACAGCAGGTCAGTACCCATGCCCACACAGCAGGTCAGTACCCATGCCCACACAGCAGGTCAGTACCCATGCCCACACAGCAGGTCAGTACCCATGCCCACACAGCAGGTCAGTACCCATGCCCACACAGCAGGTCAGTACCCATGCCCACACAGCAGGTCAGTACCCATGCCCACACAGCAGGTCAGTACCCATGCCCACACAGCAGGTCAGTACCCATGCCCACACAGCAGGTCAGTACCCATGCCCACACAGCAGGTCAGTACCCATGCCCACACAGCAGGTCAGTACCCATGCCCACACAGCTGGTCAGTACCCATGCCCACACAGCAGGTCAGTACCCATGCCCACACAGCTGGTCAGTACCCATGCCCACACAGCAGGTCAGTACCCATGCCCACACAGCTGGTCAGTACCCATGCCCACACAGCAGGTCAGTACCCATGCCCACACAGCTGGTCAGTACCCATGCCCACACAGCAGGTCAGTACCCATGCCCACACAGCTGGTCAGTACCCATGCCCACACAGCAGGTCAGTACCCATGCCCACACAGCAGGTCAGTACCCATGCCCACACAGCAGGTCAGTACCCATGCCCACACAGCTGGTCAGTACCCATGTACCCATGCCCACACAGCAGGTCAGTACCCATGCCCACACAGCAGGTCAGTACCCATGCCCACACAGCAGGTCAGTACCCATGCCCACACAGCAGGTCAGTACCCATGCCCACACAGCAGGTCAGTACCCATGCCCACACAGCAGGTCAGTACCCATGCCCACACAGCAGGTCAGTACCCATGCCCACACAGCAGGTCAGTACCCATGCCCACACAGCAGGTCAGTACCCATGCCCACACAGCAGGTCAGTACCCATGCCCACACAGCAGGTCAGTACCCATGCCCACACAGCAGGTCAGTACCCATGCCCACACAGCAGGTCAGTACCCATGCCCACACAGCAGGTCAGTACCCATGCCCACACAGCAGGTCAGTACCCATGCCCACACAGCAGGTCAGTACCCATGCCCACACAGCAGGTCAGTACCCATGCCCACACAGCAGGTCAGTACACAGCATCAGTACCCATGCCCACACAGCAGGTCAGTACCCATGCCCACACAGCAGGTCAGTACCCATGCCCACACAGCAGGTCAGTACCCATGCCCACACAGCAGGTCAGTACCCATGCCCACACAGCAGGTCAGTACCCATGCCCACACAGCAGGTCAGTACCCATGCCCACACAGCAGGTCAGTACCCATGCCCACACAGCAGGTCAGTACCCATGCCCACACAGCAGGTCAGTACCCATGCCCACACAGCAGGTCAGTACCCATGCCCACACAGCAGGTCAGTACCCATGCCCACACAGCAGGTCAGTACCCATGCCCACACAGCAGGTCAGTACCCATGCCCACACAGCAGGTCAGTACCCATGCCCACACAGCAGGTCAGTACCCATGCCCACACAGCAGGTCAGTACCCATGCCCACACAGCAGGTCAGTACCCATGCCCACACAGCAGGTCAGTACCCATGCCCACACAGCAGGTCAGTACCCATGCCCACACAGCAGGTCAGTACCCATGTACCCCCACACAGCAGGTCAGTACCCATGCCCACACAGCAGGTCAGTACCCATGCCCACACAGCAGGTCAGTACCCATGCCCACACAGCAGGTCAGTACCCATGCCCACACAGCAGGTCAGTACCCATGCCCACACAGGAGGTCAGTACCCATGCCCACACAGGAGGTCAGTACCCATGCCCACAGGAGCACAGTACCCATGCCCACACAGCAGGTTTGGATGTCTCGGGAACAAAATGTCACAAATTTGTTTGTACAATTTACAGTATTCTGCATTCTTAGATAAATTTTTATAAAATATAAATGCATTATTTAGTTATACAGTATTAAAAATAAAATACTTAGAAAGATAGAAAAATTGGCAAATGGTTGGCAGAGAAGTATGGCATTGGCAGTACAGGTATTACTATTTCAGATATTAAAATGTGAAGGAAGGAAATCCTGAAATTTGTTACAGTAGCAAGAGGGAAATTGGTAATGGAAGTAGTAGTGATAGAAAAATATTGTTGTCAAGTAAGTATTGCTATCTGGATGATGGTGTTAGTGTGTGATTTACACAACATCGTAGTGGGGGTACCTACTTGTAATAGGTCTCGGAATTTATCTTCCCGTAGTGTTATCATGTCCACCGTTCCTTTAGGCTCATGTTCCCGTCCCTCCGTTATCTGTATCTCTGCCCAGCCGTTTCACACGTCACAAGATGGTATCACACAGCATGTTATGAATCGTCCCTATTGCCTCTCACTTGTTAGTCCCTGAAGAATAGGATATTATTGATTTATTTAATAAATTGTATGGTAGTGTTATTTGACATTTTAGTTTAATTTTCCATTTTACAGTGGTACCTCTGTTTACGAATTTCATCTGTTCCCAGAGACGGTTCGTAAATCGAAACTAATTTTCCCATAAGAAATAATGTAAATTGAATTAATCTGTTCCACACTCCCAAAAATATTAACTTAAAAATACATTTCTTACATAATACTACAAATATTTAGTAATACACTATGTTCAAGTTATATCTTACCTTTATTGATGACTTGTTGGCATATTGAAAAAGGTGAGGGGGGGGAGGAGAGGTAATAGTGTTTGGAAGGGGAGTCCCCTTCTATTATCACATCAGGCAATGTTGACATTTCTGGGGGCACTCTCCCAAGTTTTGCCTGCATACCACCAGGACCTGGTTGTGGCTCCCTGCTTGGTTGTCTTACTAAGAACCTGTCTATAGACACTTGTTTTTAATAAATGTTTTAACACTTGTCTGTAGTGAGACATCACATTGTCTCACTATGAATGAACTTTTTTATTTTTTTTCCTCTCATCCTCACATTTGTTTTCTTAGTTGAACCTTACCACTGACTTTCTTGGGACTCATTGCATGATATACTGTATAATAATTTTCTATACAGTATATTCAGAAACCAACAAAATCAGAAAAAAAATGAAATTCTTTACAAAGAATTCAAGGACTATCATCACTAGGCGGGAGGCACTGGTTATCATGAGATGATTTCGGGGCTTAGCATCCCTGTGGCCCGGTCTTCGACCAGGCCTCTCCTTTTTTTATTACACACCCCAGGAAGCAGCCCATAGCAGCTGTCTAACTCCCAGGTACCTATTTACTGCTAGGTAACAAGGGCATTAGGGTCAAAGAAACTGTCCATTTGTCTCCGCCTCCACCGGGGATCGAACCCAGAACGTAGATCGAATTCAGTGGACAGCACTTCGGATTCGTAGTCCCCGTAGATTCGACTGCGAATCCAAAGCGCTGTCCACTTGTCCACTGGAAAAGAAAACCTCACACGAATCCTGCAGCCTCTCCGAGACTGCAGGAGAATTGTGTAAAACCCTGGTTTTTCTCTCGGAGAGGCTGCAGGATCCGTGTGAGGTCCGTGGAACGCCCGGTTGCAATTCTTTTCCATGTCGTGGCCTAGTTGACTAAGGCATCTATAAGACTTCTAGAGATGGAGGAGGATAAAGTAAAGAAATTTATTGAGACGAGGGATGAGAAAATTTTGGAGGAGTGTACCAAAGCTCAGCTCCAACAAGTGGCAAACCACTTTGGGATCAGGTTGAGGATGACTAAGGTGGCGGAACATTCTGGGATCATCTTGGGCGTAAGTTCGAACCCTCATCGCGGCCCTTGTGGACTTGTTCATTTGATGCATCACATTATTGTGATTTCTGTGTGTATAGATATCTGAACTGTTGGACCTTGACCATCTGTGTTGGAGGAGTTTAACCCTGAAACCCCTGATACCCAGCTGAAAGAGATAAACAAGAGCCTGAGGGATGCAAAAGATTGTGCTCACACTGTAAAAACAATCACGAGGCACTCCCGTATTACTTAACCGAGACTTGCTTCTGCAGAGCTTGGAAGAGACTCGGGCATCAACCAACAAGCTTAGCTTGCTGGTACTCTCGACCCACGAATGGTGGCAGGGCTGGAGTTTCTGTCTTTGTCTTTGTCTTTGTCTTTGTCTTTGTCGTAGGGTGAAGTCTCCTTGGTGTTCAGTTTATATCTGTCTTTCCTCCACAATTGATAGGAGCCAAACAATTTGAAAACTTTTTCTGTGGGGCATATGTTGACACAGCCTGATGAGATTCCCTTCATCTTGGGCAGGAAGAACACTGGCTCGTGAATTTTGGGTGGGTGTTATTTAACTAGCATTTGAGTAAATTTACGGTGATTGGGACAGTCGGGAATATCAGTGGTCAGATTAAATGTTAAGTAGGAAACACTAAATGACTAGTGTATGTTTTGCATGAAATATGTTTTGTTCATCAAGTGTGATAGACATTAATATTTGGCAGCTTTCTGCATCATATGAAGTGTAAGTTAAAGAACATTTGACAAATCCAAGTGTGTATTTCAGTAACAAAATATTTTTTCTGTAATAGGACAAAGCTGAACCAAAGGGTCTGGGTGACGACGATGACGACGACGATGATGATGTATGGCAACCCTCGATTCCCATGAAGAGAGCTCCAAAGAGCGCTCGTAAACCCAAGGGAAACAAGTCCAGGTCACAAGTTCCAAACCCACATTTAAAAGATCAAGAGAACAAAAGCAGGTCTCTATATCCTTTATAATTATAAATATTTCTTATTTTTAGCCAAGACAAATAAATTACTGTATTCTGTGTTGTTTATTGACAAGGCCGGCTGAGGGCCAAACAGTCGGGGTAACAGCGGTGAACAGTATTGAAGGAAGTACAAGTGCAGAGCATTGACCCTAGTTTATTTGATTTCACATATGCAGCTGCTGCAGGAATAACAGGACATGGGTATTCAATGTCTTCCATAGTGCCAGCTAGCATTGTACTGATGGGGTGGAACAATGTCAGCCTGATTTCACTTGTTGCTAAACAGAGTTATAACCAATTAACAATTGACCACTTTATTTCGTTAATACAAAAATGTTTTGCTGATTTTTTTCTCCAATTAGCTGTGTACCTGATTTCTACACATGAGTGATTTATAACGACTCTTTCATGAAGCTTCTTTCCAAGTGATTTGATTACCATCTTTTTATCTGTTCTTAGGAAGAACATAAATTAGCTTAAGGTTTTAAGCTCATGTTGGGTATTTGTGTTCAACCATTATTTCACCCTAGCTTCCTCAAATGATAAAACCTATAGCTACTGTGGATGGAATGTACACTATATGAACTCTTGTATATAAAGGAAATTCACTTTTTGTACTACTGGAATTCTAAAGACAATATCAAGAGTGAAATGGTAACTACATATAAACCTAACCTGTCACTAGCCTAAATAAACAATCCTAGGCCTAACAGTCTATATTTTGTACTTCCAATCATAGTAACTATAGATACAGTACTAAAAGTGTTGGATGAGAGGTATTTTTTAAATGTTCCCTGGAAACTCTTTGTTTAATGCATCAATTACTCTTATGTGCTATATCTGCCTCACTCATTACTTTCCTGGGAGGGCTCCTTCAGTAGCTCCTCATAGGTAAGTGTTGGTCCATCCAAATAAATCCCACCAGGAACTATAAATACAACAAAACAAGAAACTGCTCGTAGAAAATTAGGTAGAGAGAGGTAATGAAACAAGCAATCGTAATTTCAGGTAGCGGTTTCACACGCTACTCGCCTAACACCATATCACCCAGTGTCTACCAACACTGCCACTGTTCACTGCAGATGTTAACTCGCTGTCATCACAATAGTCCTTCGTTTCAACAGGTGAACACTCGCTTCACTGACCATCGGCAAAAACTGTCACTTGTTGGCTCACCTCACTTGAGCTCCAGTGCACATAATCACTGGTCATACTTGTGACTCTTTACTATAATGTCCTCGGCCACCTACACATTGGCGCTGTGAAGATGCCTCTGGTCACTGTCTTTGATGACCACACCACACGGCAGAAGATGAAGAGACGACATTTCTGTTTGTCCTGGACCATTATAAAGTCGATTGCCCTTGCCGGCTCCATCACAGGTTGGGACTGCACTCTCACTTAAGGACCTCACTCACTCCACCGCTCTTCTTAGTACTTATGGTTGGTGGTCTTTGTTAATGCAGTAGACTGTGGGGTATACCGGGGCCATCCGGCCGAGCGGACAGCACGCTGGACACGTGATCCTGTGGTCCTGGGTTCGATCCCGGGCGCCAGTGAGAAACGATGGGCAGAGTTTTTCACCCTATGCCCCTGTTACCTAACAGTAAATAGGTACCTGGGAGTTAGGCTGCTTCCTGGGGGTGGAGGCCTGGTCAAGGACCGGGCCGCAGGAACACTAAAGCCCCGAAATCAACTAAAGATAACCTCACGATAGATAACCTCTTAATAGGTATCCAGCTCTATGCAAGGCTTCTTGTGTGTGTGTGTGTGTGTGTGTGTGTAATTACCTAAGTGTAATTACCTAAGTGTAGTTACAGGATGAGAGCTACGCTCGTGGTGTCCCGTCTTCCCAGCACTCTTTGTCATATAACGCTTTGAAACTACTGACGGTCTTGGCCTCCACCACCTTCTCACTTAACTTGTTCCAACCGTCTACCACTCTATTTGCGAAGGTGAATTTTCTTATATTTCTTCGGCATCTGTGTTTAGCTAGTTTAAATCTATGGCCTCTTGTTCTTGAAGTTCCAGGTCTCAGGAAGTCTTCCCTGTCGATTTTATCAATTCCTGTTACTATTTTGTACGTAGTGATCATATCACCTCTTTTTCTTCTGTCTTCTAGTTTTGGCATATTTAATGCTTCTAACCTCTCCTCGTAGCTCTTGCCCTTCAGTTCTGGGAGCCACTTAGTAGCATGTCTTTGCACCTTTTCCAGTTTGTTGATGTGCTTCTTAAGATATGGGCACCACACAACAGCTGCATATTCTAGCTTTGGCCTAACAAACGTCATGAACAACTTCTTTAGTATATCGCCATCCATGTATTTAAATGCAATTCTGAAGTTAGAAAGCATTGCATAGGCTCCTTGCACAATATTCTTAATGTGGTCCTCAGGTGATAGTTTTCTATCTAGAACCACTCCTAGATCTCTTTCTTTATCAGAATTCTTTAAAGATTTCTCACATAATATATAAGTTGTGTGGGGTCTATGTTCTCCTATTCCACATTCCATAACATGACATTTATTAACATTAAATTCCATTTGCCAAGTGGTGCTCCATATACTTATTTTGTCCAGGTCTTCTTGAAGGGCATGACAATCATCTAAATTTCTTATCCTTCCTATTATCTTAGCATCATCAGCAAACATGTTCATATAATTCTGTATACCAACTGGTAGATCATTTATGTACACAATAAACATCACTGGTGCAAGAACTGAACCCTGTGGTACTCCACTTGTGACATTTCTCCATTCCGATACATTGCCTCTGATTACTGCCCTCATTTTTCTATCAGTCAGAAAATTTTTCATCCATGATAGAAGCTTACCTGTCACCCCTCCAATATTTTCCAGTTTCCAGAACAACCTCTTATGTGGAACTCTGTCGAAAGCCTTTTTTAGGTCCAGATAGATGCAGTCAACCCAGCCATCTCTTTCCTGTAATATCTCTGTGGCCCGATCATAGAAACTGAGTAAATTCGATACACAGGATCTTCCTGATCGAAAACCATACTGTCTGTCTGATATTATATCATTTCTCTCCAGGTGTTCTACCCATTTAGTTTTGATTAGCTTTTCCAATACTTTCACTATTACACTTGTCAATGATACAGGTCTATAATTGAGGGGGTCTTCCCTGCTGCCACTTTTGTAGATTGGAACTATGTTAGCCTGTTTCCACACGTCTGCTACGATTCCTGTACACAGGGATGCCTGAAAGATCAGGTGAAGTGGAATGCTGAGCTCAGATGCACATTCTCTCAGAACCCATGGTGAAACGCCATCTGGGCCAGCTGCTTTGTTCCTCCCGAGCTCCTTTAGCATATTTTCCACTTCATCTCTAGACACCTCTATCCGCTCTATGTTGTTCTCTGGAATTCTTATTGTGTCTGGTTCTCTGAAGATTTCATTTTGTACAAACACACTTTGGAACTTTTCATTTAATGTTTCACACATTTCCTTTTCATTTTCCGTGAATCTGTTTCCCATTTCCAACCTCTGGATATTATCCTTTACCTGCAATTTGTTGTTTATGAATTTGTAGAATAGGCCCGGTTCTGTTTTACATTTATCTGCTATCCCTTTTTCAAAATTTCTTTCTGCCTCTCTCCTTACTGCTGTATAATTGTTTCTCGCATCTTTGTATCGCTGGTATGTTTGGGGGTTTGGCCTCTTCCTATACTGATTCCATTTTTGTGTCTTTTGGTCTCTTGCCCTCTCACAATTTCTGTCGAACCAATCCTGTTTTTTGGTCCTGCATCTCTGTTTTGGTATGAATGTTTGTGTGCCTTCCTCGTATAGTTTTAAAAATTTGGCATACATTTCATTTACTTCCCTGCCTAGCAACAATTCTGTCCAATTACACTCATTAAAAAAATTTCGAAGTTCCCCATAGTTGCCTCTCTTTAAATCGAGTTTATCAACTGTTTCAATGTCCCCATTTTCTTCTAGATGATATCTTAAAGCATATTTAATGTCTAACAGGACGTGATCACTCTTTCCCAAGGGAGGAAGGTACTGGATGTCAAAAATCTCTTCTTCTTTCCTGGTGAATACTAGATCCAGTACTGACGGTATATCTCCTTCCCTCATTCTTGTGGCTTGCTTTATGTGTTGATACAAGAATGTCTCCAGAATGAGGTTCACAAATCTGCATGTCCAAAAGTCCTCCGTTCTTGCTTCATAGGCCTCCCAGTCTATTGCTCTAAAGTTGAAGTCCCCCAGTATCAACAGTCGTGATTTATCTTTATCTGCTTGTACAATAATATCTCTCATGACCATTATGAGGCCCTCTCGTTTGTCATCCAGTTCTTCCTTTGTCCACGTGTTGCTTGCTGGTGGGCTGTAGGTATTTACAATTATCAGGTTATCATCCTGATTCCAGACCTGCAATGCCATTATGTCAATATCTCGAGGATTTTCAAATATAAACTCTTTTACCTTCAGGTGTTTTTTCACCAGTACAGCCACTCCTCCTCCCTTCCTAGTTTTCCTGTCACGTCTCCAAACTGAGTAGCCTCTTGGGAATATGACTCCATTTATTATATTTCCTTCAAGTTTCGTTTCTGATAATGCAACAATATCTGGGACCCTAAGCTGGATTATATCTTGCAACTCCAAAGTTTTGACCTCACTCCATCTATGTTGGTATATACAATTTTCAGGAACATGTTCCCTTTTCCTTTGCTCTTTACTCCCCCTTCCACTACTGATCTTGTTGCTTTGTTTTTATGTACCATTTCACAAGCTTTCCAGTCCCTGTCACTTTGTAAAAAAAAGAATTTCTGTCTTCTTCATTTCTATCCCCATTTAGACGTTTTGCCTCAATTAAGTTCATTTTCAGCTTTTCTCTGTCTTCCTTGGAGAGGTCTTGTCTTATTGACCAAGATTTGCCAACCTCATCACTCTGCAGATTCCTGGCATTTCTTAGCACTTCCATCATGTTTTTCACTCCATTAAAGGTCACCCTTAAACTAAACACCCTTAAAGGTGTGTGTGTGTGTGTGTGTGTGTGTGTGTGTGTGTGGTGTGTGTGTGTGTGTGTGTGTGTGTGTGTGTGTGTGTGTGTGTGTGTGTGTGTGTGTGTGTATATATATAATATATATATATAATATATAATATATAATATATAATATATAATATGATTCATGCAATGCGGTCAGTCAGGGCCAAAAGCATATATATATGATTCAACATGGAAGGGTTAATGTTGATAGATATGCCTCGTAGTGTACTTACTGCAACACTGCTTTTCAATGGGGGGCAATTGTGCATTTCCTGCCGTGTCTCCTAATCTCATGAGGTGTTATTTCCGTGTGTAGATTCAGAACCAGTCCCACTTAATATTTTACAAGTGGAAATAATTATATATCACTCTTGCATGCATTCTAAAGAAAACAGTTTGAGGAATTTTCAGTTTTCAATAATTCAGATGGGTTATTGAGTGAATTTAAGCAGTAAAAAGATTTGTGGATTTTTATTGAAATTTATTGAAATTGCAGGCCAGCAATTCCTCCAGATTTGTGTGAAGCTGTGCAAATGTATTCCATCCTAGAGAACAGTAGTGTCTTAAAAGTACCAACAATGGTTTAGTATCTATCTTGTTTGATAGGTACTTGTTATCCCTGCCTATCCTTTTTCTAGCAATTGTTACTGCTTCTTTATTGTGTCCTTTTAACAAAATGTCTTCCAACATGATTGCTTCCAAGTCTTTTGTCACTTTCTTTGTTGTGTGATTTGACAACATTATATATGTGGTTTCTATGTTAATAGTGATGTTTATTCCATAGTGGTTGTAGTTGGAACTTGGCTTCATTGAACACCATGTTGTCTGCGGCCCATTGGACATCGGGTCTTCCCGATGACACCAAGATGTACCCGATGACACTATGATTTTGATGAGAGTAGACAATATATTGGACACTGCAAACCTCCAAACTATTGTCTACTCTCATCAAAATCCTAGTGTCATCTGCAAAGGATGATTCAGTACTATAGTTTGTGTTTTTTGCCTATGTCTGATATGAGAGTTTGAGTAAGTAGTGGAGCAAGCACAGTACCCTGAGGGACTGGGCTTTTCCCTGTGGATGGTCCGGCTTTTACTTTGTTGATTATTACTCTTTGGGTTCTATTCTTTAGGAAATTGGAGATTCGTCTTCCTACTTTGCTAGTACTGTAATTCCTTTTGTGCACAATAACACCATGGTCACAGTTGTCAAAATCTTTCATGAAATCTGAGTGTTAGAATGGGGGGTTGTGCTCGTCTTGCATGGAATCTAAGGCCACGTCCATAATGATCTAACATTTGAGAGAGGCAGGGGCATCCTGCTCTAAACCCATGTTGGCCAGTGTTACAGAAATGGTGTCACAGCACGTGTTAAAGAATCTTACATCTTAACACTCGTTCAGAGATATTTATAATGTGTAATGTTTGTGTGTTCAGTTGGTATTTTTTTCCATCAGTTTTATGTCTTCCTTTGTGGAGTGGCATACTGTCTATACCCACTTCCAAGTTGAGGGTTATTAGAGTGCCCTTTGATACACAATGGTGTTACATTCAGGAAGAAATCGTTTGGAATATTGGTGTTTAGTGTGTCCAGGGGTTCACTGGAAACAGAATATAAAATCTGGACTTTATAAGAGTCTTGTAACTCGATCATTTGTGTTTGTGTTCGTAGCTTGCCTTGTTTTTGGGATAGAGTGGAGCATTTGAGTAGTTCTGTAATTTGTTTTCTTGGTGTGTAGTGTGTGCCTTTCATGTTCCAATTTGCATCTTCCTTTTTTCTTAGTGGTATGTAACTTGAGCACTTGCTTATTAATGACTAAGGAGAAGTGAGATCTAGGTATTCATGCCATGCCTCCTTGCTGTTTATACCTAATGTGCTAATTACCTCTTTCAGCATTAACTTTTCATCATATGTCTTCTTATAGTTGTATATGATATTAGCTACAGCAACATCTTCCTTCAATGCACTGCACTTGCCTACCACCCCAACCTGTCCTACACAGGTTGGAACACGGGGGCCTGGTAGCCTGGTGGATAGCGTGCAGGACTCGTAATTCTGTGGTGCGGGTTCGATTCCCGCCCCAGACAGAAACAAATGGGCAAAAGTTTCTTTCACCCTGAATGCCCCCGTTACCTAGCAGTAAATAGGTACCTGGGAGTTAGTCAGCTGTCACAGGCTGTCCTGGGGTGTGTGTGTGTGGTGTGGGAAAAAAATAAACAGTTGATTGACAGTTGAGAGGTGGGCCGAAAGAGCAAAGCTCAACCCACGCAAAACACAACTAGGTGAATACAGAACGTCGCATCTCACATGTATGCGTTTAAGTCAAGCCTGGCCTCAGGCCAGGCTCGGGGAGTAGATGAACTCTCAGAACCCTCTCCAGGTATGCTCCATGTATAAATAAAGGCCAAAAATTGTTGTGCTAGAAAATGGAAGCGGCTTGCAAAAAGTGACTTACTGTCCCATTTTCTGTTTTGGGTCCTCTGGTAGGTTAGGAGAGGACACTTTAAATTTACCATTTTCTTGACAATGGGAATCCTTAAGAGGACATGCTGCACCACCTTTATAGCATATGAGACCTTATATCTTTGTGCCTCAATTGCATGTCCAGATTCTACTGATGTTTCCTTGTTGTACGTCTTTTTACTTTAAATGTACAGTACTTCTTTTGTCCACTTTATTCCCAATTGAGGTTATCTGAAGTGACCCACAATGCACCTTTAATGACCCTGCAGGAACCACTTTAAAAGTTTGTTGGGGTGACAGTGTTGAGATTGTCACCTGCTTGACAGTTGTGGCCCTTATTGAGAAAACACGCCACACTGTACACAACGCACCAACCATATGCTAGTGCTCAACATTTTAACTCATTTTCTTTGTTTCTGTATATTTGATCTTGTATGCACAAAAGGTTTCTACATTAATTGTTTTATTAATTACTAATGATCTTATTACATTCCAAAATACTGGTTGTCTGCCTCTGGTGAATTCTTGATTCGTCCTTTTACGACAAACATATAAACGATAATTTATGAAAAACTAATTTCAGTCTTCTTTTCAGTGTGGCAAATAAGGCTGATGACACCCAGCTCCCTCAAGATAGCAGTGAGAGAACTGGAGTACAAAGACGCAAACGTCAGTTATACAAATCAGCTGTTTGTGAACCATACCAAGGATCTCCTAATTTGGTTAGTATTTCATAAACTGGTAATTGTATGAATTTTCAATTTTTATCTAAATTATTCAATTCCAAAGTAAATTGAACAGGTGGTTATTGAGATTATATTACCCATTCCAATTATTGAGTAGAAAATTGAAACCACACATGTACATAGTTTTAAAGCTTTTAAACCATTAACTCCAGTGTTATTGTGAGTAAAGAAGTTTACTACTGCAGAATATTTAGAAATTTCCCTGGTATTCTCTTACTTTCAACCACATATATCCAGTGTTGAATGGAGGGAAATGGCTGTTATTGTGGCTCCCTGTAGCTAACCACTTGGACAGCTCCACACGTGCCCCATCAAGCCTTGCGAGTCATTAAAGCCTACCAAAGACCAGAGGGCAAAACCTAGTTCCCCCTCAAAGAGGCACAAGAAGCAAGAGATTCTAGATCACTAACTTAGAGAACAAGCCACCAGAAAGGGAGTTAAACATAACAAAAAAGTATAGAAAATCTGAACAACTAAGAACACAGTAATCATGTCAACAGCTACTGTGTTTCTTCAGTGCTAGATAACACCCCCCCCCCCCCCCCCCCCCCCACTGCCATGTGGCAGCCCTGGTAGACCCCCAGTCTGAGTGGGGTCATGCATCAGCCATGAACCTACCAAAGAAACCTGACACACATGAAAGGGTAAGAGACGGATCAGGCAGCCACCAAAGTATTCACTATATATTCACCTTCATCACTGGCTTTCTGGAAGGGCTCCCATGGTGGTTCTCTGTAGCTATCTCTACATAGAAACAAAACAAATGGGTCTCACCATGGGTGGAGAAGAACAGAAACCAGAACCACCAAACAAGATGGAGACAAATGCAGATAACCCTACCCAGTGCTATACTCAGAGTCATCAGAGAAGATAACAGAAAAAGCTGTAAACCTACAAACATCATGGGCTTAAGCAGGACACAGCAGATGACCTGAGAAAACATGTTCAGGAACAGGGGGTCCAAGGACACAGAATCAACAGACAATGCATCACCTGGAGAAGCAGTGGGCAGCATAAAGAATGATGGATTGCCACTACTGATGAATGCACCAAGTGATGCACCCCTGACTGAACAAATCAAGAATAAATAAGGAAGTAACACCTACTGGAAACCTGCCATCCTATTTACAGCTAGAAAGGAGGAGGCTGCAAGTGAAAAAATTGCCCACCAGGACCAAAAGAATGAAAGCCCCACTTCCTGGGGAGAGCAATAAAGTCCCCAACCATGCGCCCACAAGCAAAAGACAGTGAAAAACAATACAGTACTGTAGAAGCTCGATGCTGTAGAAGTAGGTTCGAACCCTCTTCGCAACCCCCCTGTGGATTTGTTTATTTGATGCATCACGCTATTGTGATTTGTGTGTGTACTGTAGAAGCTCGCTAATCCAGGACCCGCCAATCCGGAAAAGCCCTAATCTGGCAAAAATCGTGTCCGGATAAAGTTATCTCCCTATCTGGCAAAACTGTCCATAGAAGACAGACTAGCAGATATTTGGCTGGATCAGCGTATACTGTTAGAGTTGAAATCTGAGCCATATAAGTTGCTACCGATGTTGCCCAATCCAGACAGTAAACCGGATAAGCAGAGATTATTCTGGATCAGAAAGGCAGGAATCGGGCCTTACCTTAGTAATCCCGTACGGCTGTGGCTCGAGGCGCATGGTGTAAGGGGTGGGGTGGGTGGGTGGTGTCGGGAGAGTGGGGAGCGTTGGAATGGACTGCCAGGGGGATAAGGGACATGCAGAAGGGTCGATACAGTACAGTAATTACCAATAATTTTAGAACAATTCGTCACTGTCAAAAACGTAAGAAATACAGTAATATATAATACAGTATTATAACAAATATACAAGTTTACTAAAAAAAAATTGCACAGGCTAAAGTTTACTAAAAAAAAGTTTTTTTTTTTTTTTTTTTTTTATAATTATATGTGGCAATTCAAATTTTGTTTGTGGTATAAACATTGTTGGAAATGTTCGCTTTTGGACTTCCGCAGTGAAAAAGTACGTTAATCCGGAAAACGTGTTAATCCGGCAAGGAGTTCTTCCTATATAATCTAGATTAGCGAGCTTCTACGATAATTGAAAATCTATATAATAGACCGATGGGGTGACAGAGAACTGGGTAGATAAAAGAAACTCGGAACCTGATCCAGAGACCAAAGAGGATCAAGAGGAGAGTGAGCAAGCTGGAGGCAAACAATTTATGAGGCAGCCTGTGAAATGATTCAGACAAAGTGTAGATGTTAAACTCCAGCAATAATGCCAGTAAACAACATGCCAGCAATGAGGGGTAAATTGCAAAAGTGAGTCTCAGAGATCTACCACCAGCAGACTTCACAAATGGCAGTACACCAAACAGAGAACATCCAAACTTGAAGAATGTAGGAGAGCTTTGAACCATTAAGGAGCAACTCCAGACTGAACCTTGGATAGTGCCAGAGCCACAGAGAAGCATGCACGATTGGAAAACAGACTGACGAGCCAGAAACCTCGACTGGCCTGGCACTAAGGAGCCAGAAGGAACACCCTGCTGGCAAACTACTGCAGCCTGGAAAGCACCAGGATCAATAGCCGAATCAGAGCTAAGAGATTAAGAAACATCCACTGATTCCAATCTAGCCGAAAGGCATCCACAATGAAGCCTGTACTCTGGGAATGAGAAATAAAAGGCAGAAGCTGCTGGGATTACATCCATGTAAAGAGGTCCAGCGGAGGGCACCTGTGTGTCATGTAAAACCTCCAGAAGGATGTGTTGGTGACTCTCCACCCTGAGACAATGGGACAGAAGCTAGAGAGACCCTTCACAACTTTACTGTTATAACCTCTCCCCCCCCCCCCCCCCCCAAAAAAAAAAAAAGTGGCAAACCAGAAGTCGCTAAAGGGCCAGGGCCAAATGAGCCGCCCATTCAACAGACCCAGCCAAACACTCGCCAGCACCAGGTAGAACTGAAATTTAGCAGAATATCATCATCCTCTGCCTGGATGGGGAACCATCCAAAATGAGACCCAGCCTGTTATGTTACCGAGACTTCTGTCCAGTGACTGGAACCCAAACCTGGTCAGCTGGACGAGAACCAGACCCATGCTTGCAGACAGATTGGCCGGCAACCCAAACCAGCCAGTCATTGTGGTACCTGCTTGATGGGGTTCTGGAAGTTCTTCTACTCCCCAAGCCTGGCTTGGAGCCAGGCTGTTGCTTGGAGCGGCCCGCAGGCCCACATACCCACCACAGCCCAATTGGTCTGGCACTTCTTGAAGAAAACTATCTAGTTTTCTCTTGGAGATGTCCACGGTTGTTTCGGCAATATTTCTTATTCCTGCTAGGAGGGTTGAACAACTGTGGACCTCTGATCCATACAGAGTTCTCTGTATACAGTGTTCTCTGATTGTGGTCTATAGGCACCCCTTTAGCCCAAGGTGTAGATCCACAACAAATGAAAATAACAACCATGACCCATGTCAAACAGAGAAAGCTCCCCCTCCCCTCCCCTCCCCTCCCCTCCCTCTGGGTTCGTCGTGAGGGGGGGAGGATGGGGTTATAACCTTGACTCAATGGGAGCTGCCTGGTAGTGGTTATTAGTACTAGTGATTTTTCAAGCAATTTGAACGACTCCCTTGTTCTGTGTGATTTGTCTGTGGAGTTGTTTGGCAGTTCTGAGGCCTTTCTGTGAACCATCCAGTTGTCTGTAAAGCTTCACTGATCTTCCTGGTGGCTTTTTCTTTTCGGGTGGTGGATTATCATCTACTCCCGGCGTCTCTGCAAGGGGGATGGGTCAGGGTCTAGCTCTGGTTCCTGGTAGCCAAATACACCTTTAACAACTGATGTGACAATTTAGTATGGAGCCATCTGAGCAAGGGGATGCTCAGATGGCTCATGTGCATTTCTTCAGGGAGTCACAAGGGCTCCTTCAGAAAGAAGCATTTCATTACATTCAATGCTGGGGTTTTAGCTTTATTAGCGGTTTCTACTGTTATCTTCATGAGGAAAGACTTTCGGAATTTATTTTTTTAATTTCTTGCAGACCTTCTTTAGATTTTGTTGCTGTCATTCTTGAGCTCTCTCCATTTCTATCTTTACTCCAGTATAGTATACCGGTACTAATTTCTGTTCCTTCTCGGTTCCTCATTGTTTTCTTTAGTACTGTCTTACCTTTATCCTCGACTTCTTATTTTTCTGTTTGATCCATGTGTTAATCTTGCTCTTCTCCTTTCACATTTTCTAAGAATTGTGTATTTTTCTGTGGCTTGTGTGCTTTAATGGGGTATATAATACATCATAAATCTCTTTGCCTCTAGTTAATTTTTACACTATTACTGTATCTGAAGAAAGACTGTCTTCTCATTCCTACCTGGACCCATTAATGGACCAGTTTTTATCAGGTGAATTGTTCAGTCAAATACTATGATGCAGTGGTCATGGGCTTGTATTGGGGAAGCTTATTTTATCCTCATTATATCCTGTTCTGGGTTGTTTGCATTTTGTGCTGCTTTAAGAAGTAACTGCCATCATGTGCGAGAGTAATAGACAGAACATCTTTTAGAAATTTAAGCAAAGAAGTGTATATTAGAGCAGTTTTGAAGTATGCAGGACTGGCATAGAACCCACACCTCAGTAAACAAAGAAAATACAGTACAAAAGTAGAGTAGACAGTATCACAACATACAAGATACCGAGAGACGTGGTCGAGAAATGTACCAAGATACAGTTTCTCATTAGAATTATAATGAAAGGATACAGATAGAACCTGTAAAAGCAATTGAGCCTTAGGCTTATAAGGAAGCCAATGTGTGTTATATAGTGCTTACGTATCAGTGACAACGGGGAAGTGTGATCTAGGGCTTTATTCCCACCTCCTAGCTCTTTATACTTGGCTCAATAATTATCTTTTTCAATGGTAACATTTTCATTATTTTTCTTTTTAAAGTTGTGGATGGAACTGGCTTCAACAACCTTTTCCTTCAATGTGTTCCATTTGCCGACCCTCCGTACAGGGAAAGAGAACTTCCTTACATCTCTTCAACTCGGTTCCATGTCCAGCTTCCATTGATTTCCCCCATATCCTACTTTATTTTAATTTAAATAGATTTCTTTTATCGCCTTATCAATTTCCCATTTCTTCTCTCCTCTAAGGTTGTGAGGATGAGTTCTCTCAACCTGTCCTCATAGATGATGGCTCACAATTTTGGTACTAATTTACTTGCAAACCTCTGAACTTCTCAAATTTCTGTTTATGCCTCACAAGGTGTGGGGTTCCATACTGGAGCTGCATACTCAAGTAATGGTCTTACACAGGTAGTGTGTATGAACTTGAAAGCCCCCTTGTTTGATTCTTAAATGACATTTTAATGTATGCTAACTTCCCATATGCTGCAGATGTTATCCTGTTCATGTGAGCTTCTGGTGTTAGTTTTGAGATTATATCGACTCTTAGGTCTTTTTCTCTTATTATTGCCGGTAATTGCCTTTCCTTTAAGGTATAAATATAGGTCTCCTGTCTCTCTTACCCAATTTCATTATTTTGCACTTATTGAGATTGAATTCCAGTAGCCACATATTTGCCACCCCTGAAGGTTGTTATGGTCTCCTTGCAACACTCTACAGTCTCCTTCAGTTCTTATTCTCCTCATAAAGTTTGCATCATCCGCAGACTTCAACATGTCCGTGCTCACCTCCTCTGCCAGGTCATTTACGTAAATTATAAACAGCAATGGCCCTAGTACAGAGCCCAGTGGAACACCACTTTCCACTGATCTCTAGCCTGACATGTTCTCTATTACCCTTTGTTTCCTGTCTGTCAAGTACTCCTGTACCCAGTCCAGTACCTCTCGTGTTATCCCTGCTTATCTCACCTTCTTGTACTCGGCTAGTTGTGCTTGCGGGGCTGAGCCTTGGCTCTTAGGTCCCGCCTCTCGACTGTCAGTTAACTGTTGTATAGATTCTGGAGCTTATTGGGCTCTTATCAAATTTACATTTGAAACTGTGTATGGAGTCTGCCTCCATACACAGTATGGAGTGTGGAGTTTACATCACTGCCTAATGCATTCTATTTCTTAACTACTGACACTTAAAAAATTCTTTCTAATGTGTCTGTGACTCATTTGGGTACTAAGTATCCACCTGTGTCCCCTTGTTCGTGTTCCACCCGTGCTATATAGTTTTTGCCCACCCTGTCAATTCCCCTGAGAATTTTGTAGGTGTTATCATGTCTTCCAGGAACGTGAGGTTTAGCTCCCGTAGCCTTTCCTCGTAGCTCATACCTCTCAGTTCTGGGACTAGTCTAATGGCATACCTCTGAATTTTCTCTAATTTTGTCTTGTGTTTAACTAGGTATGGACTCCAGGCTGGAGTTGCACACTTCAGGATTGATCTAACATAAGTGGTATACAGGATCCTGAACAATTCCTTACACAAGGTTCTAAAGGCAGTTCTTATGTTGGCCAATCTAACATATGCTGCTGCTGATATCATTTTGATGTGGGCTTCTGGGGACAAGTTCAGTGTGATATCAAACCCCAGATCTTTCTCTCTATTTGACTCTTGCAAGATTTCACCTCCCAGATGGTACCTTGTGTTTAGTCTCCTGCTCCCTTCGCCTAATTTCATTACTTTACACTTTACTAAAAGTTCAACTCAGGAAAGTGTAGACATTTTCTAGACCATTTCTCCAGGTTGTCCTGTAGTCTCTGTCTATCTTAATCTGTCTTGATTCTTATAATTTTTACATTATTGGCAAACATTGAGAGGAATGCGTCTATCCCCTTTGGAAGATCGCTTACATGTATTAGAAACAGGATGGGTCCAAGTATAGAGCCCTGTGGGACTCTGCTGGTGACATCTCGCCACGCTGATGTCTTCCCTCTCACAGTTACTCGCTGTTTCCTGTCAATTAGATACTCCCTTATTCACTGGAGACCCTTACCTTTTACCCCCCTCTGTTTCTCAAACTTTTGTAACAGCCTTTTATAGGGTACTGTGTCAATGACTTTCTGACAGTCCAATAAAATAGTCTGTTCACCCTTCTCTTCCTTGCCTAATTATTGTTGCCTGGCTGTAGAATTCTATTAAGCCTGTGAGGCACAATTTGCCATCCCTGAAGCCATGCTGGTGGTGTGTTACAAAGCTCTTTTCCTCTAGATGTCCTATGAGCCCTTTCCTTGCGATCATCTCCATCACCTTGCATGGTATACAAGTTAGGGAATCTAGCCTGTAGTTGTGTATTAGAATTTTGTGCTGAACTCATGAACTGAAGTTCATCACAAATATATCAAAAAGCATTTTGCCAATCTAGGAAGATGGATTCTATCCATCCTTCATTCTCTTGTTTTATTTTGGTGACCGTGTCTTAGAATTCAATCAAGTTTATTAAACATAATATTCCTTTTGAAGTCATGTTGTGCCTCTGTTATAAAATTTACTCTCCCCAAATGTTCTACAATCCTTTTCTTTGTGTCTTTTTCTATAATGCATGTTAATGATACTGGTTTAGTGCTTCATATCTATCTCCATTCTTGAATATTGGTACTTTGCCTTTATCTAGATTTCTGGTAGCTCTACCCATCTCCAGTGTATTGTTGAACACAATAGTTAACGGGTAACACAACATCCCTGCAGCTTCTCTCAGTACCCATGGTGATACTACCAAACCAGTACGTCTGGTTCTGCTGCTTTTATCACATCCAATTTCTCCAGGTATCTTTTTATCCCTGCTACATTAACTACAATTCTTCTATTGTTTCTGGTTCTGTTGTCACCCCTACTTTGACACCAGTCTGTTTCTGGTTTGAAGACCTGGAACCCCTTGTGTTCTTCACACATTTTTGGTCATTCTCCAAAAGTGTGTTGCCTTGTCCCTGCAGTCCTAATCATATGGTCTCGTACTTTTGTTTACATTCGTTTATGACTGTGTATCAGTTTAGGTTGGCTCTTTGTTTTGCTGCAATGTCATTCTCAAGCTGCAGTTCTGCTGCCCTTCTTATTTTTGTGTAATCATTCCTGACCTTCTTCATTGCTGTCCTATTTACCTCTGTACCCATATCTGCTTTTTTCATATTTTTTTTCTTTTCCTCATTGTTGAACCATGGGTTACCCATTCTTCTTTTGTCCATTTCCCTCTTGAAAGATATGAAGTGATCTGTTGTTTCTTTGTGTTTCTGTTTCATGAGTTCCATCATCTCATTTGGTGACTTTTCTTCTATTTCAGTCTCCCATTGAACCTCTTGTAGATAATCCCTAACCTTCCTGAAGTACTCTCGTATCCTCTGTTGGGCCTTGTCCCGTTTCCAACTCGCTTTCTCAGTTCTGTAATGTAATCAAACATTATAACACAGTAGTCGGTGGATACTAGAGGTACCTCAGAGTTTAAGTTTTCAACATCATCTTCATCTCGGGTAAACACCAGGTCTAAGGCAGCTGGTGTTTACCTCTTTTGTTAAGTCCTAGATATGCTGCTACAGGAAGTGTTTGTGTGTAGTGTCCACAAATCTTACTCTCTCCATGTTTCATCTCCCCTGTGAGGATCCTCTGTTGGCCAGTTTATTTCTGGTGGTTAAAATACCTAAATATTAAGATCTTTCCTCTGGCTCTCCTTGCCATTGTGACCACATTTATTATTATTTTCATGCATGTTTTGTTGCATTTACAGTATATTCATACAAGTACTATACAGTACCTGGTACTGTACATGTGTATTAGTACAGTTCCCAGTATACAAGTATAGACATTATTTGACATTCAATTGTTTGCTTCCCAGGCTGAACCTCCTACAGCAGTTGACAGTCCACATAGTATTGTAAGGCGGCAGTTGAGAAACAAAAATAAATAAATAAATGTTAAATACTCTTCCATATATCTTTTCTTTATACTGTATATACAATGTGTGTGTGTGTGTGTGTGTGTACACGTGTTAAAATGTATGACCATGAAGGAAAATGAAACACAAAATTCTCGAGTTATTTCGCGTTCATTCAATACATCTTTAGATGCATTGAAATGAAAATGAAAGTGTTCAAAGTATTTCATGGTTTATTTTTATTTGTGGTTACATGTTTCACATTAGTTATCATGATAATTTCTTTGTGATTTACACATGCATACATGTAAGGAATTAGTGTATATGAACACTATTTCACAGCATAATACGATGCTTGAAACGCCTTGAAAGTATAATGCCTACGAGTGGTTTATAGGTATAGTCCAGAAATGATCGACTAGGGTAAAAGTAATTTAAACATCTCGGTGTTAGACTTATTTCAAGTATTCATAAATATGAGCAATCCAATTGGTCATGTATGTGGTATCGGGGATAATATATACAGGTAATCGAGTAATATATTATTATGAGATTTTTTGTAATAAGTGCAATGTTTGTTTCACCATTTAATGCACATAATGTAATTACTAAATTTACCTAATTAAACATAATATTAGGTTATATGAAATATATTTTTAGATGTAAGATATGTTAAATTCCTGATTTTGGGGGTCTTGTGTAGATGTATGAAATGGATGTTACAAATACCTTTGTCATGCAAGATGCATATTTTTTTCTGTGCTGACTCCCTTAATAACTGACCAGAGCTTTGTCCTGAGAATCAAGACCAGAATTTGGCTAATACGAGGTGGTAGCCAAATTCTGGTCCAAGAGGTAAGGGTGGCATGTGGAGATTAATCACATAATCAAACAAGTTGCTCAAAAAGCCAATACTATAAAACAAGGAAATACAAGGAAACAAGCTACTGCTCTATGGGAAATGAATGAAATGAAAGACACCAGATGGTAACACGTAAAAATAAACTGATAATGTCCAGTAGTAAACAAACATCATCTCAACTTGCACCGGCCACCACCAGGTAGCAGCAGCAGTCAGTTACCAACTTCATTTCCTGATCAAGACTCGGTATATAAAGTCCCTGATCTTGTGCCTTGGTGCCAGGCTGTTTGCTCTGGAGCTGGTATGGGTGCCCAAGCTGTCTCTTGGACTCTAGGCTTTGTCTGGGGTGGCTGGATGGGACTAGAGTGACCAAGTTGCCATCTGGTGGATGCCTGGGGTAGCAAATATTGGCACTGTTCATTTCTGTCTCATATAGCAGTTGCTTGTTTTACTGTACAGCTCCTTGGACTTTGTTAGCAGTTTACTTTGGTTGAAAGGTCAATATTTGATCCACATGAGCCAAATATGGGTAATACAATCTGGCTTCCCTCTTTCAGGGAGCCAGATTGTTGTAGTTGCTGGTAGGGTGTGAGAATACTGTACCTTAGGAGCTGATAGTGGTGGTGTGGCCTTGCTGTTCCAGTGCCAAAGGTCTGGTGAGCTGTTGAGTTTACATTCACAAAATTATTTTATTACATTCAATGCTCATTTTTTGTCCTATGATAGAGACGTTTTGTACCCAATGAAAGTACAAGGTATTTATGAAGTACATTTTATTTAATTTTTTTAATAAATGTTTGTATGTTTACAAAAGTTTGTTTTTAAAACCTAAAATAAAGCCTAAAAATTTTTGTTTGAAATGCTGCAAATGAATAAGTTTCCTGTTTTTGTCTATCAAGGTCTCCACGGGGGAGAAGTTGGGTTTTACGTCCCACTCTCTTATCGTTGGTATCTGGTGCCTTTAAATGTTTTGCTAATTTAGTTCACTATTATACAGTGGTACCTCGGAATGCGAGTGTCCCTGTATGCGAGTTTTTCGGAAGACGAGCAGGATTTACTCCAAAAATATGTCTCGGAAGGCGAGGGTTACCTCGGGACGCGAGTTTGTCGATACGTGTACAGGCCGACTGGCGCGTGGTGGCATGGCGATCGCTCCTCAGTTTACCAGTGTCTCGTGTCCAGTGACTATCCCACCTGAATTCTTCACAAGGATTTACAGTTTTTTATCGGTTTTTTGGCCATTTGAGCATAAAAGTTGTCATTATATATCTTGCCATGGGTCTCAAGAAAGCCATTGGTAAGGTTCAACCTAAGAAAATAGCTGTGAGTAGAGGCAGTAGAGGATGTCCCTTCTTGATTAAGAAAATGTGTGAAGTATGGGAAGAACTGCAAAGTTTTGTTGAAGAAACTCACCCAGATAAAGCTGTAGCAGGCCGTTGCATTGACCTTTTAAATGATAATGGGATTTCTTGCTACAGACAAGTGCTAAAATGTAGGGAAAAACAAGTGTCATTAGACAAATTCTTAGTAAAACAAGCAAGTCCTAGTGGTATGCAGGCAAAATGTGCCAGAGTGTGCATACCAGTGAAGTCCTCACTGCCTGATGTGATAATGGAAGGGGACTCCCCTTCCAAACAGTAACTCCTCTCTTCCTCCCACCTCCTCACCATCTTCCATACGCCTACAGCAATCAACAGCAAGGTAAGTAATAACTTGAACATAGTTTTGTAGGTTTATTTAGATGAATTAGGTATAAAAATTTAGTTTGATGTGGGGTTTTTGGGGTAGTCAGGAACGGATTAATTCATTTCCCTTTATTTCTTATGGGGAAATTAGCTTCGGAATGCGAGTTTTCGGAATACGAGGCGTCTCCAGGAACCAATTAAACTCTTAAACTGAGGTATGCCTGTACTATACAAATCACAACTTTGTCATTTTGCAGATGACTCAAAAATCACCATGAGAATTACTTCTACAGAAGACATTGAAAAACTTAAAGCTGATATTAATAAAGTTTTCAGTTGGGCAGCAGAAAATAACATGTTTATCAGTAAAAATTTTTGTTAAGGTAAAAATTAAAACCTTAAAGTACAATTAAATCTGCCCATAATAGAAAAGCAACATGTAAAGGATCTGGGAATAATGATGTCTGAAGACTTAATGTTTAGGGAGCATAACTAAGCAAATATAGTGTAGGCTAGAAGTAAAGGAACACGTGGTATGCATGGACATGATAAAGTGCACAAATTATTGGGATCATCTCAAAGCTCTTAAATTTACTCTAGAAAGGATATGATAAGAGGCAACAATATTGTATAGTGTACATGGAAAATACTGAAGGGACAGGTCCTAAATTTACACAGTAAAGTTACAACATACCGGAATGAACGATGTGGAAGAAAATGCAGAAAAAACAGAGTGAAGAGTGGAGGTGATTGAGGCACACTCAGAGGTCCACGGTTGTTCAATATCCTCCCAGCTAGTATAAGAAATATTGCCGGAACAAAAGTGGAAATAAGTAAATAATTATCAAAGAAGGCACCAAGCCGGGAAGGCTATGTAAGTTTTCAAGAACAACTGGACAGTTTTCTGCAAAAAGTACTGGACCAACTAGGCTATTGTGTATATGTGGACCGCTCCAAGCAACAGCCTGTTGGACCATGTTATCACAGCTACTCCCTGGGAAATAGAACTCAGAACCTGATCTAGGTACAATCCAAATAGGATTGCCATGTTAAACGGGGAGATAACCGCTTGGGACATTGTACACTAAACTGCACTTGGCCTCCCTCACTGCCGTACTAAGTGGTGTTCCTTGACTCCAGGCAAGCATATTCTTTATATTCACCATTTATGATTTCCGACCTTAATACACTTATATTTTTGGCTCCTGGTTTTGTCGGCCCAGTCTGGCGATTCCTCTTGATCCTCTCCTGTACCTTGAAACTCATCTTCGGTGTCACATATGGTGATTAGTTGTTTGTTACAATGGTATCTTATACCCCCTCCCCCTCTCTGCCATAGGGGTGCAGTGTTGTGAGCCTACTCAGTCTCGCCCTATTCCCTTGCACACCTGTGTTCCAGGATTTGTTTGGCCCACTTACATGGGCCAAATGTTTTGATATTTCATATTCTGATAAATCTACTGTTGTCTTCTGATAGTTAGCACCGTGCTCATACTTTGCAGAGGGCTCATGCTTGTTGTGGTTCACCCCTTTGACATGGCAGTGTGGTTGGGCAATCTGTCTTCAGGGAGAAGATTTGCTCAAGGGAATAGATGGGGATGACTACATAATTTGTGCTACTCTCTATTCATGGTTGTTAGGTTAGATTAATTTTATTGGTTACATTAATACAATGTATTATTGACAATAATGTAAATTATGGAAATTGAAAACTATTTGTGCCCCCTCAAATTCCATTTTTCAGAAAACCAAATTTCTTGGGAAGAAAACAAGAAAATTCTTATTTTAAATCAACAATTTATATTACATTAAAGTTATAACTTGAACCATTGTTGTAAACAGATTATTCTCATTTGCCAGTTTACATGTAGACTATTACTGGAATTATAATATGCTTAGACAATCACAAATATCTAGATAACTATGCAGGGGGGGTTGGGTTGAGGGGGGAGGTCCCATGATTTGTGGAATTTTTGGATTTCTTATGGTCTGCAGTAGAGTTGGTCAGCCCCTTGTCCCTTTTGGGGCAGACCTCTTTTTACCTTGCCCTTGTTAGGTCATTTCTGGGTGGGTTGCTTCCGATGTCAAAATGACCATGTCACTTTGATGGATATCCTGTCTCTTCCTGGGTCCAAAACAGGATTTGGTGGAGCTCTGGTTCATCTATGACCTGTCAAGATAGAACCAGTTCATCCCTTGCCCCATTTGCTGACTGATCACTAGGTTCTAGCCCAGATTCACCTCGTATTAGTGACACATTCAGTTGGTTTCCCTGAACTTCTGGGATGCATACTGGCCAACCCGTCCTCGGCTCAAGTCCATTACATCCAGTGGTCGACCCCACAGACGCATTCATTAATTTTTACATACTGTTCATTCAAAACAAATTTTCTCATATAAAATTAATATTATAATATACTGTATTAATATATTGTGCTTATATAGGCATAGGTTAGGTGTTTAGGTTCTGTTGGCGATTATTTGTATTTGTAGTACGTTGGTGAAGCATTTATAGCGTTGTGGTTCGAACAAAATTTGTCAGTGAAGCACTTGTTCCAGAAGTGTTCGAACGAAATCGGCTGTGAGTCGTGTGTAAACCGTTTTTCATTCATAAACAGGGTTTTGGCGGGTGCATGGAATCACTTTTGGGTCTTTGTTTGGAGGATGGGCTGTACTGGCATGGTCCTATTTGTCCAGGGTTCAGGGATTGGTTGTTTTATTATGGGGTGTAATTACCGCTTATGGGTTTCTTTCCCTTTGCTTTAATCTGACTCCCAGTGAATTTGCCAGTTTGGCCTGGGATGTGGTGACTCGTCTTCGTTTGTTAGGGGGTCATGTTCTGGCCTACTTTGATGACTGGCTAGGTGGGCCTCTCACTCAGCTTGCATATCTGCTAGCCAGGAATCTGGTTCTTTCCACAGCTCATTGGGTTCAGGTTCCTGGTGATCCGGCAGAAGTCCTAGTTAGTTCCGTCCCAGGTCAGGACTTGGCTGGGCCTCTTGTGAAACTCGCTCTTGGCATCACTTTTCTATCCTACGGTGACTGCTTCATCTGCAGTGCTGCCACCTGCTGGTATTGTGGCAGTCCCAGGTGACTTTGCAGTTGCTGCTCAGATTGTGTGGGTGCCAGTACTTTGTGTGGTTTTTCCACTGGACTGCGAGTAGCTTTGGGGCCTGTTCTGATTTCTCCAGTTCCACCTCTTATGCTGCTACCGTGACTGTTGGGTTTGGTCCCTTATTGCCCTTAGCCCGCTACTGTGTTGCCACTGATTGATGTCCGACTACCTGCTTATTGTATTTCAGTTCTATATCACAAAATTATTTTAATTTTCTCTTTGCTATACAGCAACCTGTTCTCAGGCCAGGCTCAAAGCAGGGGTCCTGCCCTAAGATGCATTCACCCATTATACTATACTGTGTTAAAAATAGGTTTGTTCTCATTTATATATTCATATTATAGTTCTTTGTATATTTAGGATCTGTTGATTATTTGTATTTGTCATGTGGGTGAAGCATTTAAGTGGTGCTATTTTAAGAGGTCGTCACAGAAATGTTCAAACGGCATCAGCGAGTCGTGTGTAAACCCTCTTTCATAAATGGGGGTTTGGTGGTGGGATTAATGAGCATTTGGCCTTTGTTGATGAGAGCAGGTGGTATATAGTATTTTTCCCCCACTGAACCCAAGGAAAGTTTTCAGAATCCCCAGCCCATCCTCACACTATGCTGTTTAAAGCACCAGACGTATTGATCAATTAACATACTGTGTATTAAAAATTGGTTTGTTCTCATAAATTAATATTAAACATCAAAATTATATGTACAGTATAGTTAGGCATAGGTTGTTAGGTGTTTAGGTTCTCTTGGCAAATATTTGAAGTATGTGGGTGAAGCATTTATAGAATTGTGGTTCGAACAGAGGACATCAGCGAAGCACTTGTTCCAGAAGTGTTCGGACGTCATCAGTTGAGAGTCGTGTGTAAACCATTTTTCATTCATAAACGGGGGCTTTGGCGACTGGATGATCTTTGTATGCGAGGACGGGCTGGATCCCCAGTTGAAAACCTTAAGCCAATGACTGACCTTCCTCAGTGTTGTGGGTTACACCTATCTTAACTCCCACGTGCCTATTTACCACAAGGTGAACAGATACTTTCATGATTATGCAGGTAAAGATTTGGTGTAAGTAATTATCAAAACAAGGCACCAAACCGGGAAGGCTATGTAGCACCATCAAATATGTGGAATAATCAGAGGGCGCTAAATATCACCAAGGATGCCAATACGAGAAAAGAAACGCATAAAGCGAACAATATCAAAAGTATCCGATTCACCAAGAATTCTATCGAGGGACAAGTGACCACGAGGGACGGTCAGAAAAACAAGACACTCATCCTTGAAGTCAGGACATTCAACAAGGATATGCACGACCGTAAGAGGGACAATGCAATTTGAACAATAAGGAGCAGGGCAGCGCTCCATTAAGCGACCGTGAGTTAAGCGTGTATGGCCAATACGCAACCTCGCCAGGGGCCAAATTCACAAAAGCACTTACACAAACACTTACGAACCTGTACATCTTTTCTCAATCTTTGGCGGCTTTGTTTCCAATTATTAAACAGTTAATGAGCTCCGAAGCACCAGGAGCCTGTTTATAACAAAAACAACAGTTGAATGGGAAGTTTTCATGCTTGTGAACTGTTTAATGAATGTAACCAAAGTCGTCAAAGATTGAGGAAAGATGTACACGTTCGTAAGTGCTTGCGCAAGTGCTTTCGTGAATCTGGCCCCAGAGCTGTTTCCCATTGCCAGTTATGATAGTAGGAGGACGGCCATGAGGACACACTACTCTTAAGAGTACGCAGTTTGTTACCAGTAACAGAAGATCAGCAATCCTGCCAACGGGTAAGGATGGACAAATGAATAACTGGGTAAAAGTCTGAATAAGGAATATTTTTACGGGAAATGGGACAAGAGAGGACAGCTTCCCTAGCGGCAGCATTCCGCACGCTCATTTAAAGACACACCAATATGGCTGGGAACCCAGCAAAACTCAACTGACTTAAATTTACTGGAAATAAGAAACAACCAATGCTGAATCTCGACAACCACTGGATGGGCCGGAGAGCCATGGGACCTGAGAGCCATGAGGGCACTACGAGTCAATGACAACGAGAAAGCAGGAGACGAAGAGCAGAGATAATAGCATAAAGTTCCGCTGTGAAGATGCTAATCTCCGGAGGTAGGTAACACATACAAGTGCTGTCAGGAAAAACAACAGAGTAGCCTACACCGTCTGCAGACTTAGATCCATTGGTGAAGATGAAAACGGAGCGGGAGTGTGAAGAAAAGTGCTCAAGGAAAAGGTGTTCCAGAACTGTAGGAGGGGTAAAAGCTTTAGTGATGCGAGTTAAGGATGCACAAAATTTCGGAAGGGGACTCCCCATGGGGGCAAGGAAGGAACATGAGAAATATTAGAAATACTAAAAGAATCCTGTAAGTGAGATAACTGGACAGAAAGAGAGGTGGTAAGAGGAACAGGAACCACAGGGGGGGTAAAAGTTAAAGCACGACAGAGGCAAGAGGAAGGATGTTGCCAGGACCACGCAAGATAGCAAAGACAGTAGCGATCATGGCGATCGTAGAGAGATAGGAAGCCAGTGTCAACATACAAGCTGAGGACAGGAGACGAACGAAAGGCACCAGAACTGAGGCACAACCCAGTATAGTGCAAAGCATCAAGACGAAGAGTAGGAGGAGAAACAGACGAGTAAGCAGGGCAACCATAAGAGTTTAGACAGGATGAGAGAGTATTGTAAAGTGAGGAGTGCGCGCCTATCCGCTCCCCAAGAAGTATGGGACAATACCTGAAGGAGGGTAAGGGCCTTAGAGCATTCAACGCGGATGTAAGGGATATAGGGTGACCAAGACAAACGAGTGTCGAAGATTAACCCCAAAAGCTTAGCGGAATCCTTGTACACAAGGGCGGCGACCATAAAGCAACAAAGAAGGACGAAGAATGAGCATAATCATGAAAAGCTGTTTGGGCACATTAAGAATATAAGCAAGGATCATTTGGTTGTAGACTGCCCTGATCACTTTTCTATAAGCAATTACTAAAAGAAGGCACCAAGCCTTCTACATAGCACCATCAAATGTGTGGGATATTTAAAAAGGCACTAAATATCACTAAGGATGCCAATACACTTTTATACAAGTAATTAATTATCAAAAGGCACCAAACCGGGAAGGCTATGTAGCACCATCAAATGTGCAGAATAATGAGGGCACTAAATATCACCAAGGATGCCAATATGAGAACAGAAACGCATAAGGTGAACAATATCAAAAGAATCCGATTCACCAAGAATTCTATCGAGGGACAAGCGACTGCAGGGGATGGCCAGAAAACAAGACACACGCTCGTCCCGGAATCCAGGACATGCAATTTAGACAATAAGGAGCAGGGCGGCGCTCCATTAAGAGACCGTGAGTTAAGCGTGTATAGCCAATATGCAACCTCACCAGAGCCGTTTCCCATTGCCGGTTACGGTGGTAGGAGGACGGCCACGAGGACACACAACTCTTAAGAGTACGCAGTTTGTTATCAGTTACAGAAGACCAACAAGCCTGCCAGTAGGTAAGGATGGAGGTTTGAATAACTGGGTAGACTTTTGTATAAGATATCACCATTAGTTTAGTTTGATTGGTTTAGGTTTCTTGTATTAAGTACAAGGTTCTGCACATCCTTTATTGATAGTTAACAAGGGTTTTCTTGAAATATTTCAGTATAACCAATAATAAACTTAACCTGGCTCACCCATTCTATGGTATCCCTGGTATAGTAAAGAAAGTTAACCTATCCTGGATCTCAGAATTGTACATGAATGATTCATGAGATATTACCATCATTTACAATGTCTCATCCATTATTCTTTCTTGTATAGTTTTATATCATTCACTCTTATGGAGGCATAATATTTATAGGAATACAATCAATATGAGACATTTACAACAGTAAATATCTCCAATACAGTAATTTTCTATTTTTCTTCGTTTTCCTCATAATGCTTAACCTGAGCTTCTGGCTCTACATTGCTACTAGCATTAACATTGCTACTGGCATTAACTTTTAAAGACTTTGCCAATGTCTGATAGACACTGACAGCAGACCCAACTACTCCAGTGACATCTGCTACATTAGATGGTAATATGAGAGTATTATTCTTGCTGGCCAAGTTCTGGAATGCAGCAATGTATGCTTGGGCTAGAGAGAGGGAGGCTGCATTTAGACCTGGAATAAACAAAACATTTGTTGTAGTTGTGTTCCCATTCATAATGATACACAGCGTGCAAGTCATGAACACATAAATAATCTATATAGTCTCGATAACTTGGTAGTCTTCCAGCTACAAAAAAAAAAAAAAAAAAAAATTATTCGTGTGAAAATACACCACAATACTGTCTAGGATCAGACAATACTGTAGTAGTGGATATACAGTAATGCTAAATATATAATAAGGGTATTCGATTCGCCAAGGGTCTGGGTGTTCATTCAAACACTGCTCGTGAAGGATGTTCGAGTGAAGGAGCCAGTCGGCCGAGCGGACAGCACGCTGGACTTGTGATCCTGTGGTCCCCGGTTCGATCCCGGGCGCCGGCGAGAAACAATGGGCAGTTTCTTTCATCCTATGCCCCTGTTACCTAGCAGTAAAATAGGTACCTGGGTGTTAGCCAGCTGTCACGGGCTGCTTCCTAGGAGTGGAGGCCTGGTCGAGGACCGGGCCGCAGGGACACTAAAGCCCCAAAATCATCAAGATAACCTCAAGAAGATATGGTGCTGCAGGAGCTAAAATAATTCCCAAATACCTCTCTTAATTTAGAGAAACCTTCACTACCTCCCACTTAAATTTCAGCACTACATAATTTGAAGCCCCGCTGAACTATAATTTGATCATTTCAAGATAAGACGCTAATGTGTGGTCATTAATGATACAACCTCTCCCATTAACTACTGGATACTAGGCAACATATTTGGACCTTCCCCATTTATATGTACCTAACAAATTTAACAAACTAGTTTTCTTCTAGTAAGGATTCTGCTCCATCAATATTGCCTTTCTTTTTCCTTTCCAAAATCATAGAACACATCTTTGTGTATATACAGTATAATAAAAATAAAACATGCATTTTAAATATTTTTTTTTTTTTTTTTACCCCATGATGATTATATAGATCACCACCCCATGATGATTACAGCAAAGTTATAACTTTCAAACTGTGATGTCTTCGTTTCAAAGCTCAACCAAAATGCATTGCATCTAATTTATATATTCTCGGAAAGCCAAGACCAAAACTTGTAATAATATAACCCATTATATCTTTTCATGCATGTAAATATATAAACATACACCAATGGTAGGGAATAGAAAGACCAAGTTTAAAGAGAAAGTGACCGACATATATTTAGCATAAATGACATATGAAAAGCACTTTACTCCTAGCTTTATGGAGTAATAATGTGGTGTTGTTGTGGATGTTTTGTTGGAGTGTAGCTGTGTTTATTCTGTTATGATACAGTGTCTAGTGTGGAACATTTTAAGAATGGAGCCTTACTTGCCCCTTTCTCAATACAGTACTTCTATACTGTTTCTTCCATAATGATGCCCCTTCCCTTTAAAGTTGGAAATGGAATGATGACTTTCTACTAATCATATACAGTGTCTATATGTAGTTCTTTTCATTATTTTTCCCATATCTCTAGTAAGGTGCCTGTAGTGTATCTGTACAGTTGTATGTACTGTGTCTGGAGTTGAGTCTGGTGTACGTCAGTATCCTACTGAGGTGTTGCCAGAAATAACTTGCTATGCAATCTTTAAATTTGCTGCCATATCTTGCGGTTACCTTGCAACGTCCCCATGGCCCCGTTCCTGACCAAGCCTCCTGGTTGCTCAACTGGTCAACCAGGCTGTTGGATGCAGCTGCTCGCAGCCGGACATATAAATCAGCCTGGTTGATCGGGTCATGCTGGTAAATAATATAGGGAATGTTTCTGAGTGAATGGAGGTTGGCCTCAAACATTATGTAGCCCACCCCCAACCTTGCAGGGGAATGGTTTGGGGGTATGGAACACAGGATGGATGGGGTTGGTCCTATTATGAGAGAGAGAGGGGGGGGGGGGGGGGGAATAGTGATGCCATCAATTTGTCAAAGATGGCTGGCCAAGTCCTTCACTATAAATACGAATCATGCTTAAGATTTCTTAGCATTTCATTAATAATTCTTGATAAATTAGCAGCTAAATATGATAGTGTGAGGAGGGGGGGGGGGGGGAGAGAAAAATTAAGTCTTAAAAATTAAAGATTTTAATCTTAAGAAAAATTAAGATTGTGGTGGATATGAAACCAGTTGATCTAGGGGGACAGGGAAGAGATACCAGGGTGCAGCTGGGTACCCACCCCTAGAATAAGAGGGAAATATACACAGTACAAAAATTAATTTAAAAACATTCTTTTTGGTTAATTTAATCTTTACCTTGTTTATGAATTAATGCTTCACAGAGAAGATTAAGTCCTTCAGCTTGACCTTTGGCACTGTTGACCTGTTCAATCTTGTCTGCTTCTGATGCAAGAATTCGGGATTGTCGTTTTCCCTCGGCAACATTAATCTGAAAATCACAGTACATACTCTTAATATTTGAAGTATTAAAAATTATTTTTCATTTGTTTTAGTAATTACACCAATGTAATTATGTATATTTAGCTGTGACAACACAGGGTAGAGGTTTTCAAGTGATTAGCTACAGGGGGCCAATGGTGAAGCCGTCCCACAAAACAAGTATGTTATGAGTGCTTTACCTCTGCTTCTCTCACTCCCTCAGATTCAAGAATTGTTGCTCGTTTTCTTCTCTCAGCCTCAACCTGCATCTGCATTGCATCTTGTACACGCTGTGGTAATTTAATGTCACCTGGAAAGTAATATAAACTGTCAATTGAAATTAAAATATTCTAGTTATAAAAAAATTAACTACTTATTTTTAACCCAAATTCATACCGAGTATTCACCCTGAAAAACAACTCAAAACCACACAACAGTGTGTCAATTCTAGAATACTTATAACAATTGAAAACTGTATTTGCAATATTACAAATAAATGTATTTAATGTACAGTAAATTAGACCCAAAGTGAAGGAAATACTCTTATCAAGGTAAGTACCAGTTGTACACATGTACCCACACTTACATATCTACAGCCATACATTCCCACACCAACTTATGAAAATTACTTCAGGGATATTGTACATGAGCTATGTACAATTTCCTCTACTACTAATTTGAATTTTGTATTAAGAATTTTATTGGCCTTCATGAACCACAAAGCAACCACTGATTTACCATGTCAGTAAACCTATTCAACTAATGTAGAATCCAGCTCCCATATCTAATTCAGCAATAATGTTTCTGCATTAATATATGCAAACCATTTTGCTTGGAAAACACTATGAGAAGAGACTTGGGGCCACTTCTTTACCTTTATTAACAGTGGAAATAGCTCAGGAGCATCTGAGTACCACTAATAAAATGTAAAAATATAAAATGTAAAAATATAATGGGAGCCGGTCGGCCGAGCGGACAGCACGCTGGACTTGTGATCCTGTGGTCCCGGGTTCGATCCCGGGCGCTGGCGAGAAACAATGGGCAGAGTTTCTTTCACCCTATGCTCATGTTACCTAGCAGTAAAATAGGTACCTGGGTGTTAGTCAGCTGTCACAGGCTGCTTCATGGGGGTGGAAGCCAGGTCGAGGACCGGGCCGCGGGGACACTAAAAGCCCCGAAATCATCAAGATTACCTCAAGATAAGATACTACAGTATATTTTTCCAAGTGTGGCCACCAGCCATCTCTGTGAAAGCCTAGACAACCTGTGTAACAAGCCAAACTCTACTTACGTATTTCATAACGAAGGCAGGTAATCCCCCAGGCCTCGGAGGCCTTGTTTATTACCTCAACAATATTCATGTTCAGGTTCTCTCTCTCTCTGAAGACATAATCCAGAGAGATCTTACCAAGTTCAGACCTGAAAATAAAATTATTTTCTAATATACAGGAAACTTTAATCTGCACAAGGACTGTGTTCCTGGGAAACTTTTACAGAGCAAACATCTTTCTATGGGAAAACAAATGTATTCCAAAGTGCTCTTAAAGTATTGTTTACTCCTGTCAATGAAACACCTCTGAACATTATTTGCCAAGTATTTCTACCACTTTTCAGCTACAAATACAGTGCACAATAATTGAAATGATGCAATAATTTAATCCAAAAAGTGAAAAACGCTCAATATGAGGTGTCAAGAGATCAATGTGTGGCATTTGGGTGATGTACACCAAAACAGTAACTAAATTGTGTGAACCTTGCACACCCACTTCTATACACATCAACCCACACTCAAGCAACTGAAATTTTTGTTAACAAAAAAGTGTACAGGTTTTTAGACAAATTAGCACTTTTCCAATTTTGTTCAGAGTGTGTCAGCTGTATACTAGAATTTTTTTTTATTATATGAAACTGGAGCAAATGTATCCAAGAGTCTTAATTAACCAAAATAAAACTAATCAGGATCAGTCACATAAACCCCAAAGGTGTTTTTGGAATTAAAGGGTATTTTTTTTAATGATTAGTGTTCTAATATTTTCTTAAATCATTAGATTTTTTCTGTGGATATTATACGAAACTAAATATGAAATGTCTTTAGATATTCTGCACATGTTTATATATTCAAACCAATGAGAAGAAAATATTAAAACTCATTTACATACAATTTCTTTTTCTACAGTAAAAGTCACATTCTCAGGGTCACTACAACTCACAAGAGATAGCAACTTGTTACAGTAATTTGATTTTTGTACTTCCTGAATGATAATTAACAATGACATGGAAAAAAAAAATTCAGGACAACTTTTTTGGGGCACACCACACAACCCGTCCTCTTAAAAATAACGTCACTTTTCGCTCGTATGCGCGGCTATGGCCAAATTTGGACGTAATTTGAAATGAAATCGACTCACAAAAGTGACATACTGTTCCGTTTTCTGTTCGAGTCATCCGGCGTACTCGGCAAGCTTAGAAGAGGAAACTTTCCTTTAATGTTCTTCATACCATTTTGAAACTGAGAATTTCCTGCCCACCTAACCTATCAGAGGACCCTTAACATACTGTTGAAAAAAAAAATCCCAAATTTATTTTTATTTTTTCCATTTTCAAATTACGTCCATATTCGGCCATGCGGGTAAATGGCCAAAAGTGACGTTTTTAAGAGGACAGGTTGCACCACAGGTGTCAAATTTAATATGCGAGCAGCGCAGGGGTTATATAAAAATGGTTGAGATGGCAATACTGATTTGCACCTGGTTTTCACCTCTCTCTCCATGAAAACTTATCCAAACCGACTTTTCATACTTTTCTACATTCTAAATTACCCAATTCTTCTTATAGAATCAGAGAAATTCAATTATTGAAATATATAATGTATTTTCCCCCAGAGGACAGGAGGAAATATGCTCAAGGGAATGGATACTACATAATTACAGTAGTCCCAGTTATGATACTACAAAACTACAAAATTAGTTCTAATATCTACTCTCTATCCATGGTTAGAGTTAGGTTAAGGTTACTTTACGTTAGGGTTTGGTTAGGTTTCATTACATTTGGTTATGTTAATGTAGTGTATCACTGACACCGTGAAATATGGAATTAGAAAACCATTTCAGCGTTCCCATGAATTCCGGTTACAGTAAATGGAATTCTTAAAAGAAAACATTTTCAGCAAATACTTTTGATATTTTAAGCCAACAATTTATAACACAAAGTTATAACTTGAGAATAATCTCCGTTCAGGCCAAAGGTTCATCTGCTAGTTTACATGTAGACTATTGCTAGAACTGTAATATACTTTCAGACCATCACAAATATCTAGATAACTATCCAGGGGGTTTAAGGTGTATGGGGGTGTGGTTTCTCAAGGTAATGGATTTGCTGTGAGGATCTCTCGAGAGGTTATCTCGAGATGATTTCAGGGCTTAGCGTCCCCATGGCCCGGTCCTCGACCAGGCCTCCTTTTTGTCACCCCCCCCCCCCAAGGAAGCAGCCCATAGCAGCTGTAACTCCCAGGTACCTATTTACTGCTAGGTAACAGAGGCATCAGGGTGAAAGAAACTCTGCCCGTTTGTTTCCGCCTCCACCGGGGATCAAACCCGGAATCTTTGTAATACGAATCCCGAGCCCTGTCCCCTTAGCTGTCAGGCCCCTGGATGGGCTCAATAAATGATGTTTACATCAAAAAACAACTCGTGGAAACTTTAATACAAATTAAAACCACTAGCCATAGATTACATTGCAGCCTCTTCACACACTTATTTCCTCTAAATAAATTTGCATACACTCATATTAATCACTACATTGTCATATGCAAATGATCCAACCCATCCTCCAAATAGAACATTTGTAGTTTGACGTAAACTTTACCTAACGACAAAAACTGTCGTACACTATTAGAAAATGGTAGCAGCTCGCGAAATTGACATACTGTACTGTCCTATTTTCTGACTGATCACAGCCTGATCAATCAGGCTGTGACTCGTTCATCAGGCTGCGAGCCGCTGCATCGAACAGCCTAATTGATCAGACTGCTGGGACATTCATTCTTAAAATTTACAACAGGAACGTATAATAGAATTGCAAATTATTCAGGTTTTGTAAACTTAATTCTTGTTTAAATAAAAGCACACATGGAAGAATATCTTGCAATAAAAGCCTACCTCATAGTAGTTTGGGCAAGCTGAGTAATGGCAAACTCTGGATCTTCTACTCCGTAACTTGCTCGGTATGGGTCAAGGATTCGTAAGTAGAGGACGCCATCAATACTCAGGGTAACATTATCTAAAATAAAATTACTTAATTAACTCATGCCGTATTTCTCTTTCACATTAAAATATTATAAACTATTTGCTACTGCCAGCTGATTGCTATCATAGCATTTTTTATCCAATAATATACAATAATTTAAAAACAAGTAAACAAAAAAATTTCATGAGACTTAAAATAATACAAAAAGCACATACAATGCCTAATCTATTATATGAAGCACTTTTGAGGTGACTAACACTTTCAATAAAAACCCTGACAAAAATGGGAATTAAACAAAAAGGTACAAACAAAAATTAAAGCATCAAGTAAAGGTAAATTCCCCTTTACGAGTAATGCGTCGGACGCTCGGCAGAGCTCAATCTTGTAGCCCCTAGTAGACTCCGGGCTCACCAGGCTCTAGAGACTCCTATCACCTAGGAAACCAAGTGCCAAAACAAGTGCCATTTGAAAGTGTCTTGCCCCCTCTTCCAGGGGCAGACAGTTCGGTGGTGTGTATTTTCAATTGGGCTTGGCAAGTCTGCAACTATTTTACTACTCGCATTATGTTACAACTCAATTTGGTAAGAAACAAAGGGAAGGAAATAGGGAGCTACCAAGGCACTGCTTTAAAAGGGGCATTTCAGTATATTTCTCTTGAAAAAGATGTTCCTTGAACCATGTTATGCTCAACCAGGATTACATTGTACACCAATACTGTACTGTAAAATATAGAGGTCTGTTTCAAGGAGGACAGAATGAAGGAAGAGTAAGTAAGAAACACTAGCACAGTACAGTATGGTAGTATAAAGTACTGTACCTGTAAATGAGTAGGAAAAATCACATCTGGAAACAAATTTATAAACGTTTCTCTGAATAGAACTTCCTCCTAACACTGGCGGCAACATTAGACTGATAAACAGAAACCGTAGATGAAGTCAGGCCTGATATTGGCAAGATAGAGCATAGGTTGATATATATATAATAGTGGAACTCTAGCACAGGCAAGAAAACTATATATATATATATATATATATACAGGTATTTCATAATTTGGTGCTTCATATCACTATGAACTTCAATTTGATTTGTCTTAAAGGATAAGGCTTTCAAAATGACAGTACTGTATAAGCAGGTAGGAAGTTAATACATAATACTGTACAGTGGTACCTTCGTTTTCGAATTTAGTCCATTCGTAGAGAGGGTTCGAAAACCAAAATAAATTTTTCCCATAAGAAATACTGTAATATAGATTGAATTAATCCGTTCCACACCCCCAAAAATATTAACTTAAAAATACATTTTATATATACTACTTATAGTTTGTACTACAGTATGTACAAGTATATGCAGGCGATGAGTCACAATAACGTGGCTGAAGTATGTTGACCAGACCACACACTAGAAATTGAAGGGACGACGACGTTTCGGTCCGTCCTGGACCATTCTCAAGTCGATTGTGTCACATACAAGTATATCTTACCTTTATTAAGGACTTGTTGGCATATGGAAGATAGTGAGAAAAGGGGGATGGAGCCTGTGAAACACGACGATACTTTGACATTGCTACAACCACTGAACAAGTTTTGACACAAGTTGTAACAACATTCTAATACGTCTTAAAAAGTTGTAATAAAGTTGTTACATCTTGTTTAAGTTGTAATAAGGGAATCATAGGGGACCGTTACGTTGTGTGTTTGCAGGGAGGAGTGTGAGTGTTGGGAAGGGAAGTCCCCTTCCATTATAACAACAGCAGTGTGAGTGTAGTACAGGATGAGAGCTACGCTCGTGGGTCCCGTCTTCCCAGCACTCTTTGTCATATAACGCTTTGAAACTACTGACGGTCTTGGCCTCCACCACCTTCTCACTTAACTTGTTCCAACCGTCTACCACTCTATTTGCGAAGGTGAATTTTCTTATATTTCTTCGGCATCTGTGTTTAGCTAGTTTAAATCTATGACCTCTTGTTCTTGAAATTCCAGGTCTCAGGAAGTCTTCCCTGTCGATTTTATCAATTCCTGTAACTATTTTGTATGTAGTGATCATATCACCTCTTTTTCTTCTGTCTTCTAGTTTTGGCATATTTAATGCTTCTAACCTCTCCTCGTAGCTCTTGCCCTTCAGTTCTGGGAGCCACTTAGTAGCATGTCTTTGCACCTTTTCCAGTTTGTTGATGTGCTTCTTAAGATATGGGCACCACACAACAGCTGCATATTCTAGCTTTGGCCTAACAAAAGTCATGAAGAATTTCTTTAGTATATCGCCATCCATGTATTTAAATGCAATTCTGAAGTTAGAAAGCATAGCATAGGCTCCTTGCACAATATTCTTTATGTGGTCCTCAGGTGATAGTTTTCTATCTAGAACCACTCCTAGATCTCTTTCTTTATCAGAATTCTTTAAAGATTTCTCACATAATATATAGGTTGTGTGGGGTCTATGTTCTCCTATTCCACATTCCATAACATGACATTTATTAACATTAAATTCCATTTGCCAAGTGGTGCTCCATATACTTATTTTGTCCAGGTCTTCTTGAAGGGCATGACAGTCATCTAAATTTCTTATCCTTCCTATTATCTTAGCATCATCAGCAAACATGTTCATATAATTCTGTATACCAACTGGTAGATCATTTATGTACACAATAAACATCACTGGTGCAAGAACTGAACCCTGTGGTACTCCACTTGTGACATTTCTCCATTCTGATACATTGCCTCTGATTACTGCCCTCATTTTTCTATCAGTCAGAAAATTTTTCATCCATGATAGAAGCTTACCTGTCACCCCTCCAATATTTTCCAGTTTCCAGAACAACCTCTTATGTGGAACTCTGTCGAAAGCCTTTTTTAGGTCCAGATAGATGCAGTCAACCCAACCATCTCTTTCCTGTAATATCTCTGTGGCTCGATCATAGAAACTGAGTAAATTCGATACACAGGATCTTCCAGATCGAAAACCATACTGTCTGTCTGATATTATATCATTTCTCTCTAGGTGTTCTACCCATTTAGTTTTGATTAGTTTTTCCAATACTTTCACTATTACACTTGTCAATGATACAGGTCTATAATTGAGGGGGTCTTCCCTGCTGCCACTTTTGTAGATTGGAACTATGTTAGCCTGTTTCCACCCGTCTGCTACGATTCCTGTACACAGGGATGCCTGAAAGATCAGGTGAAGTGGAATGCTGAGCTCAGATGCACATTCTCTCAGAACCCATGGTGAAACGCCATCTGGGCCAGCTGCTTTGTTCTTACCGAGCTCCTTGAGCATTTTTTCCACTTCGTCTCTAGACACCTCTATGTGTTCTATGTTGTTCTCTGGAATTCTTATTGTATCTGGTTCCCTAAAGATTTCATTTTGTACAAACACACTTTGGAACTTTTCGTTTAGTGTTTCACACATTTCCTTTTCATCTTCCGTGAATCTATTTCCCATTTTCAACCTCTGAATATTATCCTTTACCTGCAATTTGTTGTTTATGAATTTATAGAATAGACCTGGTTCTGTTTTACATTTGTCCGCAATCCCTTTTTCAAAATTTCTTTCTGCCTCTCTCCTCACTGCCGTGTAGTTGTTTCTCGCATCTTTGTATCGCTGGTATGTTTGGGGGTTCGGCCTCTTCCTGTATTGATTCCATTTTTGTGTCTTTCGGTCTCTAGCCCTCTCGCAATTTCTATTGAACCAATCCTGTTTCCTAGTTCTGCATCTCTGTTTTGGTATAAATTTTTTTGTGCCTTTATCATATATTTCACAAAACTTGCCATACATCTCATTCACTTCCTTGCCTAGCATCAAGTCTGTCCAATTATACTCACTAAAAAAATTTCTAAGGTCACCATAATGTCCTCTCCTGAAGTCTGGTTTTTCAACTGCTTCAACCTCCTTATTTTCTTCCAGCTTATAATGCATTGCATACTTTATTCCCAAAAAGACATGGTCACTTTTACCCAAGGGAGGAAGGTACTGAATGTCAAATATCTCTTCCTCCTTCCTGGTAAATATCAAATCTAGCATGGAGGGAACGTCCCCTTCCCTCATCCTCGTAGCTTGTTTAACATGTTGATACAAGAATGTTTCCAGGATGAGGTCTACAAATTTACAGGTCCAAAAATCTTCTGTTTTAGCTTCATATGCTTCCCAGTCTATGGATTTCAAGTTGAAGTCACCGACTATCAACAGTCGTGATCTATCGTTATCCGCTCTCGCTATAATCTCTCTCATTATTGTTATAAGACCTTCACGTTTACTATCTAGCTCCTCCTTTGACCATGTGCTGCTTGGCGGTGGACTATATGCATTTATCATCATTAGTTTATCATCCTCATAGCAGATCTCTAGTGCTATTATGTCAACTTCTTGTGGATTGGCAGTCATTATTTCCTTCACCTTTAGGTGTTCTTTTACCAGCACAGCAACACCACCGCCTTTCCTAATTTTTCTGTCCCGTCTCCAAATTGAGTAGCCCCTTGGGAATATGACCTCATTTAAAATTACATCTTCAAGTTTTGTCTCCGTGAGTGCAACAATGTCTGGTGTCTGCAGCTGTATTACATCACTTAACTCCAGTATCTTCGATCTCACTCCATCTATGTTGGTGTATGCAATCTTCAGGAACTTGTTCCCCCTCTCCTTATTCTTCACTCCCCATCATCACTTAACAGTGATGATATTTCAGTGATGACGCCTCTCTTACGTTTTGCAGGCATACCACCAGGACCTGGTTGTGGCTCGCTGCTCGCTTGTCTTACTAAGAATCTGTCTATAGACACTTGTTTTCCCCCTATGTTTTAACACGTGTCTGTAATGAGACATCACATTGTCTCTGAATGATCGTGTTTTTCCTCTATCCGTCACCCTCAACTATTTTCTTAGGTTAAACTTTACCACTGACTTCCTTGGTTCCCATGGCATGATATACAAGAACTTTTATGTTCAGAAACCAAAAAAAAACACAAAAATTATGAAATTCTTAAAGAATTCAAGCGTGGTCATCACTAGGCGAGACACTGGTAAACTGATGCATGCCACGTATTCGGTTGGCCCACATGTGTATCAACAAACTCGAGCTCAAGAACAAAAATTCTAAAAGAGGCATTCAAAAACCAAGGTACCACTGTATTATCTTTGAGATCGTATGGTAGGTATAGAGTATCAGTAATTAATGGAGGGGACACATGTAGCATAGGATCCTATGATGCAGCAGTCGTTGCTGTCGGGCCACAGCCGAAAGGTTCTGGGTACAATTCCCACAGGACACGTTCGCTTTTTTTTTCCCCCTCAAATGATGCCTGCTCATCTAGCAGTAAAGAGGTACCTGGAAGTTAGGCAACTGTTGTGGGTTGCATCCTGAAGAGGTCAGTAGTTGGCTTGGGGGAAATCTTCATGTTCCTAACAGGCTTCCTGTCCCCAACTATGGAAAACCAGTAATATTGATACTCTATGGCGATTAATAAAGGGACACTAGCAGCATCGAATACTTACATATATTCACATAAAACTCCCATTTGAGAATGCCCTCATTATTGAGTTAAAGGGCAGCTGTGTCTGGCTCACTTCATTTACTATAGCAAGGCGATACAGCCAATAAAGACAGGTAATAAACAAAACACATACCCGAAGTTATCGCTGCTTGCTTTGGAACATCAATTGCTATTTCCTTCAAGCTCTGTACATACTTCACTTTATCTAATATGGGTATCAACAGGTTTATGCCAGGGTCCAACACTCTGTGGAATTTGCCCATCCTCTCAACCACCCAAGCCTGTGATCAACAAGAAAAAGGAACAACATTTATTGCCAATAATTTGGCACGTATTTGAAGATCATAATTTATTCACTTCCTATTTCAATAAAGTAATCAGGCATTTACCCAAAGAAGATAAAAGCAATGTGAGAAAGTTAAAAAAAAAAAAAAAAAAGGAAGATATTTAACAAAGATAATACAGTATATACAATACTAAAAATGCATGCAGTCTCTGTCAATTTAAAAATATATATATAAATATTGTACTAGTGATGGGACAATTTATTGGAATCGGTAAAGGGAATCTGAAGAATCAAGCATTTCTCATGGAGCCCCTTGTGGCTCCCTGAAATCCAGTGAAACTATACACCATCAAGTTCTTAGACCTACTGGGGACCACAGCCAGAACCTGACCTCCCTTCACAGAGTTGCAGGGAGGAGTGACATTTGTCACCTTACCAGGGAAGGCATCCAGAAGGTCAGGGAGTCAAAACAAACCAGTGCTGGGTTCAAGTGAAACCAAACCCTCAGAACCCACCTAATGAACTCCCCAACTATGTAAACAATCGAGTCTCTCAAAACTAGCGTGAACTCATTCGGCCTCATCTCTCCCTCTTGTCTGGGAGAGAAGGAGCTCAACTCATCAAGAAACACTCATGAAATAATACCAAGACAGAGCCCTATTCACAGTATCAAAGAGGACCTTCACAAGAGCACAGAACTCAAAACATCCTAACAATTAATTGTAACAAACATTCTGTAACTTCCCTAGCAAAAACAATGTATTGTCTGTTAGCCAGGCAGCCATAACCTTGTACCACAATCAAGAAAGCAAATGCAGAATCAAACTAAATACTTAACCCCAGGACTATTTTGGATGCTTGGTTGTGGATTGGTAGGAGAAACAATAACTTGGAGATTGAGAAACACTCCAAGCTTGTGTCAAGGCCAAACAGTACAAAGAAACCCTGCAAGGCAGGGATGAATCAAACTGGGAATCTGGAAAATGCACTCGGGTGAGAGTGCAGTGCTGTGACTCATACGTCAGGCTGCGAGCAGCCGCGTCTAACAGCCTGGTTGATCAGTCCAGCAACCAGGAGGCCTGGTCGACGACCGGGCCGCGGGGACACTAAGCCCCGGAAGTACCTCAAGGTAGCCTCAAGGAGAGTTGGGCAGGAAGGAGGAGGAATTTAGCATAAATAATGGTGGAAAATACAGCATCTTTCACAGTCACAGAATAGGTCCTTTGGCCCAAGGAACAAGGCTAGAGGCTGAGAAACTCAAAAGGAACATATAGGCAATATGCAACTTTCAGATTTGTGTAAAAGAAATACTAGCTACAGTTTGGATTGGATCAAGTATTCTTCAATGTGTGTGTCATCTATAATACATAGGAGTCTTGAATAGGCAGCAAACGTGCATAATCTTGACCAATCTTGACCTATCTTGACCAAGATCAGACTGTACAAGATCCTAACAAAAGGGTCAAAAAGATATTGATTTAGGGACCATGTGGGACATCCAAAAAAAAAAAAAAAATAATAATAATAATACAGTAATAATAATCCAGTGAAAATCAACAGAATTTCAACCTAGTTACAAGTACAAAAATCATGCTTCATTCACATGGATGGCAATATACTAAAGAAATTGTTCACAACTTTTGTTAGGCCAAAGCTAGAATATGCAGCTGTTGTGTGGTGCCCATATCTTAAGAAGCACATCAACAAACTGGAAAAGGTGCAAAGACATGCTACTAAGTGGCTCACAGAACTGAAGGGCAAGAGCTACGAGGAGAGGTTAGAGGCATTAAATATGCCAAAACTAGAAGACAGAAGAAAAAGAGGTGATATGATCACTACATACAAAATAGTAACAGGAATTGATAAAATCGATAGGGAAGATTTCCTGAGACCTGGCACTTTAAGAACAAGAGGTCATAGATATAAACTAGCTAAACACAGATGCCGAAGAAATATAAGAAAATTCACTTTCGCAAACAGAGTGGTAGACGGTTGGAACAAGTTAGGCGAGAAGGTGGTGGAGGCCAAGACCGTCAGTAGTTTCAAAGCGTTATATGACAAAGAGTGCTGGGAAGACGGGACACCACGAGCGTAGCTCTCATCCTGTAACTACACTTAGGTAATTACATCAATGTTAAATATTAAAATGATCTTTAATACACACCTCTTGCTGAGGCACAAACAACACTACAGTGTTCAAGGGCAGGTGCGACCGCCACCGAGCGGCATCCAGTGCTGGGCGACCTCGGGCCGTCTGTAAAGGAAAAGCCAGAGTCAGTATGTATTATAAATTTTGAAATCAGGAACTTCTTATCATATGGTGTAAACATTTTGAGTAATGACTAGTGTATCTTAATCACTATTAATAATACTACTGCAATGTATACATTATTTAGTGTTTAAAAATGGGTTAGATAGGGTTTCATGGGTAAGAAAAGGTTATCTTTATGTCATTTCAGGGCTTAGCATCCCCGTGGCCCGGTCCTCGACCAGGCCTCCACCTCCAGGAAGCAGCCCGTGACAGCTGTCTCACTCCCAGGTACCTATTTACGACTAGGTAACAAGGGCATCAGGGTGAAAGAAACTTTTTGCCCATTTGTCTCCGCCTCCACCAGGGATCGAACCCGGAACCTCAGGACTACGAATCCGAAGTGCTGTCCACTCAGCCGTCAGGCACCCTAAAGCACCTACCAGCTTAAAGGAAAGCTGGAAGATTAAGCGAGTAATGATAGAGCAGACATGTAGTGAACTGGGTTATAAGAGCGAGGGAGAAACACGGGAGAGGACTGAGGGAGGAATGTGGTAGAGGTTAGTGGGAGAAGCACAGACGTTAATGCATTTAAGCCCAAATAAAAAGTGGCAGGGCCAGGAGTGTGGGACAACACCCCCACAAGTCCCCAGGGGGGCCAGCGTCCCCGACCACACACGACCCCAGAGGGGCCAGCGCCCCCCACCACACAACTCATGAAGAAGGTGTTATCACCAGGAAGGTCCTGGCGGGGCGCGCCGCTCCTCTCAGCGCAGTGGCCAACATGGTAGTCATGGCTGCCGTGGTATATTACACCCTCGTGTGTGTGTGTTGTAGCCAGCGCCGCCGCCACCACCACCAGGCTCCTGAGCCACTATGTTGTCATCCCCAGCAGCCCCCCCACACCCCCATACCCCAGCAACCCCCCCCCCCCAACAAGCCACAACCACCCCAGACGCGACACTCTCCCGCTTCACCCACTCTAATATTTAATATTTCTAGTGCCATGTGATAGTCCTTTACTCGCGCCATCTAGGGATTGAAAAAATTACTAAACTTGTAGCTCTGCATTTCATGAATTTAATTTGTCTGAAAACAACAATGTCCTCCACAGGCCTTTTGGGGGCCTCGTAGCCTGGTGGATAGCGCGCAGGACTCGTAATTTTGTGGCGCGGGTTCGATTCCCGCACGAGGCAGAAACAAATGGGCAAAGTTTCTTCCACCCTGAATGCCCCTGTTACCTAGCAGTAAATAGGTACCTGGGAGTTAGTCAGCTGTCACGGCCTGCTTCCTGGGGTGAGTGTGTGTGTGTGTGGTGTGGGGGGAAAAAGAAGTAGTTAGTAAACCGTTGATTATACAATACAATTTTATTTAGGTAAGGTACATACATACAATAAATATTTACAAGGATTGTTTGACTTATAGGTATAGCTAGTACATACAATGCCTAAAGCCACTATTACGCAAAGCGTTTCGGGCATAAATTGACAGTTGAGAGGCGGGCCGAAAGAGCAAAGCTCAATCCCCGCAAACACAACTAGGTGAATACAACTAGGTGAATACAGGGACAGGAAGCAGCGGCTTGTCACAGCCTTCCCCCTTTGTCTTAATGATTTTATCGAGCTGGATCTGAAGATTGAGCAGTTTTTGGCATTTACGGCTTTGGCGGGTAAGCGGTTCCATGGGTTTGTAACGTGTGTTAACGTGTACGTATTTGGCTCATAAAACACAGAGACTATAGTGGTTTCTTAACTCTGGAATGATTGTTGTTGTCCGTGATAAACTTTTTTCCAGAGCTGCTGTGTCCTACTGAGTAAATCTCTAGTATACCCCCACCTGGATTACTGTATCCAAGCATGGAGACCCTCTACAGTAGGACACAGCTGCTCTGGAGAAAGTTCATGACCGGGCAATACAAATTATTCCAGAGCTAAGTCAACTCTCATACCAGGAACGGTTGAGGGCCTCAGGGCTAACAACACTTGGAACCAGATATGACAGGACTGATCTCATCGAAACTTAAAATGTTGAACAACGTGAAGGATATTGATCCAGATAACAGTTTCTGTTATCTGGATAGTAGTTTCTGTTACCAGTTTAAAACTAATTATCCAGTTTCAAGCTCAACAAGCCGCAATGTAGGACTGAAAAAAAAGATACGGCCTACCCGCTGAAGTCGTAAATGCCAAAACCCTGTCAATTTTAAAATTATATTGTAGTTATTATGTTGAACTCAAATTTTGCTACAATGTAGCTATTAAGAATCTTACCTTTAATCTGTTTATTAAAGAACCTGCCCGAAACGCTGTGCCTCTTAGTGGCTTTGCAAGAATTTAAGAACATCGATATTATGTACTATCACAACCCAATGTAACTTCTGGTATATATATAAATAAATAAATAAATCAAGACAAATAAAGGGACCTTTAACAAGCTGCCGGCTTCCTGTCCTTATTGAGGCCACTAGAGTTCTAGTGGTCCTCAGGTAAATACACAATTGTGTGAAAATAGATATAGAAGCTTCCCTCAATTAAAAAAAAAAAAAGGGTCAGTAACCAAAGAAAACGTTTGAGTGGTGACGCGGAGTGTATGCGAGCGTCCGACGCCACCAGTGACAACAGCACCGCCACACGACCTTACACTCCCTGCTGCTCCCTCTCAGTGACTGGTGAAGGAAGATTAAGTGATCATAAGAGGTGGTGCGGGCGTGAGTAGTTGGTAGATGTTGGGAGTGAATGTGCGGCTCTGGTCGTGTACCGTCTTGAGGTATCTCTGGGCCTGGAGTGTGCATGCTCCCTCGGGGCTCCTTGGAGGAGATAACAAACTCTCAAGTGTCTTGTCACCGCACAATATTTATAATGATTCATTGTGTCAAGGAACGGGATGCCAGAGTGTATTTATACACGTTTGGCTTTTATCGAGGCCCCCCCCATCCCTCCAGGCTGAATCACAGTCCCTATCCAGGATGCCAACCCCACAAAAAGTTGACTAACTCCTGAGGATCTACTCGCTGCTAGGTGGAACAGAGATATTAAGTGTGAGGAAATGTGCCCAACCATTTCTGTCCTGCCTGGGATTCGAACCCGGAATTCTCGATTGTGCGTCAAGAAGGCACCCGACTGTACTGCTGGCACCCTTAACACATCCGACTGTACTGCTGGCACCCTTAACACACTGCATGTTAACCCACTCACTCACTGTATATGAACACGTTGTAATGAACGGAGTAAGAATAGCTGGAGCTGTCTCATCTCTTTGAGTGCATTTATACCTCAATAAACTTATTTCAGTTTCCTGCAGGCACTGGTGGGAGACGCCCGCAGATTGTACGTACCTAACAATATAATTCAACTTAAATTCTATGTTATCTGTTAACCCCCAATGTACCTTCTTGTATATAAATAATGAAATAAATAAGTAACGAAGCTGTCGGGAGGCAACACGTCTTATTTAACCTGCATCTCACACCGAACGATTTCACTGGTAATTCAGATACATACTTTATTTAACGACATCACGATTTGTAACTCGTCTCTTATGTATGTACTTTTATCTGAATAAATATTTGAATTTGGATTTGATTAGACATTTCATTTAAAATACAGTACAGTACTTTATTTAACCAAAACCAAAGACATACTGTACTTGAATTATTCCATACTGCAATCAGATATTCTCCACTTATCCCACATCACAATCAGACAATCTAATTATGACACTACAATCAGACATACTCTAATTATCCAACCACAATTAAATATGCATTATTTACCAACAGCAAAATCAGACATGCACTAATTATCTTAACACCACAATCACAATACATTATTTTATGGACACCACAATCACAATACTGTACATTATTTTATGGACACCACAATCACAATACATTATTTAACCGACACCACTTTGAAACACGATGTAATTATTCAACACTACAATCTATGCTGTATGTTTTGCTCAAAACGCTATGTGTGTTGGTGACTTTGCAAGAATGTAACACTCAGTCCCAATGTATGTACAGTACTTTCACAACCCACTGTACCTTATTGTATATAAATAAAATAATTAAATACATATTCAGTGGTGCTTCGGTTAACGAATTTAATCTGTGAGCTCGTCATGTGAAATGCTCGTCTTGCGAAACGACAACAACACTGTCGTCGGAAGCATCTGAGAACCAGCAGGAACGCTAGGAAGCACCATGTGGCTTTCTCATTAACTGAGCGGAAGCTCGTCAATCGAGACAAATGTTCAGCGAGTGGCTCGCTTGTTACCTGAAATGCTCGTAGATGGGGCTGCTCGTCACCTGAGGTTCCTTTATATTAAAGATTGGTGTCCAGTTGATTCTTCCTGGCTAGGGCTTGTACCCAAACGAAATTGCTCTCTAGGTGCTGGGCAACTGTGCTATCATGACACCAACATGAACTCATGTTAGTTATGCAGTCCCATAACTGCTGTCCCCGTGGCGCAAGGGTAAAGCACTCGCCCGGCGTTTCACAAGAGCTTTGGCCTGGGTTCGTATCCTGGCCGGGGAGGATTGTCCGGGCACCAATCCTTAACTGTAGCCTCTGTTCACCCAGCAGTGAATGGGTACCTGGTTGTTGAACCATTTGGCCGGTTGTATTCTATAAAAAAATAGGATTAAGGACCTGTCCAAAATGCTATGCATGCTAGTGGCTTTGCAAGAAATGTAAGAACTCTTGCACAATATATATATATATAAATAAAAAAATAAAAAATGTACAGTTATTATTTAATTACACACTGCTCAGAAGACATCACTTCTTTGCATTTTTGTGTGCAAATATGGCTGAAGTATTCATGGACATGTCCAAGTGATGTTTTCTGAGCAGTGTGTAATTAAATAATTAATTTTTAAATGATTATAAATGATCAATTAAAACTAAAGTAGTTGGGATAGTTTAAGTAGGTTTAATAAATAAAAAAAAGCTGGCAAACCATCTTGTGTACGAAGTGAACTCCATTAAGGCATTACACGGAAATTATTGATATCCTTTATCACTATAGCAGTTTCAGGACAAGTTGTATATTTTTCCAATTATGTTCCAAGCCAAATTAACCACACTAATATAACATATCCAAACTTAATTTAATTTATCCTAGCCTATACCTAACCAAATATATCCTTGGCTTACCTGGCCCAACATGTCCAAACCTAACTCGTTAAAAATGTCCAAGAAGTAAGGCTTGTTTGATGGGAATACTCGATCTGATACCCACTTCAACTGCTTGCATACATAGAATATTTTAATATATATCCACTGATAAATCATTCATGCCGTGTTCCTTAGTTTATACAAAAATGTAGCCAGGTAGGCCATAAGGCCAAAGTTATATGGTAGAGGAGAAAGGTCTAAAGGGCATCATATTGACTCAATTTATCTTTCATATATCAAGCATTCATTGCAATTGTTCATATGTTTTATTTTGTTGTTGAAACTGGATTTTATTTACTTTTCAGGGCTTGAAGTAAATATAGTGATTGCTCAAGAATTCAGTGGTCTAGCTGTCAATGAGAAGAGAGACTAGCATATAATATTTTCAATTTAGTGTAATAAAAATTATTCTCAGTTTTCTTTCTGCTTTTGGAATATTTTAGCCCAAATGGCACAGATATCTTTAAAAGTGTTTCAAAACTGCTCTTTACTTAAATTTGCCAAAACATTAAAATATGTTAAGAAACCTTGTGTAAGAACTTCTGCTGATGCCTGGAGGGCTGTACGAGGATCTTACTTAGTGTCTCAAGCATCAACACTCTTATTAGTCAAGAAGGTAAGACGTCATTCACTTAATAAATAGTATTGCACAAAATATTATGTATTTTCTCTGTTAGATTTTGATGTAAAATAACATAACTTTATGGTTTCATGACTCTTGGAGAGTGGACTATATCACAAAGATTGTAACGCCTTTTCAGAAGTACTGTAATTGGAGAATTGTCTGATTAATTAATTAATAAATTCTTGGTGAACAAGCACTCCATCAAATTTTAATGTAGAGTACAGTTTATGCTATTCATTGTATGTTTCTATAAGTAGCATCATTTGAAAGCACTTGTTAATAAGATTTATTGGATGAATAATTTGTCATTAATGTATTTACTGTATAATAACACTATGGGCCATTTCAACACTAATCTTTTAAGTCAAAGGCCACAAATTACACACATACATTTTAAATCCTTAGACCTTTACATTACAATGATTAAAAACAAATACTGTACAATCCTTTAGTGATATAGAGGTGCTAGGCAGGGCCTGCATGCAAAGAAACAATATTTCTTTTTGTAAATGCTCTGAATTTATACAGAAATTTACCTGAGGGCCACTATCACTAGTTGCCTCGACGAGGACAGGAAGTTGGTGGCTTGTCAAAAGTCCCCCTCCCTCCCCCCCCACCCATTTGCCTTGATAATCTCTTCCAGTTTGATTTTGAAAAAAAAAAGTCTTGCATTTATGGTTTTGTCAGGAAGGCAGTTCCATGGGTTTATAATCCTGTGGGTGAAAAAATATATTCTCAGTCTGATGAAAAAGTTTGTTTAAAACGTTTTGTATGATAGTGTTTTAAACTTGTGTTTAAAGTTTAACCAAACTTGAGTTTGTTTAAAACTCTGTCTATTTAAAAGTTTCAATGAGATCTGCTGTCATGCCTGGTTTGCAGTGTTGTTAGCCCTGTGGCCCTCAACCGTTCCTGAGATGCAAGATCCTCTCTCTCTCGAGCTCTGGAATGATTTTTGTTGCCCAGTGTTGCACTTTCTCCAGAGCTATATCTCTCATTGAGAGTGACTCCTTGCACCATATATGACCCCTGCAGAAATGTTTGAAAAGATCTCTGTGGTGCAGGTGCCATATGTCACATTTGGTTGCACAGTCAACAACACAACAGAGAGATGATCGTATACTATACCTTAGGGAGCATAAAAATGATCGTTAGAAACATGTTGTACACTCAAAATTCTATCTTTGTTTAATACGATCCAACTTGTTCACCTTAAAATGGTATATGATATTAAGTTTAAATGCTTCTCTAAGTTTGATTGCAAGTAAATGTTTTTTCTTTTTCTTTTTTACATCAGCCAGGATTATTAAGATTAACTGGAGGTCTTCTGGTTGGATTTCTGGCAATTGATTTCCCAAGCATTACAGCTGCAGTGCCTTCTCCAGAAAGATTGGGGGCTGAAGCTGACAGACTTTATGAACTGATGCAGTACGAGGATATCTATAACCTTCTCATTGTATACAAGGTAAGTTAATGATCTGGTTCTTTGATTAGTGAACTGCACCCATAGTGGTAAGAAGAATTAGCCAGTTTTATTTTCTTGACTCATTTTCTGTCCTTAAACCGTAGTTGGATGGTCCTTGCTCCAAAGTCTGTTTGCAGTAGCAAAGGACTCAAAGATCCTGCAACTGTTTCACTGCAGCTAACCATTCCCTATATTTATAAGAACCATGCAAAGTCTGCTTTTGGCACCACTAAACATAGCTTCTTTAAAAAATGTGTGATATACTGTCTACTTTAAAATCTGAATGAACAAATCCACAAGGGCTGTGACGAGGATTCGAACCTGTGTCCGAGAGCATCCCAGATGCTGCCATAATCGACTGAGCTACGACATGGTCAAAAGGAGTTGAAACCGAAGTTCTACTGAACTTACTGGATCCTGCAGCCTCTCTGAGGCACAAACCAGGGTTTTACACAACTTCCCCAATGCACTCGAGCTATGTCAATAGGCCGTTCTCCCTCTTCGCTCTTACTTCATTACACACAGGATCATTACACATACACGCAGGAGGCTGCAGGATGCAGCAGTACACTATCTAATTTTTCTGGCTGATATTTTTGGCAAAATGTTTATACAGTGGTACCTCGCATAACGATTGCCCCAAAAGACGAATATTTTGGGTAACGAACGGCCCGATCGGCGTCAAATCGTCCCGTATGACGAACGCTGGTTTGAGTAACTAACGTCAACACCACATGGTGGGGTCGCGCTGCTGCTTGCACATTCTTAGACGCCTCCGACGATCCACATAAATTATGTTGTTCTTGTTTAAAGATGCTAATGATGCTGGGATATAAAAGGGTGACTGCTGAGATGTTGCAAAGCATTGACGTTTTTGTAGGAAAAAAGAAATGAAATATCTGATATACAACAAATGTCAAAAAAGTTCGTTCGGTGTTCGGCAGGTAGGCTGCTCCATTATAACAATCTTTCTTTGTTTCAAATGTGTTCCATTTGTTTTTTATTTGTCATTTACGTCTCAATAATGGAGAAGCCTACCTTACATACACTGAATAAACCATTATGACATTTTCCTTTCTTCAAATGTGTTCAATATTTATTTTTCATTTGTCTTATAGCAAAAGGTTCGTTCGGTGGTCGGCAGGTAGGCTGCTCCATGTTTCTTACATACAAAAAACGTAAATAATAAAAAATATGAAGAATTTTGAAAACCAGTACAAATGTCAAAAATGTTCGTTCGGTGGTCTACAGGTCGACTGCTCCATGTTTCTTAAAAAAAAAAAAAAAACGAAAAATAAAAGAACTGTTGAAACAATTTGAAAAATGGACAAATGTCATAAAGGTTCGTTCAGTGTTTGTCGGGTAGGCTGCTCCATTATTGAGACGTAAGTGATAAATACAAAACAAATGGAACACATTTGAAACAAAGAAAGATTGTCATAATGGAGCAGCCTACCCAACAAACACTGAACGAACCTTTTGCTATAACGAATATGAAAGACAAGGGCTGCTGGCTGGGTTAGTAGTGCGTGAGCAACCATTTGTAGCACACATGCCTCTGGCTCTCAAACACCTGTCCCACACGGTGTTGAAAGACTGTACTCAGTCAGTGCAATTCAGACCCTATTGTTTGAAGAACATAAGGGTCATAACATTGGTGAAGCTAGGCGCAATAAGGGCTTAACACAACGGTCGGATGCCTGTGATACAGCACCTATGAGGATGATACAGCGAGCGTATCCAGGTGTAGCTCTGAGCCCCACCCTTGCCATCTCTAATGTATATAGATGATACATAGATGAATCGTTTTCTGCGTTCAGTGATGATGCATCTGATACAAGTAGCATAGATGAACAGTGTTAGCGGCTTCCATGGTGGTGGTGTTCATTGATATTTTTAAGAATACCTGAATCTTTTCCTGACTGATGGACACTCTTTGAGGCTAGCTGAATCTCTTCCTGACTGATGGACACTCTTTGAGGCTAGCTGAATCTCTTCCTGTGTGGGACCTTACAAAGCGATCTTTTCAAGACTACCTTACAAATTGAGCTTTTCCTATAATCGTTTCAATACTACCTTATGCTTTACAAGCTTGGCTACATACCACCTACAAGTACTAAAGCCAAGGGTGCACGCGAGTGCATTATTTGCAAGCACACAGAACGATGAAACAGGAAACAAAGATCTATCTGTAGCTGGTGCAAGGAGAGCAAAGTCGCGCTGTGTACCATGGACTACTTCGTTGACTATTACGCACCTCCAAAGTACTGAGTGTGTAATACAGTGTGTTACTGTGTAAATAGTATGTGAAACTGTACATATTGTAATATTAGTGCATTTTTACCACGTAATATTGTGACAATAAACATTTATTGTGGACACATTACTGACACATGTATCACAGTTTCATGGAAAATTATGAACATTCTACTGTATACATATTGTAAAGGTCACAAATATGCATCATATACGATAAAAGAAACAAATAAAACCGCATTGGAAATGCATAGGAAAAATATTTGAAAATATATTTGTGGCAACACGCGGTGCTTGAATGGCCTGCGCGACCGTGTCTGGGAGCTTCACACACGGGCGACCAGCCCCTGATGACGTCACAGCGCACCTTGTCCATGCCCTCACAGCCAAAGTAAGTGGAATTTGGTAATTATTTTTACATAGACATGTTCAGGGACGGTAATTTATCATTTTACAAAGAAAAATTATATTTTGGGGAACATTTGATGTCATGCACACAAGGGAAATTTCACAATAAACACAGTGCATCACACTGGTTACATGGGGGACACTCGTTTTGTATGACGTCCGTTTCACATGACGAACATGGAACGGATTAAATTCGTTATGGGAAGTACCACTGTACATTATTATTATTGTCATATTTTATTACAAAAAATCTTCCTGTGTTCATATTTCAATTTGGATTTATCAGGACATAAAAAATGATGAGATCCTCTGGAGACTGGGTCGAGCAACATATGAGAAAGCAAAATCTACCAAGACCGAAGCCGAGAGGAAGGTGCTTTATCGTGAAGCTCTGGACTATGTAGAAGCAGCTCTGGCAATCAACCCAGAGAATTTTGCTGTGCACAAGTGGATGGCAATCCTTATTGACTATGTGTATGGATATGAAGGGAACAAGGCTAGAATATCCCAGTCATACAATGTGAAGAATCACATGATGGTAAAGTGTATACATTCCTTTAACTTGCTATTTTCTCTGGAACGTAAAGCTGGAACAGAGCACCGTTTTGAATTTGTCAATTATATTGTGAACTGTGTGGAGTTTCAGAAGCAATGACATGTCTAGCTATATTTGTTTTACATCTTTACAGAAAGCTTGTGAGTTAAATCCATCAGATGGAACATCATGGTACCTGCTAGGGTTTTGGTAAGTGCTGTTGAATTTTGTTTAAAATCAATATGTTGACAGTATGTGAAGAGTTGGTGCTGCATCATGGCTGTGTAACTCAAGATGATCTGCTCATTTATCATAAGCCTTCCACCATTGCTGACTTCTGTCTTGAGGCTCTTTTGAACACTATTATCTCTAAAACATTTTTCTTTCTCTGAAGTTAATTCATAATTGAGGGCTATTTTGCACATCCTACCATGCCTGTTGGTCTCATGTGGTGTTACTTGTGTGTGTAGATCTGGAACTAGTGTCACTTTCTGTGTCCAAGGGGAGTAAGGTCCCCAGTAGCCCTAAGAGCTCCACAGCTGATATGACCTAGCAGATGGGAACCTTCTCAGGGTATAGTTTCAGGGAGACACTAAGGCTCACTCAGAAATTGGCATTTCATTACATTCAATGTTTTCTGTGGGGAGCCCCTACGGCTCCCTGAAGCTATCAGGCTAATATGTGATACATTAGACCAGGGCTTTAGTCAATGGAGTTCAGCCTACCTGGGACCACAAGCCAGTACCTGGCCCCCTCAGAGGCAAAGAGAGCAATGGCCTATAGACCCCCCCCCTCCCTGTGGTTGGGGACATTCCATGTCTGCCATTGACCAGGGTTGTCACCCAGAAAGATATGGAAAACAAAACAAACCCCACTTGGTAAGAAAATTACCTTTTTGACGTGTCTTATCACCATTTGTATGGTGATCAGGTGGCTTTATTGATGGTGTCCAACCTTCATACTGTCGGCGAGACGAAGCTCGAAGTTTCCTGGCATTCTTTCCGCCATTTTCTCTCTCTTCGTAGGTTGTCTTGCCCTTTCTTGGCTTTTTCAGGACTGTAATTTGCTGCTAAATACTGTCGCCTCGTATCGTGTGGCACTGGCAGAGCCGCTCCTGCTTGCATTTGAGGTGGATGTCATTTCGGCCCCATTTCGTAAGCTTTCTCATGTTTTGGTTCACCTCCGGCCTGCTCATGTGCTGCCTTGAGCCGTCTTGGTCCTTGGACAGGGTGCTCTCTTTTCTGTCTTCTCCTCGGTTTGTGGTGGCCTCTTCGGGTCAAGATTATTTTTCCATGTCCTTCTTTCTGTTGGCATTGACCTCTGGGGGTCGGGTTGGTGAGCTTCATGCTCTCCTTCAGCGCAGGGGTTTCTGCTTTTTCAGTCCTGGTGGTCGGTTTGTTCAGTTGCAACCTTCTCCTTTTCTAGCGAAGAACGAGATGGCCGCTTTCTGGAGGGGGGTCCTTGGGTCATTGATGCTTGGTTGGTCAGGCCGGGGGTGCATCATGTGGTGTTGGTTGCGGCTCTTCGCCATTACTTGCACGCCTCGGCTTCTGTGGCTGGGGATGCGCTTTGGGTTGATCCAGTTTTCCTTGTTTCCTGTTCTAGGGCTCGGGTCTTCCAGGTTATCCGCAGCATCATTAAGTCTACCCAGCCTGCGACGTATCCTCGTGCCCACAACGTTCATAAGTTTGTTGCTTTGACTGCCGGTTGACAGTTGCTGACATTTGGGTGTGGGGATTTAGGCGGTCAAACAGGGTCCTGGCTGCACATTATCTCATCAACATTCTTGGTCCTAGTCATCCATGTATGGCTTTGGGTCGCAGGTTGCAGTCAGTTGTCTCAACTTAAAGTTGAGGAGCGAGTGGCGTCCACCTCCCTGGTAAGTCCCAAATTCCTTCTCTTTGGTAATGGGAGCCTTAGGAAGCCTTAGGGGCTCCCCACAGAAAACCAGTTTTGAGTGTAATAAAACGCCATTTTCTGGGCGAGCCCCAGAGGCTCCCTGGCAACCCTCCCTCCCTCCGGTCGGCGGTTCCATTTCCTTTTTGAGACTCAGCCTCCAAACTGGATGGCTTGGGTAGCCATCTTATGTGGAGTTGTCTTAGTGTGAACAGGTGGCATGGGGGTGAGGTGTGACATTTGCTTGTTTCCTTAAGTTGTAAGGTGAGGTCTGCCTCCCTGTTCGGTTTTCAGTCGCATTTTCTTACCAAGTGGAGTTTGTTATATTATGCCTACCTTTCTGGGTGCCAACCCCAACCCCGGTCGATGGCAGACATGGAATGCCATTCCAGACATGGAATGTACAAGGGGGGGGTTTCATAGGCCATCGCCATTTCATAGGCCATAGGTTTTCATATTTACAGTATAGACATGGTACTTTAAAACAGGAATGTAGAACCAATATGCATTTGTAAACACTTCAGACACGAGTAACCACATGGGGCGGTACCATACTTTTGAATTGGTAGAACTTAACAATCAAAGTGCGTGCATTACATTTATTAAAACACAGGAAATGGGACAATACACTAACAAGGAATAATTTCTCACTTGCCAGATTAACGATTAAAGGTTCCAGTCACTCAGATCTAATGGAAGCCAATAATCTCACACAGTGAGGCGAGTGCCTCACTAGCACACCACACACCGTGTGTGTGTGTGTGTGTGTGTGTGTGTGTGGAGTCTCAGCCGTCTCTCTCCTCGTGGAGTGCAGGGACGCTACCCTCACGAAAACGAGCGGTTAAACTTTACACACAGAATCATATGCATTTGATAATACTCAACTTAACATACTCTCTACAAATTAAATATAAAATTTAACACAAAACAAACTGATATTTTAACCAAGAGAAACATTTACATTAATAATAACAAAAGCTAAACATTATATACCAGTCATTACAAGAGGTTCAGTTTGCTTCCCTGGATGCTCGCTAGCACTTAACCTACACTGACAGTTACTTCTTTTTGTTTGTTTGGGTGTGGACCCCTTTTGGGTGCCAGGCCACCAGGGTGGAAGCCTTACCTTGGGTATTTCAGAGTGTCTTTGGTGCCTCTGTTTAGGCTCTTTCTCACTCACCAGATTAATGATTGAAGTTACAGTCACTCAGATCTAATGTAGGTCAATCACCTCACACAGTGAGGCAAGTACCTCATGAGCACACATTTATATTTAATTGGGATGGGGTGCACTAGAGTTCATGAGCTTGTTCATATAGTACACTGTAGCCACCCAGCACAGCCCTGTATTTGTGGCTGTGGGATGACTATTCTTCTGGTGAGCATCCCATTGCATGAGTGTCTTGTTTGGCTAGATGCTTTCAGGCCCTGGTAATTCACCTGTGGTATTTTGACATGCTTCTTATTGATCAGCCCGTCAAACCTGCACTTGCTGTATGCGAGATGTTCATCACCGTTTTTATGTTACCATTATCATTCCATCTGCCTGCTGCCTGTTGGGTCAGTAACACCTATGACCCTGAGTCCTGTGGTACAGTATTTGTGCCCCTGGGGGCCTCTATTTTATCTAATCCTGCTTCTGAGGGGAAGCATATCAAGACGTAGCTGCCTTGCAAGATAGGTTTGCCCATGTTGAGTGTGTTGTAGTTCTTTGTTCGATTGGATGCACTGGAGCTGGTCTATAAGATGTTTAAGGACCCAGAATAAGAGATAATGGTGGATTCCACCTTGGTTCCATGTGCACTGCCTCTTCCTTCCTTTATGGGCGTGGTTCACCCTGCCTCTGTTCCACCCTCCCCCCCAACCCCCACTCTGAAACATCTGAGGACCAGGAATACTTGACTAAATACCGGGCCACCAGAACCCTGTTAGAATACCAAAACCTCCGAGGCCGAATATCAACCCAAGACGTGTTAGGAAAGATTTAGGCTAAAGCTGCATATTTGTGAACATCATGGGGCCCAAGAGCAGGCTGGCTTGACTTAATGAGTGCAGTCGATCTAAGAAATGTGTGGCTTTAAATAGGGAACCAACGAAACAGGGATAACCAACAAGATGGCCACTGAGGCAGTGGCATGCAGGGAGCAAGGAAGGGCCACCACTTCACCTGATCTTTCAGGCATCCCTGTGTACAGGAATCGTAGCAGACGGGTGGAAACAGGCTAACATAGTTCCAATCTACAAAAGTGGCAGCAGGGAAGACCCCCTCAATTATAGACCTGTATCATTGACAAGTGTAATAGTGAAAGTATTGGAAAAACTAATCAAAACTAAATGGGTAGAACACCTAGAGAGAAATGATATAATATCAGACAGACAGTATGGTTTTCGATCTGGAAGATCCTGTGTATCGAATTTACTCAGTTTCTATGATCGAGCCACAGAGATATTACAGGAAAGAGATGGTTGGGTTGACTGCATCTATCTGGACCTAAAAAAGGCTTTCGACAGAGTTCCACATAAGAGGTTGTTCTGGAAACTGGAAAATATTGGAGGGGTGACAGGTAAGCTTCTATCATGGATGAAAAATTTTCTGACTGATAGAAAAATGAGGGCAGTAATCAGAGGCAATGTATCGGAATGGAGAAATGTCACAAGTGGAGTACCACAGGGTTCAGTTCTTGCACCAGTGATGTTTATTGTGTACATAAATGATCTACCAGTTGGTATACAGAATTATATGAACATGTTTGCTGATGATGCTAAGATAATAGGAAGGATAAGAAATTTAGATGACTGTCATGCCCTTCAAGAAGACCTGGACAAAATAAGTATATGGAGCACCACTTGGCAAATGGAATTTAATGTTAATAAATGTCATGTTATGGAATGTGGAATAGGAGAACATAGACCCCACACAACCTATATATTATGTGAGAAATCTTTAAAGAATTCTGATAAAGAAAGAGATCTAGGAGTGGTTCTAGATAGAAAACTATCACCTGAGGACCACATAAAGAATATTGTGCAAGGAGCCTATGCTATGCTTTCTAACTTCAGAATTGCATTTAAATACATGGATGGCGATATACTAAAGAAATTGTTCATGACTTTTGTTAGGCCAAAGCTAGAATATGCAGCTGTTGTGTGGTGCCCATATCTTAAGAAGCACATCAACAAACTGGAAAAGGTGCAAAGACATGCTACTAAGTGGCTCCCAGAACTGAAGGGCAAGAGCTACGAGGAGAGGTTAGAAGCATTAAATATGCCAAAACTAGAAGACAGAAGAAAAAGAGGTGATATGATCACTACATACAAAATAGTTACAGGAATTGATAAAATCGACAGGGAAGACTTCCTGAGACCTGGAATTTCAAGAACAAGAGGTCATAGATTTAAACTAGCTAAACACAGATGCTGAAGAAATATAAGAAAATTCACCTTCGCAAATAGAGTGGTAGACGGTTGGAACAAGTTAAGTGAGAAGGTGGTGGAGGCCAAGACCGTCAGTAGTTTCAAAGCGTTATATGACAAAGAGTGCTGGGAAGACGGGACACCACGAGCGTAGCTCTCATCCTGTAACTACACTTAGGTAATTACACTTAGGTAATTACCAAACATAACAAATGATGTACCCCAGCTCCCAGCACTTAGCTTGAAGCAGCAAGTGCTGCTCATGATCTGACAGACTGGTAGCAAAACAAGCTGTACCAGTAGATGCAACATCACCAACACAACTGAAGTGCCGAGTACATTTGAGGACTGGGGCCGGGCATCTGGTGGTTGTAATCGGTGCTAACGACTTCAAAGCTAGTTTAAGTGAATCCCTTGTTTTGTATAAATCATTTGCGGAATTATTTGGCAATTTCGACACATTGATTTCTGTTACCCCTTAAGTTGTCTGTAAAGTCTTCAGCCCATCCTCATAAACAAAGGCCAAAGTCCATTCCATGCACCCGCCAAACCCCATTTATAAATGAACAAATCCACAAGGGCCGTGATGAGGATTCGAACCTGCGTCCGAGAGCATCCCAGACGCTGCCTTAATCGACTGTTTATAAATGTTTATAAATATTATAAATGTAGACTGTTTATAAATTTATAAACCCCGTTTATAAATGAAAAACAGCTTCTACACGACTCGCAACTGATGATGTCCGAACACTTTCGGAACAAGTGCTTCCCTGGCAACTTTTGTTCAAACCACAACGCTGTAAATGCTTCACCCACGTAATACAAATAATCGCCAACAGAACCTAAACACCTAACCTAACCAATGCCTAAATATGCTAATACTATATAACAATATTAACTTAGATTTGAGAAAAATTACTATTTTGAATAAACAGCATGTTAATATTGATGAATGTGTCTTTGGGGGTTGACCACTGGATGGAATGGACTTTGTCTGAGGACAGGTTGAAAGTCTCACTGACTTTCTGGAGGCTTTTTTCATTAGGGTGGCAGATTATCACCTGCTCCCCGTTCCTATGTGAGGGGCACCAGATTTTGGCATTGGTCCCCGGTAGGCCAGAACTTTGCAAGTGATGTGACCTTTTATTATGTAGCAAAAGGGACACTCAAAAAAATATTGTATGCCTTAATTTCAAACTTTTTTGTCTTTGAATTAGGTACTATAGCATTGCTAACATCCCGTGGTACCAGCGGAAGATTGCTTCAGTGGTGTTTGCAACACCTCCAGAAGGCACGTATGAAGAGGCACTAAAGTATTTTCTTCATGCAGAACAAGTGGCACCCAGTTTTTACAGGTAAATCTCAAGCTGGTGTCTGCTGAAAAGAAAGTTTACAAGCATAGCTAATGCTCACTTTATTGCTTCTTTAGAACTTGTACCCCATGTACTTAAAAAAAAAAAAAAAAAAAAATCAGCATAATATAGTAATCAAAGGGATACCCTTAGCAATGCTTTACTTCTGCCATTGTCAACAGGGTGCAATATTGCCTTGAAATAATTGCAGGTTGTACATAAGACACACACAGATTTCATTAACAACTGAATGATTATTATTTCTGTCCTTGCTCTTGATGCTGATTAAATGAGAAAAATTAAACAAAAATAACTCAAAATATATTTACATGTGATTAGAATTAGCTTATTTATTACCATCTCTTATGGGACCCCTAGTTAGCTTGGGTTTCTGCAAAGCCATGGTTGAGAAATGCTGCTTTACATCTATGACTTAATTTGGATTTTTGCTCGGTGTTGAGGACGACTCATCACATGATGCTTTTGATCAAAGTTATGTTTATTAGTCCCTGTAATTACCAAGATTTGACATCTCTATTATTACTACAGTACCTATTAAAGTTATAAAGTTTATAGTTCATGAATGAACAAAATAATTACAAGAAAGTTAGCATAATAACATAAACTCTTTATGTAAATTTCATAAACTTAAATTCTAAGGTTGACACAAGTTGAAATTTTTACACTGTATTTAAGGAAGCTACAGTGATACCTTGGGACTCAAACTTAATTTGTTCAAGAACGCTTTTCGAGTCTCGATCTGTTCGAATACTGAATAATTTTTTCCCATGAGGAATAATTCCAACTGGATTAATCTGCTGCAGACCCCAAAAAATACACCTATTAAATTCAAGTAAAAATGCCTTTATGCCAGTTTATAAGCCTAGCATGCATAAATCATACAGAAAACGTAAACACAATCAATATTTAAAATAAATGCCAATTTATTCTCACTTTGCTTGTACTATACTTAGGAGAGTTGATGGCATGTGTGGAAGGTGGCGAGGAGAGAATATTATTCTAGGGGGCAGGGGAGTCCCTTGTCCAGTGATATTTGTTTTTGGCTTGCATTTTAAAATGTTTCTGAAGTGAGGCAAAAACAATCTCACTCAGCAGGTTTATAACATTGGTTGCCATAGTTAGGAACATCCTTCCCTTCTCTGAAGACAACTCCTCAGCTTCCCCGTGTTGTGACGTGTTTATACAGTCAGGTGCAGAGAAGATGGTCAACTACCGAGTGTATTTCTTCCCTTTGTGTTTGGAGCTGTTTGAGTGCCAAGCCATCACTGTATAACGATTTTTCTGTTAACAATATTTTTAACTTGTCTGCAAAGAATTTTATGAATTGCACACTGTAGTAACCTAGACCAGAATATTCAGCCCTTTTAAAGTTTAAACTATATTTACATTTCAGTTCATTCCTTATGCAAATTAATGATAGTTGTGTAATTGCTAAATATTCACAAGTGTTATAAATTTAGAGGTATTGGTCATGGCTCACAGTATTGTATTGTCTTGTTTAATCTCTTGGAGAATCAACTTGCTCTACTTTATGAGCATAGAAAGTGTTGTTGGTTAACCAATACCTTATACTACAACCTCTAATATCCACATGTCTATAATGAACACCATCATGGGATATTTGTTCATTTTTATTATATATAAATGTTATATATTTTTGTATATTTAAAATTTCCTGTCTTAAATTTACAGTAAGAACTTACTGATGATTGGCAAGTGCTATCAGATGCTTGGGCAAAATGCAGAAGCTAAAGAATATATCCTACGTACTACAAACTACCCAATAAAAACTGAAGACGATAAAGAAGCAGTAGCAGAAGCAGTCACTATTCTTCGTGGGCTCTGATTTTTCTATATAATAGCCAGTGAAAGTAAGAAACCAACGAATGTGGGGAGGGGCTAAAAAAAAAAAAAATGGTACACATTTTAATAACGCTAAATCTTGCCTTCTAAATATCATTGGTCTATACCGTAAATATAGAAGTTGTATATTTTATTAACACTATTGGTGGCCCGGTGGGTGACCTGCCGTGCACCACAAGGTAGGCAGAATGATGAGCATGATCTCGCCACCACCCACAAATGTTTATGCTCTCTTTCAGCTGTCTGACCTCAATTGTCATGCTACATCATTCAATTTGGTATCAAATTGTTCGTAATAGAATGCTCTAAATGAATATTTGCATACAAGAACAAATATTAGAAAAACGTTACCAATACCAAAAGATAAAGAACAGTGTCATGTAAAAACGCCTTTTCTTCTTTGTCAAGTCATTATTCACTCCATGTGGATGCCACGTGGGGTCTAAAGAGAATGGGAAGATGTTGGCGTGCATTTTAAAACAAGTCCCATAGTATTTGGACAATAAATGAAATTTTTACAAATTTTTAAATTATTGACGCCGTTTGCATCATGCCGCTCACTGTGTAGTTTTGTTTTTTGATGGATGTACCAGCATCGGGTATTGAAAGTGTTAATGTATAATATAAACATGACACCATTTGCCTAAAATTTTTCAGAAATGTATGAAGTGAATTAGGAATCATGAAGTCCAGGACTGTGGAGTATCATTTGATCACTATTGCTGATGTTGATCCAATATTAGGCCAATGTTACTCCAATGTTACTTAAGTGTATATACAGTTTAGTGAGACACCCTGTAGTGTTACGGTTGTATGGCCTTTAACAAAATGCTGAATGATCAATATTAAGATTAAACTATTTTAAAAGTACGTGTGAAATACTAAAAATCACAATTACATACTGTACCTACGTATAGGAGAGTGTTCAATTTTAAGCTCAAACAATAAACACATGTATACAAGGCAAACAATTATATAAAAACAGGTAATATCTGATAAAAATTTATCCGGACTATTGACTTCTCGGGTGATTAATAAAACATTTCATGAAAAATTGTTTTGAATGGATAAAAAACAAAAATTTAAAGACTTTGAGCTTGATGCTTTTCTATTTACACTCTCACTTGTATGTACAACACTAATGTACTAAGTCAAACCCATTAGAATTTATTTGCATGTTTCTTCTTTTCCTTCAGAGTGACATCTGGAAATTATTCCACTCCCCAAGCCCAGCCTGGGGCCAGGCTTCAGTTGTGAGAGCTAAGTCCAACATCATGTTTAGGGGATCTAGTTAATATATTAGTCTCACATTAAGTACCCGTAAATTGATGCACAATGAAATCACATCAACGTGCTGTAATAAGAAAATCGAATACGAGCCAATTTCTTAGACATTACCAGCATACTGTATTCAATACATTAAGAGCTTGTTTACAAAATGTGATTATGGATAGGGTTGTAGATTTGTGGAATAAATTAGTTGGATTGTTTCAACCTAGGCAACCAGCCTAGCCTTTTGAGGCAAATATTAATGCTACCTCAGAGTAATGAACATGGCAGTGCTTATAATTTCACTAAAGCACAGGAAACTTGATGGTGTGGTAGTTAGTATCAAAACTGTGGTGTATTAAGTGTGGGGATTGGTTGAATGGTAACTCTTGTATACAGTGTGGGCACTGCATGTACAACAAGCTAGAGCAGTAGACATAATCAACACCATTTGTTGTGTTCAGAGGACAGGAAAACATACTACAAAAATGGCAAATAATGTAACTGATGAGTTTGCAGAGATGGTTTGGCCAGCTTGAATTAATGATAAGTGTAATTAGAAGTAGGAAGGCCAGGGTGTGAGAGAGGAAGCATGGATGGATGGTATATAATGTGTTATGTGGTAATTGCACTATAACCAATATTATCTGGAAGATGGATATACAGTGGCGCCTCGATTAGGGAATTTAATCTGTTCTGGCACCGAGCTATTCGTGTGAAACGCTCGTCTTGCGAAACAAAAACAACACTGTCGTCGGAGGCGTCTGAGAATCAGCAGGAACGCTAGGAAGCACATTAACGATGGCTCGTTAATCGAGACAAATTTTCTGTGAGTGGCTCACTTGTTACTCGAAATGCTCATAACTGGAGTCACTTGTCACTCGAGGTTCCACTGTAGTATGAATGATGAGGAAATTGTCATATTTAAGATCGATTTTTCCACTTTGTTCTTAAGTTGCATAAATGTGTATGATAAGACACACCTGCATGCTGTATTAAACCAACCCGTCCTCTTAAAAATAACGTCGCTCTGGGCTTGTATGCGCGGCTATGGCCAAAAGTGGACGTAATTTGAAATGAAATCGGCTCACGAAAGTGACGTACTGTCCCGTTTTCTGTTTGAGTTGTCTGGCTTACTCAAAAAGGTTAGGAGAGGAAACGTTCAATTAACGTTTTTCATAACGTTTTTGAAACTTTCAGAATTTCCTGCCCACCTAACCTATCAGAGGACGCTTAACTAACTGTTGTTGAAATTTTATTTTTCTCAATATTTACTCAATCTCAAATTTATTTTCATTTTCAAATTACGTCCACTTTCGGCCATACAGGAAAACGGCCAAAAGCAACGTTACTTTTAAGAGGACAGGTTGATTTATAGGCCCAACAATTTATAGCTGCCAATTCAGTATATAATTGATTACTTAATTTACCGGTAAAATATAGTACAATATACCAACATTAAATGTGTTTATTTAAAAGTATAGTTTGAGAAATATAAATTGGTAAAAAAAATGTAAATGGTTTTTAAATTCACATCAATCAAACTTTTGTAAATAATTTCTTAAAAGTAATACTCCAAAATGTATCAATAAATATGCCTATCTATATACTGAAGCGTATTCAGAAATGTATAGTATATACAAATCTGGTCGACACAGAAATGCTACTCGCACAAATGTGATTACTTTCTATGTACAGTATAACTGCCATTGTAAATAATTTTGAACTCTGATATACTCTAATATATATATATATATATTTGTAAAACTATGTGGAAAATAAATCTTTAAATATTTAACACGGCTGCTTATTATATACCGACTCGTATAACAAATCATACTTCTTTCTAGTGTGAATTCATAGTAATATACAGAAAGTTCCTGATTTTATACAATAATATTTCAGTGACAATCTCATGTGAGGAAAATAGAGATCATTACAAATAATTTGTGGAGTTAATTCCTCAATCGTAGGAGTTTGTGAGGCAAGCTGCCAGTAACGAGTATGGAAATTCATTAAAGTAGGATCATTGCTAGCCAATACAAAATTAGATTTCATGAAATACTGTACCCCCCATACTAGCTATCAGTTACCTGGTTTGTGGTGTGATCAATAAGCCTGGAATGTGTGCACAAAACAATTGTGAAACACACACACTGAGTTTAATTGAACAGACGTGTTACTAGGCAAGGAAGTAAATGAGATGTAAGCCAAATTTTGCAAAATACATAATTAAGGAACAAATTCACACCCAGAGATGCAGGACCAGGAAACAGGATTGGTTCAATAGAAATTGTGAAAAAGGATGGAGTTTTACCTTGGGTGCTGTGAGAATGTGCAACCAAGCTGAGCATTCCACTCCAATTAATATACCAGCTTGTGCAGAGGAATCTTAGCAGATACATTACATGGAAAAAACATAGTACCAATCAATAAAAATGGTGGTTGAGAGGAACCTCTTCATTATAGACCTGTATCATTAACCCCTAAACTGCTCTGGGCTATTTGGCCTTCAACACCCACAAGCAAAAAAAAAAAAAAAAAAAGAAAAAAAATTGCTCTTATAAAACTTAATTTGTGTTCCCTGACAATGAAAAAAATTTTTTAATTGTATTTACCAATGACATAAGTGAGCCGAGAAGATGAGCGATGACGTCATACTCGACATGCTCGCTCATGCTATGTGCGTCCCGGAGGTGTCGTGCGCGGTTTTCAAGCAGCCAGAGTTGCCACAAATTTATTTTCGCTGCATTATTTACAGTGTCTAGGCGTATTTTACCACAATTTTTTTTTCACTAATTGTGTTGCATATAACGGAGCTTGACTTGTATACACTCAATATACTCTTCCATATAAGTGTCACAATTATGCGCACACAAATGTTTTCTATTACACCATATATAATATGTATTCAGATTTTTCATCAATATATATACACACACTCGATCAATATTTACAGGTTTTTACACCATTATTGGACATTTAGAGGTCCTTGACACAGTGGTAGTCGTTGAAGCAGTTGACAGCATACAAAGAGACGGCAAATGCTTCACACCATGTTTGCACCTGTTTACATTTCTGTGGTCTCGTTTGTGTGGGCTTTACAAACTATGCACTCACATTGGCCTATTGCACGCTTTCCAGCTAGTGGCAAATATTTTAGTCTGTGTACTTGAAAGCACTCCCTGTAAGTGGTGCAAAGTGCAATACTGGGTTCTGAATGGATCTTTGTATGGAAGGAATGTCTTTGACAAACGTTGTTAGTAACCGTATCACAACTGTAAAACTAAACATACGGAAAGTTGGTTTACGACCTGTTTTCACCGGATACATATTGAAACTGTTCAGCATGGTTACGTCAGTAAGATGGAAAAACTTTTTTTCGTCCACTTCAATGTTTTCCGTACACACTCGACAGCGCCCACCATCACGTCACATTTATCAACCAAACGCATATTGATATTCTAGTCCAGAACACAATCTGGTTTATATATTGGTAGTTTCGTTGCTCGGTTCACCTTGCCACTGTGCAGCATTGTACCATCGTGAAAGGTTGTCAACATGTTCACGTCTCACCTGTCTTTCCACCGCACTGAGAGTATTTGATCACTTTTTCTTAGCTGGCAGTCACCTACTTTAATATTATTGTCAAACACTGGCATTTCCTTTCTTGCCTTTACTGTGCCACACACACTTCAGTTTTATTTTCAAGCAAGAACCTAGTTAGCAAGGGACTTGTATAATAGTTATCTGTGTTAAAAATGTGACCTTTGTTCAGCCATGGTGCCATTATTGTCTTCACCACACTACCTGAGAAACCATGTTGGTCATTACTGGGAATGTCTACATTGCTAGCAGAACACAGAATCATGTGTAACACAATCCCCGTTTCACAGTCTGATGTGAAATTGTGACTGTAATTACCTAAATGTAATTACCTAAGTGTAGTTACAGGATGAGAGCTACACTCGTGGTGTCCCGTCTTCCCAGCACTCATATGACAAAAGAGTGCTGGGAAGACGGGACACCACGAGCATAGCTCTTATCCTCCAACTACACTTAGGTAATTACAGTCACAGAGAACAAACAATTTCAATCCAAATCTGTTGCGTTTGGAGGGAATATACTGCCTGAAGGCAACACGTCCTTTGAAAAGCATAAGGGATTCGTCAATCACCAGCTTCTGTGCTGGTACGTAGAAATCTCTGAACTTTCCAAACAGTTCATTCAGAACATGCCTCACACACCAAAGTTATCATCCTGTGTCTGGTCTTCATTACTTGCAAATGAAGACACCTGAGGAGTACTTGAAACCTGTCTCAAGACATATATTTCTCGAACAAAGGTGTTGGAACAGTGTTTCATCAACATACATAGTGCAAAAAATACATTTCACCTACAGTAGTGTTTTTTCAATGCTTTAATCGTGAAAAATCTTAACTCATGTTCAATGAGATGAACTGCATGAATGTTCGTTTACTGAATAATATGTTCCATGTGCGGCTCATCAAAATATGCAGTAAAAAAGTCTATTTCACACATGTCCTCACCAGTCTCAGGGAAAAGGTCTGTAATCCCAACATCTTTATTGTCAAAGGCAGGAATTAGTGGAACAAGATCGTCACCATCACTCCACACAAGTACACCTGCTGTCCTGTGAGACGAAAAAGCGGCACCATGGTGATGAATCATTGCATACCGTGGACTAGGAGCTGAAGCCCGTATACGGGTGGGCTTCAGCGTATGGGGGGCCCCCCTTTACCCCGCGGGTCGTTTAAATCATATGAAGTGGTGTGCACTTTCACGTCAGTTACTCAACGCGTCATATGAAGTGTTGCACAGTTTAAGGGTTAACAAGCGTTGTAGTCAAAACACTAGAAAAAAATAGAAAGCCAAATGGGTTGAACACCTGGAGAGTAATAACATAATAACGGACTGTCAGTATGGTTTTTGAACAGGAAGATCCCGTGTAATAAATCATCTTAGTTTTTATGATAGAGCCGCAGAAATACTACAGGAAAGAGGTGTTTGCATTGACTGTATCTATCTGGACCTAAAAAAGGCTTTTGATAGAGTCCCACTCAAGAGACTGCTCTGGAAACTGGAACAGGCTGGAGGGGAGACAGATGAGGGCAGTGATCAGAGAATGTATCTAACTGAAAGAGTATTACTAGCGGAGTACCACAGGGTTCAGTTCTTGCACCAATAATATTCATCGCCTACATAAATGCTCTACTAGAAGGAATACAAAATTATATGAACATGTTTGTAGATGATTTTGAAAAGCAGAGGTGCAATTGGTACTCTGAGAGAGAACTCTATCAACATCAGAGGCCCGAGACTATTCAACACGCTTCCATTACACATAAGGGGCATAACTGGTCGATGTCTAGCAGTGTTCAAGAGAGAACTTGATAAACACCTCCAAAGGATATCTGATTAACCAGGCTGTGACTCATACATCAGGCTGCATCCAGCAACCAGGAGGCCTGGTTGACGACCGGGCCACAGGGACGCTAAGCCCTGAAAACACCTCAAGGTAACCTCAAGGTAACCTACGATGCTAAGATACTGGGGAAAGATAGGAGATGTAGACGATTGTAATGCCCTTCAAATTGATCTACCAGAAGGAATACAGAATTATTTGAACATGTTCGCAGATGATGCTAAGATACTGGGGAAGATGGGAGATGTAGACAATTGTAATGCACTTCAAATTCATCTAGATAAAATAAGTGCTTGGAGCAATAAATGGCAAATGGAATTCAATGTGAATAAATGCCATGTTATAGAATGTGAAATTGGAGAAAATAGACCACACACAACTTACAAAATATGTGGAAAGGAATTACAGAACTCTAATAAAGAACGAGACCTGGGGGTGGTTTTGGATAGTAAGCCGTCACCAGAGGAACACAAAGAACATTGTGAGAGGAGCATATGCATCGCTTTCCAACTTCAGACTTGCTTTTAATTATATGGATGGTGAAATACTAAAGAAACTGTTTATGACTTTTTTGAGACCAAAATTGGAATGTGCAGCAGTTGTATGGTGCCCATATATCAAGAAGCACAAATAAACTGGAAAAGGTGCAACAGCATGCTACAAAATGGCTTCCGGAACTGAAAAACAAGAGTTATGAGGAGAGACTGGAGGCATTAAACATGCCAAAACTAGAAGATAGTAGAAAAAGAGGAGATATGATCACCACTTACAAGATACTAACAGGAATCGACCAAATTGACAGAGGAATTCCTAAAACCAGCAACTTCACGAACAAGAGGTCACAGATTCGAGCCATGGAAACCAAGGTGCCCTAAAAATATTAGAAAGTTTTCACTCGTTTCCACCCTATTTGGGGGCCCCTCAGTGACTCTCTGAAACTTATGCATTAGTATTCCAGATCCAATACAATCTTGCCAGTATCTCGATATCATCATGTACTGAAAGCAAAGATCAAAATCCTGCCCGCAGAGGCAAGAGAACTGAAGGCGTCATAAGTCAGTATACACAGGAAAACTCCACTAAACAAGCCAAAACATGGCTCAAAATTAATACCAAATAAAAGTTAAACTACTTGTTGATTCTGAGGTTCAATGTTCCCGTGGCCCGGTCTCTGACCAGGCTTCCAGGTTTGCTGGTCTGATCAATCAGGCTGTTCGATGTGGCTGCTCACAGCCTGATATATGAGTCACAGCCTGGTTGATCAGGTATCCCGTGAAGGTCCTTATTGAGTCCACTTTTGAACACTGCTAGAGGTCGGTCAGTTATGCCCCATATGTGTAAGGGAAACATGTTGAAAAGTCTTGGTCATTTGATGTTGATCGAGTTCTCTCTCAGTGTACCTATTGCGGAATATGGCATAGGATATAATAGTATAGTTCTTAGTTTTGTTTGCCATTTGTTTCTGCCGCCTCCTTGTGGGGGCAAGATTGGTTTGTGCTCCCAGTGAGATAGCACTGTCCTGGGGTACCAGTGCATAAACTGTGGCAGCCTCACATTATATTTTTCAACCATACTAATTAATGTGTTTTAGTGTGTACAGCATTCATACATTACTTAATTTTATGCTACAGACATTATAGTACTGTGCACTGTATTTTGATTTTATGTACCAAAATTTATTGATCAGGAATGTAATGTTCTTAACATTATTTTATGCAATTTGATCCTTCACAAGATCTTTGGTATATCATCTATGTATACAATCAGGATCCTGCTATAATTAGTATATTGTACAGTACTGTTCTTAGATACTCAAACTACTAAAATCACATACATACTCAGTCTGTAAAATGTGCATAAAATGTAATTTAATTTTGAAGCAATATGGCACAAACATTCTTTGAATAATTCATTTCCAAGAATATAAAGCCACATTTCCAATTATTATTGTTTCACACCCTCATTACAATAGGCTTTAATAAGGCACTATAATCCTAATGCTTATGGATGCTAGAAGAATATTGACTACCCTTACAGGAAAAACTAGCAAATTCTAAATACCTTATAGTACTATATGATGAAAAGTTCAAAAGGAAGCTGCATACCTGCCTACGAGGTCTGTTTTAATCAGATAAAATAATCTTTGGAAAGGTTGCTATATATTTTTTGTTTTCATATTCATTACCTATTTTGGTTAATAGGTACATTATCATGAAGTACTATGTACAGTACTTCTTCATTACTTATAACAAAGCAATGTAAGACATGACAAATTTATTGTACCATTATGAAAGGCATGTGTGTGAAGCAGATAAATCATTCTAGTACTGTATTATCCAACACACACAGTGTATTGCTCTAATTGTATTTCCCCATATTGTAAGGGGCTTGTTTACTATTCTTTTCAATCACCTGAAGTACATCCCTTAACAAAGATATTATCTTTAAGGTATGGTGCACATGCCGAGGCCAAGCACTTATCTATCGTGTCCTTAAGACCCAGTTGACTAGCTACTCGATAAACTATATCAGATTCTTCAACGTGGGACAGCATGGAGGCAACTCTTGCCCGACGGTCTTTAGTGATGCCATCGTGCTCCAATCTGGAAAAGAACATTGATGACAGTGGCAAAAAACTGGAAATGCCAAGTTTCTGTACAGTATTTCAATCATCTTGTGAAGCAGAGAGGAATTACTGACCTGGGAACTTCTAGAGTTCCCACATCATATGTTGTTGCTATCAAAGCTCTTCATATATGCAAGTCCCCACACTGATGCCATTTAATGTTTACTTGCCTTTGTTTTGGCTACTTTGTCTTAACCCTTAAACTGCTCCCATCACCATCAAGTGATAGGGGCTGCTATGCCATTTGCCTGTGGAAGACTAGATGTGGTTTGTAATATTCAAGTCTTAGATATTCTATGTGGACATCACTCAACACTAGAGACCTCTGTCAAATGTTTGCCATTTTGGATAAAAAATCCGGAAAACCTTGTTTCCATCCTGGGCCATAGTAAAATAGTAAAACTATAGGCACCATGTCAGGAGCATCACCATCCACTGACTGATGCACGTGCTGGGAGCCACTGATGACATGCAAAATTTCAACTACTTTAATGAGCCAGGAAGACATTAGTGATGAGAAATCCATCATAAACAATTGACTTGGAAATAATTTATCAGAATATGAGGTCATCAATATTTTTTCACCTCACTATAGCCAAATTAAAATTAGATTTTTGTTGAACTGTATTTTCCCGATATCAGAAACCAATGTTTTACGACATAGAAAGGAAAAAGATTTTAAGATTTTTTGTGCACATCTGGAAAGCGACCTAATTTAGGGGTGGACAGTTAGGGGTTAAGTAAATTCCATTTACTATTCAAATAGTTAAATTAAATTCACCAAAATGTTGTGTGGAAGCAAACAGCTCCCACATGATGAAGTGCAAGGATGGGCAGAACTTGGCTTAAAGCAGAGAGGCTCACCATGAGCTGATGGATGTGGAGCACTAAAGGTATTAGTAACCACCACAACAGCAACAGAACAGATCAGGCAGCCAGCTGTGGGTCAGGGCATGGCTGCCTGATGCTACCTATTGGTATTAATGTGTTCAAGTTAGTTTTGAGTGAATCTATTGTTACATCTTGAATTGTTTGTAGAGTTGTTTGGTTTCAAGGTTTTGTTTTCTGTGAAGCTTGCAGTTGTCTGTAAAGCTTGGCTGACTTTCTGGATGCTTTTCCCAGTGGGGTGATGGAATGTCACTCACTGCCTGCACCACTGTGAATAAAGCCAGGCTCTGGCTCAGGTCCCCGGCAGGCCAAACCCAACTCCTGCCAAGACGTGACCCATTACAATAGATCAATCTCAGTCAGATGGCTTCAGGAAGCCATTGGAGGACTCCCGCCCAGTAAACTTTGTAGTCTTTACAATCCAGTATTACTGTAAGGTAAAGTATTATGAATTCTCTTCAAGTCCTTTTTTTTCCCCCAAAATTGTTTTTCTATTGCCATGTGTTTTGCTTACATTTTCACTTGAACATGTATATACCTCTCATGGAAACCTTCATTGCTTTCCTAAATTATTCCTTCCCAGTGCCAGGCTGTGATGACTCGGAGCCAAGTTAGGTATGGAATTCTTTGGAGAATATTTCATCTGTTCTCAATTAGCTTTTAATCCCTGACGGTAACAGGAATGTCTGGAGGGGACAAAGTATCAATGCTTGCTAATAAGGCTGAGTTTCTCAAGTTAACAAATGCATCAGTGCTACAGATTAGAGATGAAATGTTCCTGTATATTATTTTCCCTAGTGTGAAAGAGTAGGAAAACTTTGTAAACTTAATACTGTAAAAATAAACTGACTTTACATTACTGTACTTACTTCTTCACCACATCAAGCATAACTTCAGGGGAGAGCTTAAATGTGGCCAGATATTCAGTAAGGTAAGATTCATCACCATTATTGACATATTGCTGGTAGAGCGCTACACTCCAATCCACAGGGGAGCTATAGGCACGTCCCACCAGCTGAGCTTCAGTCACCCTGCAGTATGTAAACACTAGTGAGATTTGTTACAGTACAGGTAACACAATGTTAAGGAATGTTTTTCTCACGACATTAAGAGTGTTTCAGAATACTGTATATGGATGTGTAACAGTCAGTATAGACAAGTACTTTACTGTGAGAGGTTTATATGGATGAATGCACGAAAGGATGTTTTCATGAACGAGAAAATGAGAGCCACGATCCTGTAGACACGTGTACAAAAAGTTTGTCAGTAGGGATGCACTTGTGAGGTGTCAAGAAGAGCATGAAGCATCTAAGATGCATAAGACTTGATAAGAAGGCTGAATGAAGTTGCCAAGTGAGAATATGAGAATGTCATTGAGTTTTATAGCAGCAGCATCTGCATTAATATAAAATTTAAAAATTGCTGAAAGTTTGATACGATGCTAGTTTAATATTTTGCACTGCAGACAGTGCTACATAGCCATCCTGGTTATATAGCTTGTGATAATTACTTACCTAAGCTACAAAAGGTTAGTATGGAAAGAGTGAAAGGCTGTTAATAACACTTGCATTCTGAAGATGATAAAATGTCTCATCTGTTCTCCAATTAGTAAACTTTCTGGTGACTGAAATGTGTCATCTGTTCTCCGATAGTAAACTTTTCGATGACTAAAATGTATTATCTGATTGTTATTCATAAATATTCATAGTTATTGTGCATAATATACTATAAAGACACTTTTAATTTTCATCTATTCCCTAGAGAATCCATTTGCAAACATTTTGACTCAAAATTTATGGTTACAACCCAACAATTTTATGTTAGAAAACATAAAATGATTGTAAACATTTTTAGCATTGCTAAATTGCCCAAGAGTAGCTCAGGGAGCCCAGAACATTTACAGTTCAGAACATGGGGAGAAGATGGACTACCAATAGGTGTTAATAAGTATTCTGTGAGAGTTATATTGCTGCAGACAAATGTGTATGGGGCAAGTGAAGGCATAGTATAATACAAGATTTTGATTTGTGAATAAGAACGAGCATGAAGCATATAAATACGGGAGTGTTGTTGTGTATGAAGATAATGCCAGTGGGCACAATATCCATGAGTGGCATCGGTTCCATGCTGAACAAAAGTTCCAAATGTTGATAACATTAATTCAGCATTGGTATTGTTCTTGGGTATTGTGTCAACTATTATGTCGAGTTAAGAACTATGAGGAGAAAGTGCCAAGTCATTACGACTATAGTATATAGCACTTGGAAGGGATGAGGATAAGGATTTAGGATGGGATGGGGGGAGGGAATGGTGCCCAACCACTTGGACGGTCGGAGATTGAACGTCGACCTGCATGAAGCGAGACCGTCGCTCTTCCGTCTAGCCCGAGTGGTTGGGCTTATGTTGAGTGAGATAAGTGTCTAACTAGCCAAGTGTAGTTACTGGATGAGAGCTAAACTCATAGTGTTCTGTTATCCCTAAAATCTTTGTTTTAAGAGTCTGGAAGCTTCCAATGGTCTTGGCTTATACTACCTTCTCATTTAATTTATTTAACTCATCTACCACTGTTTTCAAGACAGAATTAACTCGAGTTTTTCTGTATCCTTGTTTTTGCAATTTGAATGTATATCTATGTTGTTTAGGTTGCAGGTATTAAAAATATGCTCCTTATAAATTTGGTCAATACCTCTCAAATTTGTACGTAATATTCAAACCACCCATTTTTCTTCTACCAGTTCTGATATACAGTATTTAGTGCCTTCAGCCTTTCTTCATAGTTCTCTTTCTTTTAGGTTTCGGAGCCATTTAGTAATGTCTCCACCGTTTCTATTTTAGCCATTACATTTCCTGGGAAGCCTCGGTAACCTCCCAGTGCATTGACTCAGGTATCAAGGAGATGGCCTCAAAACTACCAGGCCTCTGGACTTGCACAGGTCTTTCAAACACCAGGACCACTATAAGAGGGGACCATAAGGGTCACTAATCAACTTTGCATGCTTGGCTTGAGGGTTTTTCATCCATGTGTAGGCAGCATGTGTTGTCACTGGACACCTGTGTTGACTGAGCCATCCTCCTGGGTGGTGGCCAATCAGGCTTCTTCTACCTCTCCATGTATGTGCCTTATAATACAAGCTTTTGCAGTCTTCATCTATGGCTTATGCTGTGGGAGGTGAGCCTCTTATCGTTTATGAGAGTTATAACCCAACAGGTAACTCAGAAAACGAAAAACGATTGTAACATTCTTCGCGGTGGGGATCGTTTTCCAGGGACCTGCCTGAAACTCTACGCGTACTAGTGGCTGTACAAGACTGTAACAATTCTTGTATATATCTAAAAAAAAACAAAAAATAAATAAATAAATAAATTAGCTTCACTGAGTGGCCCGTGAGAGGCTTGGGGAGCCCTGCGTTGTGAAGCAGACTTGTGTGCTCAATCTGGAACTTTCCCTGTTTCCCCCTACTGGGAAATGGGTTTAGTTTGTTCTGCTGGCATCTACTCAAACTTCCTCCCAGCCTCTGCTTCTGATAAGAGCTAATTGGCCTTGCCTAGGGACATCTATTATGATTCCTGAGATATTGGTGAGGAATCCTTTCGGTTTGAGTGAGAATCCAGAAAAGTTTTCCCAGAAGTAAAACATTAAAAGTTGAGAAGCTGAGGGAGACAGAACTTGTAGATAAATACAAAAGAAGGAGTCGATAGTGAAATTGAGGAAAAATATTATGAACAAATGAACATTAGTGTCAGGTGGGATGTATACAAGAAATGTTTGCTTAAGAATGTGTGGTGTTGCATAAACTGGTAGAATAATGAGAGCAACTGCTTAATGGGATGAGGAAATGCAGAGAACAGTTCATAAAAAAAGAAAAATAGATTTTATAGATGCAAAGTGAACAAAGTAGAAAGAAAAAGTAATATGATGAGAGTAAAAGGTATGTGAATGATAAATAAAATAAATGAAAGCAAATTAGAATGCATATAGGGATAAAAATTAAAACAATTTCTAAAACAAAAAGCAGATATAGAAAGAAATAGGGAAATGCAGCAGGGAGACTAGTGGAAAGGTACTTGGGAATGTTGAGACAGACATGGTAGAATGCCATATGGTGAAGTGATTATGATAAGAAGGTGGAGAGAATAGTATTATAATAAAAGGTGGTGATGATGGTATGAGAAGAGCATGAAAGCAGATATACAGCATCTGGAAGAGATGAATACATCAGTGAGACAATCTAGGAAGATGGAGGTATTGATAAGATGCTGTATATGCAGGAAGTGATTAAATGTGGAGAAAAAGAAATGGTACGGATAAGTTTGCAGAAAGCGCGGGATAGCGAGTCAAGTGGGAGTGTGTAGTGTAAGAGCATATGTAGTTATGGTATTTGCCTTGAGACAGCTCATGGACAATGCACTTGAAAAAGAATGCAAAATGTGCATGACATTTATGGACCTAGGAACAGTATATGATATAATTAATAAAGAAGGACTTTGAAAAGTGATGAGCATGTATGGAGCCATCAGTGCTGCTATCTACTATGAAAACTGGTTAAGTAGGAAATACTATTATTATAAATATATCATGAAATAAACACCATTGCATAAAAACTAACAATAAAATACTAAATCTGTTAATAAGGTGTATCACCACCTCAAAATTATGCAAAGTACTAAATACATGGTAATAAAATGAATGTGCTAAAAAATGATTAGTAACCAAAACATTGAGCAGAATTAGTGTCCTGATTGTCATGTCAACTGAAAGTTGTAATAACTCAAATTACCAGGACAAAACCATAATGGCTAGCTGTCAAGGCCAGCTGTTAATGAAACTTTATTGGTATTTAAAGCTAACCTTAAAAGGTTTGTAGTGATATATTTGACTGCTACAGGAGTCAGCCTGAGGAGCCTCAGAGAGGAACTTGAAGTGCTTCTTCTAGCATATGCAATCTGTAAGGCCACAAGCTCAGCTTGACGACTGTACTCGACAGCTGTAGCCAGTTGTTGGTCCTGGTGCATTAATAAAAAGTAGATGTGGTTAAATTATATTAGAATGGGTGATCAAGATAGGTATGCTCAATCACCTATCCTAGTACAGTATCTCTGAACATACACACACCAAAATAGGGTGTTGAGTGAAATGACACACACTTTTCTCAGCAAGACTCTAGGTTGCATCTTTGAGCCAAGGACTTATATAGGTCCACACACACACTTCATGCCTGTCAGGCTCTAATGACCTCATAACCTACCATGACCACTCTGTGCACATGCTTAGGGAACAGAGTGGTCAATCTAACTCAAACTATCACAGAGAGGCCAACTTGCTACCATGCAAAAATAACCAGCATTGAATGTAATGAAATGCCATTTTCTGGGTGAGACCAGGAGACTTCCCCCAGAGCTAACTGGGCTGATATAAATATATTAGACTCTGGCATCAGTCAATGCACATGGAGTTCTAGGCCTACCGGGGACCACGAGCCAAAACTTCTTGTGTCTCTGGCCCCCTCATAAACACAAGGAGCAATGGCCTATAGAAACCCCCGTGTGGTTGGAAGCATTCTATGTCTGCCATCGACCGGGTCAGGCACCCAGAACAAATCCCTATTCTGGTTTAGATATTGCTACTGAAAGCTTTATTTCTATTCTGTTTTGTTCTTCATGTACTATAGATGTGCTAGTTCTAATGACCAGTGTAATTGTGTGGCCACTTTTGTAATTGGATATAAATTGGTACTACAGTATACCCCCCCCCCCCCACCCTCTCCAAGATTCTCTATCCTTACACAAACCTTCAACTATTTCAAGCTCTCGTACCCATTCCTTACAATTCTGTACCGTTATAACAGTATAAAAAGTTTATCATGTTTACTATAAACAGTTAGTAATAAATAATGTCAAGCATATTGAACACAATGATACATGGATATACATGTACAGTACTATAGCATAAACATTGAAGCTTCACCAAAGATTATTTCTGTCTTTTGTATTTACTAACCTGCATATAATATTGAGCAGCATGTGCATAGCTATGCATTGCCTGGGTAAGCAGCTCTGTGTTTGCATTATACAAATACTCTGGCTCAAACTCATCAGTACCTTGGAAACCAGCAACTGAGCTTTGAGTTCCTGTCAAATAAAAAAGTAAAATTTACCTATATAAATCACAGTTAATGATGAACTCAAACTCATACTCCACTCTATTAAACACTTAAGATTCTCAGCAACTTTTCTATATATTAGTAATTCTCATGAAAGCTCAACTTTATTAAATAATAAAAAAAATATATATGTTCATTTTAAGACTTGGCCAGCTGTTAGTTTTAGGATTTGCCAGAAATACAGTGTGAGATTTCCAGCCCTGTATGAAAAAAAAAAATAAAAAAAAAAATTCAGTGTTAAATGTAATGAGAGACTTTTTTTTTTATGGTGGGCCCCTTGGTGGGTCTAAGCGGAACCTTCCAAACCTTAAGCATCAGACCAGGCTCTAGTGAATCACAAACACCTACCAGAGACATGGACCCGAATCTGGTCATGTTGTTCAACCCATAACACTGCATTGTTAGTCCTAATACTTTTATGTTCATTCAATGAACCTGTTACAGTTCATATTTGTCTTGACACTTAAGAACAATAACATCAATTGCCTCCTGTTTGTATGTATGTAGTGTGTTCTAAATATGCTTGTTAACAAGAAACAAAGCTTCCCCCTAAACCCAAAATTTCAATTGCCATTATTTTTTGCACCTCTACACGAGAGAATGTGTGTGTGTGTGTGTGTATGTGTCTGTCCAGGGTTGGAGGCCAGATGTTTGGGTGTTAGCTTCACCCAACTTTACAGGAGGGATGGTCTATGGAATGGAAAACAAACAAACTGGTCAGGGTCACCAGAATTCAAGAGGGTCACATTCTGACCCCATGATGATTTTTAGCATTGCCTGCCAGCTACACCTAGCAAAATGTTTTGAAGATAAAAGTCTTCATACTCTTCACAAGGAAGAATATGAAGAGTAGGGGACTGTGGACTGTATTGTAGTGACATGCCATCTGGTGACAGCTTGGTTTATGTCATCAGATTTCCAAGCAGAGAGTGAAGTATTAGGTGGAGGCATTATTTTGACAATCACAAGTTTTCATAAAGTCAATTCTTACATGGTTTCTGTCAAGTCATTCTGGGCCGGATTGAACCTATCTATTGACCCAAAAGCACGCTGAAAGTTCTCCAGGCACCAGTGCCCAAATTGTCACCTGATTGATTGTCCACGATTCTTGTGCAGACAACATAGCAGATTTTCCCTTAGGGGGGCAGCTGAATGCAAAAGCCCAGAAAAAAAAAGTTTCTTACCTTTAACTAAAGAGTGTTTTCTTGATGTTTCTTCCTGTACATAAACCTTAGCAGGACCAGACCTGGATGAGGAACAAATAAAATCAACAGTAAATTAAATCAAACAAATCCCAATGGTATGATACCTCAAGTGTTTTTCTAAGTAAATGAAACACTACAAGTGTTAGTGGCTTTGCAGGAATGTACTAATTAATCACCAGAATGTGCAAAACCTATTGTACCTTTTTGTATATATATATGTATATATATGTGACAGTGTCAGACCACAGAGGAAGAATTGAAACAGGAATTTCCTTAAGTACTTTCGTATATTAATACATCTTCAGAAAGAATCTTCATTCCTTCTGAAGATGTATTAATATACGAAAGTACTTAAGGAAATTCCTGTTTCAATTCTTCCTCTGTGGTCTGACACTGTCACATTTTTCATCACGTGTTAATTTTCATGATTTACACATGTGTATATATATGTATATACATGTACAGTATATATATATGTACAGTATATACATGTACAGTATATATATGTATATACATGTACAGTATATATATATGTATATACATGTACAGTATATATATATGTATATACATGTACAGTATATATATATATGTATATACATGTACAGTATATATATATGTATGTACATGTACAGTATATATATATGTATATACATGTACAGTATATATATATGTATATACATGTACAGTATATATATATGTATATACATGTACAGTATATATATATGTATATATGCATGAATGTTATGTATGTATATATTTACTCACCTAGTTGTGATTGCAAGGGGTTGAGCTCTGGCTCTTTGGTTCCGCTTCTCAGCTGTCAATCAACTGGTTTACAGATTCCTGAGCCTACTGGGCTCTATCTTACCTACATTTGAAACTGTGTATGGATAACTACTGGAATAGATCCATCTGCCTACTACTCTGATCCATCTGCTAACTACTCTGACTGCCCACGGAGAGGCAGTCTCCGTGGTGTAGTGGTAAGACACTCGCCTGGCGTTCCGCGAGCGCTAAGTCATGGGTTCGTATCCTGGCCGGGGAGGATTTACTGGGCGCAATTCCTTAACTGTAGCCTCTGTTTAACACAACAGTAAAATGTGTACTTGGATGAAAAAACGATTCTTCGTGGCAGGGAATCGTATTCCAGGGACCCTTAGGATTAAGGACTTGCCCGAAACGCTACACGTACTAGTGGCTGTACAAGAATGTAACAACTATGTAACAACTGAAAAAGTTCTTTCTAACGTCCCTGTGGCTCATTTGGGTACTCAGTTTCCACCTGTGTCCCCTTGTTCGCGTACCACCCGTGTTAAACAGTTTATCTTTATCTAGCCTGTCAATTCCTCTGAGAATTTTGTAGGTAGTGATCATGTCTCCCCTTACTCTTCTGTCTTCCAGTGTCATGAGGTGCATTTCATGCAGCCTTTCCTCGTAACTCATGCCTTTTAGTTCTGGGACTAGCCTAGTGGCATACCTCTGAACTTTTTCCAGCTTCATCTTGTGCTTGACAAGGTACAGGCTACATGCTGGGGTCGCATACTCCAGGACTGGTCTTACATATGTGGTATACAAGGTTCTGAATGATTCCTTACACAGGTTCCTGAAGGCAGTTTTGATGTTAGAGAAATTTGCATGTGCTCGTGCAGAAAGAGCTCTGCTCTTTCGGCCCGCCTCTCAACTGCACAGGTAGTGTACTTTTTCTTTATCCTCTTCAACTGGACATTTAGTGATTCTGACTTAGGGAGCATCTGAGTATCTTGTTCACAAAATACCATTTAATTTCTCAAAAAGCCTGATTCTGTAATTTATTTACCCACTTGTGAGCAAAAATGAAACTTTATATTAATGAAACTGGGTATTTTTTAATCAAATATAGTACAATGACACCTAGGCTTACGAATGCCCCTCTTTACGAACTTTTCGGGTTACGAGCCCAATTTTTTTGTAAAATCCGAATTGGGTTACGAACTTTGCCTCAAGAAACGAAGTTTGTTGATACGCGTATGGCTGACCTAGCACATGGTGGCACAGCGACCGCGCCTCAGTTTACCAGTGCCTCTTGCCTAGTGACAATCGCGCTTTAACCCCTTGTAAAGAATTTCAATATTTTTCGGATTTTGGGGTTTTGAACATATCAGTTATTATATATCTCGCCATGGGTCACAAGAAAGCCAGTGGTTAGGTTCAATCCAAGAAAACACATGTGAGGATGACCATAGAGGAAAAACAAGAGATCATTCGCAAACATGAAAACGGTATACGAGTTGTTAAACTAGCTAGGCAGTACAACAAATCTATGTCAATGATATGCACTGTAATTGCTAAGAAAAAGGACATTACGAGTGCTAAAGTGGCAAAAGACATCAATAATCACGAAACAAAGAACACAAACACTTGAGGATGTTGAAAAGATGTTATTAGTTTGGATACACAACAAGGAGTTAGGAGGTGATAGCATTTCAGAGGCTATCATTTGTAAGAAAGCAAGGCAATTGCATGATGACCTTTTAAAGAAAACCCCTGGAACGAGTGATGCAGATACAAAAGAGTTTAAGGCGAGCAGGGGATGGTTTAAGAAATTTAGAAAAAGAAGTGGCATTCATAGTGTTGTGAGTATTATATGTTGTGAGTTGGCGGAGGAACACAGCCGAGAACTGATCACCGAAAAATTCCTAGCCCTTCACAATGAGCAGCAACAAGAGGCAGCTGAGGAAATGTCTTCAGGGGAGGAGGAGGCAGTACAGAATGTCCCTTCCTCAACAATTAGGAAGTGGTATAGACTGTGGGAAGAAATGCAAACTTTTGTTGAAACGACTCGCCCAAAGCAAGCTGAAGTAGGCCGTTGCATTAACCTTTTTAATGACACTGTGATGCCTCACTACAGCCGAGTGTTACAACATAGGGAAAAGCAATCCTCTATGGATAGATTTTTACTGAGAAAAAACAGTGAGCCACAAGCAGGGCTTAGTGGTATGCAGGTATAAGTGGTATACACCAACAAGGGTCAATCAATATAGGTAAGCAATAACTTGTACATACTTTAGTACTAAAGATTTGATGAATTAGATATAAAATTTACTTTGAAGTTAATATTTTTGGGAGTGTGGAACGGATTAATTCTATTTACATTATTTCTTATAGGGGAAATTCGCTTTGATTCATGAATTTTTGGGTTACGAACTGTCTCTGGGAACGGATTAAATTCGTAAATGGAGGTACCACTGTATTTATATATAAAAAATATAATTGTATGGGTTAGCATAACTGCACAAACTTCTGTTTTGAAACGGTAGCGGAGCAGTTGGCCTCGATCACCAGTGGAGCCCTACTGAATGTGGGTACTCTCTTTGTCTGTTATGGATCTAGAGCTACACTCACAAATTCCTTAATAATGCTGTATGGAGTCATAGTTTAGGATATGTGAAGCTCACATGATAGAAGTCATGCATATGAATTTCCAACCACAGCTGGTGGTAAAACAAGAGACAACAGACCTAAGAGTGATGGCGGCAGTGCATGAGACCCCTAAATCAACAGTGGCCTCCAATACTTGCTCTACAGCTTTCTCAGCATCTTCAACCCACATTTCAGCAACCTGAAATATACAAGTTTCAGCTCAGAGATAAGCATGTCCATCCTCGTTCTGATCTTATGGGTCCAGCTAAGAAAAATAATCGAGGGACTCTCAGGTAAGAAAAAACTTGCTAAGTTCATGAATGTTACCCCTACATCACATGCAAGTTTTTCTTTGTAAAAATGTATATATTATTATATCAATAGAATTCTAACATTACATGTATTACACATTATTGATACACATTATTATTATTATTATTATTATTATTATTAATGATATTAAATAATACAAATAATTATTATCTGTACAGTATTAGTATAACTGTAGAAAAAATGTGTCATCTTAGCTTGCAAACTGCATAGTAAATGTCAACTAGTGATGTGTAAAAAATAACAAAAATATTTATTTATACAAAATAAAATATACACTGGATATATTATATTGTGTGGACAAATCATCATCATTGTAACTGTCTTGCACTATGCAGTCCAGTTGAATCGTGAATCTGGGGTTCAACTAAGTAAAATCATCTACATTCTCATCTACTTAACCAATGTGTGTGTGTGTTGTTTTTAAAGCAAAATCATACCTCAGAATAAAGAAGGAAATGAAGTGCAACAAGCTTGAGTGTATCTTTATCTAGAGGGTGTCTGGAATGCAGGTAATGCACAAGGGCTCGGTCCAATCCTGTTTCCTTTCCTCTAGGGTCAGAATCACGACCCAGTAAATGCTCAAATTGATCATTTTCTCTGAGAGCATCAATGATATACGACATCTCAATATATCGTCCCACCCCTATCAGAAGGCGCACCTGGAAAAGTGTAAACATGTAACAATTGTTTTTAAAAATACAAAAACCAGTGTTGAATATAATGAAACGCCAGTTTCTGGGCAAGCCCCGGAGGATCCCTGAAGCTATTATCACTGATTCAGTGCCATACTACCAGGTGCCATCAGTCGCAAAGTTGGCACCCTAAAACAAATCCTATCTGGTTAAAAATATTGCCACTGAAAGCCGAACTGTTGGACAGAAGTCCCCAAATGATAAACGAACAAATGAGCATGATGTTACAACCGTCACTGCACTGCTGTCTGCACAGCTCCCCCCTCCCCGGGAGGGGGAAGGAGCAGCCCCAGACCCTCCTGCGCTAGCTATCCAACCCATTAGTTCTGAAGCTGGATGCCAAAAACCCATGAAAAGTGCCAACCGGTTGGAGGGAAGGTTGCCGGGAAGCCTCCAGGTCCCACACAGAAAATAGTGTGTCATTACATTCAACGCTGGCTTTCTGGGGGAAGCCCTTTCAGCTCCCTGGAGCTACTTAACCAAAGATAAAAACAATACAGGCGATCGCCACTCGCTCCTCAACTCGAAGTCGAGACAACTGGCTGCAACCGCCAACCCAGTGTGACACATGGATTCAGGGAGGGTAAATCTTGCCTTACAGGCTTGATAGAATTCTACGATCAGGTGACACAGATTAAGCAAGAAAGAGAGGGCTGGGCGGACTGCATTTTCTTGGATTGTCGGAAAGCCTTTGACACAGTACCGCATAAGAGGCTGGTACATAAGCTGGAGAGACAGGCAGGTGTAGCTGGTAAGGTGCTCCAGTGGATAAGGGAGTATCTAAGCAATAGGAAGCAGAGAGTTACGGTGAGGGGTGAGACCTCCGATTGGCGTGAAGTCACCAGTGGAGTCCCACAGGGCTCTGTACTCGGTCCTATCTTGTTTCTGATATATGCAAATGATCTCCCGGAGGGTATCGATTCATTTCTCTCAATGTTTGCGGACGATGCTAAAATTATGAGAAGGATTAAAACAGAAGAGGACTGTTTGAGGCTTCAAGAAGACCTAGACAAGCTGAAGGAATGGTTGAACAAATGGTTGTTAGAGTTTAACCCAACCAAATGTAATGTAATGAAGATAGGTGTAGGGAGCAGGAGGCCAGATACAAGGTATCATCTGGGAGAGGAAATTCTTCAGGAGTCAGAGAAGGAAAAAGACTTGGGGGTTGATATCACGCCAGACCTGTCTCCTGCAGCACATATCAAGCGGATAACATCAGCGGCATATGCCAGGCTGGCCAACATACGAACGGCATTCAGAAACTTGTGTAAAGAATCATTCAGAACTTTGTATACCACATATGTCAGGCCAATCCTGGAGTATGCAGCCCCAGCATGGAGTCCATATCTAGTCAAGGATAAGACTAAACTGGAAAAGGTTCAAAGGTTTGCCACCAGACTAGTACCCGAGCTGAGAGGTATGAGCTACGAGGAGAGACTACGGGAATTAAACCTCACTTCGCTGGAAGACAGAAGAGTTAGGGGGGACATGATCACCACATTCAAGATTCTGAAGGGGATTGATAGGGTAGATAAAGACAGTCTTATTTAACACAAGGGGAACACGCACAAGGGGACACAGGTGGAAACTGAGTGCCCAAATGAGCCACAAAGATATTAGAAAGAACTTTTTTAGTGTCAGAGTGGTTGACAAATGGAATGCATTAGGGGGTGATGTGGTGGAGGCTGACTCCATACACAGTTTCAAGTGTAGATATGACAGAGCCCGATAGGCTCAGGAATCTGTACACCTGTTGATTGACGGTTGAGAGGCGGGACCAAAGAGCCAGAGCTCAACCCCCACAAACACAACTAGGTGAGTACATGCCCGACTAGGGCCAGGAACATTGACAAAGTAGCAAGCGGCCAGGACCCTGTTCGACCTCTAAAATTCCCGTGCCCAAATGTCAGCCCAAGACATGTTACCGAAGACTGCAGCTAAGCAGCAAACTTACGTACGTCATGGGCACGAGGATAGGCTGCAGGCTGACTGGACCAAATAGTAACCCTGTGGACAACCTGGGAGACCCAAGCCCTGGAACAGGGAAGAAGGAAAACCGAGTCAACCCAAAGCACGCCCTGGCCACCGGGTCCTTGGCATGCAGGTAACACTGAAGAGCCGCAACTGGACATAACAAATGATGCACCCCAGCCAAATCAACCAAGCATCAACCACCCAAAGACCTCATTCTTCGAGACCAAGAATGAGTTTCGGAATGAGACCAAGGAGACCTGGTTGATGACCGGGCCGCGGGGACGCTAAGCCCCGAAAACACCTCAAGGTAAGGATCTTATTCTTCGCCATAAAAGGAGATGGCTGCAAAAGAACAAACCCACCACCAACACCAAAAGAGCAGAAACCCCTACACCGGAGGAGAGCATGACGCTCCTCAACCCGATCCCCAGTGACCAATGCCAACAGGAAAAGAGCCTTCACAAAACAATCTTGAACCAAAGGGGGCCACAACAAACTGAGAAGAAGATAGAAAAGAGGGCACCTGGTCCAACAACCAGGACGGCTCAGGCGACGCATGAGCAGGCCAGAGGTGAAACAAAGAAGCAGCTTGAGGAATGGGGCAAAAGTAACATCCACCATGAACGCAAGCTGCAGCAGCTCTGCCAGCGCCGCACGATATGAGGCAATAGTATTCGGCATAAGATGAGTCCCGAAACAACCAACACAGAAAGGACAAGATAACCCAATCCGAAACAGATGAAACCTTACGAAGGGACAAGAAATAATGAGAGGAATGACAAGAAACTTCATAATGCTGCCAAGACAAGACACGCAGGTGAAACACCATCAATGAAGCCACCTGCTCACCATACAAATGGTGATAGACCCGCGTCAGAAAGACCAAATGCAAAGACTCAAGGAGAAGATCGAACCAGCCATGTAACAGACTGGCCCGATCTGCTGAAAGAGGCGGAGCTGCGGGAAGACCCCAGGTTCGGACACCAAGCAAGCCGCACCTGAAACCAAGGGGCCAAGAGGACTACTCTTCCTTGGTAAGTCTCCAAGCGATCTAAGACCATGAGCGACAGCAGAACCGCAGGGAAAGAGGTACAGGAAATCCTATGTCGACCAGTCCAGCCTGAAGGCATGGATCCTGACGGCCTCACAGTCGGGTAAGAGTGCCACATATACTGGGAAATGCCTCGACGATGCCAACTCGAAGAGGTTCACCTCCGGGAGCCTGTATATCCGGTAGAGCCAACTAAAGGAGTTGGCATTGACTGTCCATTCTGTGAACATGGGAATGAACCAAGACAGGCCGTCCACCAGGACGTTGGACACTCCCTGAATGTGAACGACCAGGAAAGCCAAACCCCAAAAACTCAGCAGAAGAGTCACACGGAAGAACCAACCCCAAAGAGCCAAGGACCACATCAAACCCCCACAGTTCAGACAATGAACCACCGGGGACCAGTTCGAATGGAACCGGATTATCGATCCAAGAGTGACCCGAACCCTCTGAAGCGCCCGCCACACTGCTGCGAACTCCCACATTGTTCTGTGGGCCTGACGGAAGAACGGGACCCCACCGTCCCTGGCCGGCCAGGTGATCATTGGTCACAAAGCCCCAGCCAAGAGACGACGCGTTCATGAATACATCGAGCAAGGCTCAGGTAGGCACCAAGGCACTGAACCCTGAAAAACTCTCAGAGGAAGCTGGCAATGCAGCAGGCAACGTAAGGCACCTTGCGGCTGATCCCAGCGATCGCAAGAGAAATGGAAGGGACGTCCCCGAAGGAACCAGAACAGCCAACGAAGCCAAACCCGACCTGGCAGGTAGACCATCACAGCAAAGTTCAGACTCCTGCACAAACCCTCGAGCAACTGCCTCGTGACCCAGGAGCCCCCAGAAACATGCGAAGGTTGGACTGCAGCTGCAGCAGAGCCACCGGAGGGAGAGACAAGGAAGGGATCCGAGAGTCCCACACAAGACCAAGCCAAGACTGAACCTGAAAGGGACCCAGATGGGATGTCCTCCAGTTCACCAGGCACCCGAACCCGGCAAGCTGAGAAAGAACCAAATCCCTGGTGAGCAGATACATGCACTGGCTGGGAGCCCACACCAGATAGTCATTGAGGTAGGCGAGAACCTGAACCCCCTAAGGCACACAAACGGGCCACCACAACTTGGGTAAGGCATGTAAATACTCATGGTGCCAGACTCAAGCAGAATGGAAAGCAACAAAAGCGGTAACCCTGACGCCCCACAACAAATCCGAGCCAGTTCCTGAACCCCGGATGAATTGGGAGGTGCCAATGAGCATACCGGAGGTCCAGGGACACCATCCAAGCCCCCAGCTCCAATAGAAGACAGGCCTGGGACAGAGTAGTCATATGAAAGGAGGGGCAATGGACCCAGGGATTCAGACGAGACAAATCCATCATGAACGACAGGTCCGCGCAGTCCCAGTTTGGAACTGGAAACAGGCGGGAAACCCACCTGAGGGACGAGGTCGTTTCAACCAAGCCCAAGCGAATCTATTCCAAGATGACCTGACAGAACACAGGATAAGAAGCCTGCCCTGCCAGCCTCGAACCCCCTGAAAGAGGAGGGACCACCCAACGCTACTGCAGGCCACAAGAAACTACTTGAAACTCCCATGAATCGAGGGTCCAGACAGGAGCAAACAGCATAACCCTCCCCCCCACAATTGCCCCATCAATGGGACGAACCGCGAAGGGGCCGATGCCCTTTATGAGAAACCGACTTACGAGCAGAGCGATCACCGCATCGACCACTCGTCACTGGTTCCGAAGGCTGTGCTGGCTCCAAAACTGGCACCACTATCCTACCATGACAGGTGGAACCCCAAGCCCTGGCACGACCTGTCCGGAACTGAAGAACCCAGGGAGGGGTCGAAGTCATATCAAACTCGTGCAAGGAGTGGGGATAAAAAAACTCCACTCCATGCAAAAACAAGCCCCGTTCAGAGGGTACCAAAACCCAGGAG